TGTTCTGGCTCGAACAACATGGCCGCTCAAATTTTCAAAAAAGTCATACCAACAAAACTAGCTTCTTCTCAACACGTACATAGCATACGCTTTCTAAAATACTTCGAAAATGGAGCTAAAACCACCTACATTGCATCGAGGGAATTAAATTCACCAAGCGGTGTTTCAAAATTGGACAATTTGGCATTGGAAGCGGAAAAAGTTGTTGGTTATCAAACTAGTCTAGTTCGATGCCTTTTAAGCGACGAAATATCTAGCGTGCTGGTCCATAGTAAGAAATTAGTTGGCTCTCGACATCCATTGTTGAAGACGGCTAGGAGTTTGCTGTATGACGGGGCGGAAGGTTTTGAGGCAGTGGGGTTGATTGTTTTGTTAATGTCGGGATGTGGCGAGGGGTTAATGACAGAGGGTGCCCCCCTTGGGCAACAGCTTGTGAGCGGTATTCAGCAAAAACAACGCAAGTTAGCCGAAGTTGCTGAAATGATTAATACAGGTATTACAGAGTGACACAGGCTGCTAAAATTGTGGCATCTAATCAGCCAGACTTCAGTCTTACCCCCAGACTGGAAAGTTTGGAAATTGTACAGCCGAGATTTCAAAAATTTAATAGTAAATATAATAGAAATGCCCGATATCTCGGCCGCACAATACAAACTTTCCACACTGGCCTAACCCCAGGATTCTCAGACTGTGAACCTTTTTCTTTTGAAGTGACAATAGCAGCCGGCTATTCAGTAAACTGCCAGCTATGTATATAGTGACTATAATCAAAGTTCAACTTTTATAAGATAAACCGATCCCAAACCTTTTTCGGAGTTAGAAAAGGCGGTAAAGTTTAAAAAATTTTAAGAAAAAAAGCTAAGTCAGACAATCACAACCCGACCCAGACTGTTTCCGCAAACAACGCATTTACTATATACGCTAACAGCAAGTTTGGTAAAAGCTAGTGCAAACAACAGATTTATAGTTAACTATGGCCACTATATATAGCTGGCAGTTGTATAGTCACTTGACTCACTTCATCATGTATTTCCTTGGTGCAGGGTAGTCACATGCAAACAAGGGCAGAACCACTACAAAGTATATGTATGTGCCTACTTTGTATAGGAAATTGCACGGTTAGCAAGTATTAACGAAAAATTGCATTCATATTTGCCAGAATATAAATGATTTTACATTAATACGTACTTCAAGAACAGAATGATGTAATTTCCTATCAGTTTAGTCAATTTTACAAGTACTCAATGACAAGAAATGTTGCTTTAATTTATTGTACAATCATCCAGATTAAATTTTTTTAATTGTTTCTGACGTTTCGGCTACCTATACGGCAGCCATCATCGTCAGAGCCTGCGTTCATGCGTAATTAGACCAGCATATGCTCCTGGCATATTGTGGCAAATGTTGATGCCCCGCGACAGCAGCATACACTGGACTAATTACGCATGAACGCAGGTTTTCATGCCTTGAATGTATGTGCAAGCAAATAACCTCATGAACACACACGTCATTCTGACGCAAGATAAAATTATTATAACTGTAAATTTTTTGTAACTGTAATACATATTTGATAATGGCTGCCGTATATGAAACGTCATAAACAATTCAAAAAATTTAATCTGGATGATCGTACAATAAATTAAATTAATGGAAGAACCCAGATTCAAGCCCTTCAGTGAAGAAACGTTGCACTTAATTAATCCATTCATTCAATTTGTACCTTTTTAATTGGTACTGTACCTGTAAAACCTGTCAATAAATTTTTATTTTATCTTTGTCTTCTGTACTTGAATAATAACTCAGTGCGTAATAAGAGCTCAGAAAATATACATTTTCCTGTTGTTTATTTACATTTAGTGTTTACTTGTGGCATTGCTTGTCAACCCCCGGCTGCACTATACCCCGATCTGGGTAATTGATTCTGATTGGCTGTCTTCAAACGTTCACGCTCCGGAATTTCCATTATTTTCAACTTGTTGCATGGAAAATTTACTAGTTTGAAGCATGGAGATTAAGTACTATTTGCAATGAACATGTGCCAAGAGAATATCATGTGCCAATCGACAAGCAATGTCACAAATTATCACAGACTGTATTACACCATATACACATTTAGTCCCGATATACAAATTCAAAATTATTATCATTCATTTGTTTAGAAATTGATTGTTTTCACAGTCAATGAACATGAAAATATTTGCATAGCGGGACTAAATAGTCGGGCTGGCTACACTACTCATGCTATGGATAACAGGATACTACAAATTTCAGACCTTGTGTTTCACTCGCTACTCTGGTTTAACATATTTCTTCTGGCGGAACATGATTGAATGAACAAACTTTAAATTTCAGACCTGTAACAACACAATGAGTGCCAGAACTCTCCCTTGACAGAATGAAATTGTCAGGTGTTATACAGAGTAAAAATGTCTGGCATTAGACAGGATAAAACAGAAAGTATGAAAAGGGTTAACATTTATTATGAATACTTGTAATTTTCCAGGCTACATGGTTCATCTTGGTGTGGTAAACAAATCCGACTTTCAATCATTGGACGATATCAAAATAATGAATTTTGGCAACAAAGTAACAGTGTTAACAGGCGACTTCTTCCTAGCCAAGGCATCTGTTGGCCTGTCTGAGCTGGAAAACACAGAAGTTGTCGATGCTATGGCAAGTGTTATTGGCGATATTGTTGAGGGTGAAACAATGAAGGATTGTAAAACTGTGAATGACACAGGTTTGGCTGAGTGGGAGGAAGTGATTTTTAAATCTCAAGGGAGTCTTTTTGCTAAAAGTTGTTTGGCTGCTTTAAAGTTGTATTCTTCGCCACAACATGTAAGTCTGGATTAGGGTTTGGATGATTTATTATTAACATTCATCCTCTAATACAGACACCTCTCTAATACAGACACCTCTCTAATACATACACCTATCTAATACAGACATCTCTCTAATACAGACATCTCTCTAATACAGACATCTCTCTAATACAGACACCTCTCTAATACAGACACCTCGCTAATACAGACACCTCTAATACAGACACCTCTCTAATACAGACACCTCTCTAATACAGACACCTCTCTAATACAGACACCTCTCTAATACAGACACTTCTCTAATACAGACACCTCTCTAATACAGACACCTCTCTAATATAGACATCTCTCTAATACATACACTTCTCTAATACAGGCACCTCTCTAATACAGACACCTCTCTAATATAGACATCTCTCTAATACATACACTTCTCTAATACAGGCACCTCTCTAATACAGACACCTCTCTAATATAGACATCTCTCTAATACATACACTTCTCTAATACAGGCACCTCTCTAATACAGACACCTCTCTAATATAGACATCTCTCTAATACATACACTTCTCTAATACAGGCACCTCTCTAATACAGACACCTCTCTAATATAGACATCTCTCTAATACATACACTTCTCTAATACAGGCACCTCTCTAATACAGACACCTCTCTAATATAGACATCTCTCTAATACATACACTTCTCTAATACAGGCACCTCTCTAATACAGACACCTCTCTAATATAGACATCTCTCTAATACATACACTTCTCTAATACAGGCACCTCTCTAATACAGACACCTCTCTAATATAGACATCTCTCTAATACATACACTTCTCTAATACAGGCACCTCTCTAATACAGACACCTCTCTAATATAGACATCTCTCTAATACATACACTTCTCTAATACAGGCACCTCTCTAATACAGACACCTCTCTAATATAGACATCTCTCTAATACATACACTTCTCTAATACAGGCACCTCTCTAATACAGATACCTCTCTAATAGGGACACCCCTCTAATACAAACACCTCTTTAGGAGTCTAATATAAACACCTTAAAAATTAGAGTATAATTCAGAAATTTAATTGTGTATCTTTTTACTCCAGCACCAAGACGCTGGATTTACATTTGGCAAGAACTTAGCACTTCTTCGACAACTTTTCAAAGACTACCAAGAAATCAACACAGAATTAAAAACTGTCGCACTAATCAATGCTGTGGTGATCCAAAACAAGCACATACTACCACCCGATGTACTGGAAAACCCCCTAAATACCCAGATAGCAGTGCCTGAAAGTACAAGGTTGAAACTACAAAATTCCAAGACAGCAGAGAAAATTGAAGACTTAGCAAATAGCTACAGGAACAATGCTTTAGAAAGTCTGGAATGTTTTCCAAATTCTAAGGCTAAAACTTGCTTAGAAAATCTTGTCAAGCATCTTGTGGTTGGACAGAATAAATAGATGGTTATATTTGAATAATATTTACAGCTGTTTTAACTCGCTAACCCATCAAGTTCCATTGCATCTCACTTTATTATTTTACTCTGTCTAACGCCAGACAATTTTACTCTTCGAGGGGAGAGCTCTGACACTCAATGGGTTAATGTGTGTAGTTAACCTATTAGGTTGCATTGTGTCCTGATGTGCCCTACTTTATTATTTTGCTCTGTCTAACGCCAGATAATTTTACTCGTCAAGGGGAGAGCTCTGACACTCAATGGGTTAATTTACAGCTTATTAATTCACACACCCAAAAGAACATTGACAATTTACACAACAACTAAAAGACTTTATTAAATGTAGATTTTGTTATGTAATATATAAATAAATAAAATATTTAACCTTTTCATGATTTCCTAAAATTAATTTCTAAGCGTTAAAATGAGCTTGTAAAAGAAATCTAATGAGTGCATTTCCACAGAGCGCTAAAAATTCAAATTTGTACTACTCGCTAAGTGTCTTGCAATCCTTGAAGTGAAATTCACATTTCTCCCCCGCCATATGCGGTAACAATTAAATCCACCAATGACAACGATATTATTAAATCTACCATTGCAATGGACATGCTTTGCTGTGTAAAAACCACTGTTCTATACAAACCAATTTGAAATGTGATTATGCAGTGCAAATATCAGACGCGCAAGCCGCGATTTAGGTTCAATCATATGCAAATATCCAATTGATTTAGAATTTAATTCTAGAATGGCGTCTATTGGCAAATTTTCCCATTGTGTTCCCGATAAGGTAGGCGGAATCCAATTAAGAATAAAATCGGCTCAACGGACGTCCTATGGAGTGAACATACTGCGCTACGATTTGTAAACACGGAAAATGTGTTGGAAACCAAATTTATTTTGTTTGAGAAAATAAAGAAAAACAAACGGTTTTAGCGAGCGAGCTGTATATTTAGTAATGCAGCTAAGAAGACGCCAGATGAACGCCCAGCAAATAAGTTTACAAAAAGACGCAGATGAATTAGTAAATTTATAAAGTCAATGCCAGCTCGTATAAAGCGTTCATTGCTAATATTAAGCCGTTGTTTGCGATAACTTGTTTAAAGAAGAGTAACAAAAGTCGAGCAGCTTTGGGCAGATGCTTTCCAAGAAATAAAGTAAATAAAGGTAAGATTTATCTTATGATAAAATCAGATTATGAAAGATATTGTTAGCGGGGGTTAACATGCGTCATTATTCCGTGCAAATCAGAATTTCACGTCGATCGCCCTGCTTCTATACGTAGCTTTAAATACGCCTCGTTTGTGATAGAATCTCCAAGATCCATATAGCTTACAGCAGTATCCAACGTTTTGAGAAAAATCAAGATGAAATAGCTAACGTGAACCTGAGTTCAAAATATGACCTTTATTTTATAATTACTCCCTATTTAGTTACTTTCTGTTGTTGCCAAATCGTTATCCTTCATAGTTTCCTCTTGTAATAAAATACAAACACGTCAATGATTTTCTTCATATATTAAGGTGTTCGGAACCTCGAATATTTCGGGCAGAGGCCTTTTTATACTCCTTTCGTATACAAGAGTAGTTAAGTTGATTATAACTTGATATGAGGGTTTGTCTTGATAGCAAAGATAATCGATTTACATTGTGTTAAGAGCCGGACGTGGAACACAAACTGATCAAAGATCTTTTTCAATGGCGTTAATTAAGACAAAATTAATCATAAAGAATGATATAAATCTAAAATATATTGGAAATTTTGTCTGAAAACAGAATATGAATGCCATTTCCCAACAGTTCATCAACGTAAACTTACTTTGCCACTTCAACGGCGTCTATCACTTGATTATTTATTGACTTACACTTAGGAACTGTTTACATGATCCAGCTTTGGTGAAATGAGAGCCAGATCATTTTGAAATATTAGTAACGATTGAATAACATCTTGAATGAATTCCTCATGAGTCCCTATTTTTTTAAAGATAGCTTCGCCAGGCAATTGTGTTATTAATCTAATGTATATGTTTAGACTAGTATTGATCTATAACGTGTATAAGACCTACGCAAAAAACAGATTGTAGTTCTGTATATTACTTTAAAAATTTGGAACCACGCTGGTATGAGATATATTTATCACATTTGAAATGATTCCTAATTGATTTCAAGATGAACAACTCAGCAAGTTATCGGCTTTGCTAAATCGTAAACTATAAGTTCTATACATATAACATACTTTGTTTTAAGTTTATATTATGCTTTATCTTTAATCTTCTTCATCTGTGAAGAATTAAGGTAATTTGAACGTAAGCTTCCCTAGGATAGTCTAGACTACTGTCGTCAAATCTGTGCAGGTTAAACCTTAAACGAGTTTTAAAGGCTGCGAATCAATGCTGTTCTCTCAACGTTACACGAGGTCAAACAGTTCCGGAGATTACGGTCTTGAGAGGAACAGCTAACTAAATTGTTTTGTCGAATATTTGAAATAGTAAACGTTCCACGCTCGTGATCTTGTGTTTTCGTTTTAACTGCATGTCTTTGATATACTGCATGCCTTGGGATAAGAATATCGGAAAGGAGTTGTCTGAGTAGTGAATGATCCGAGTAAGTTGGTCAAATGATCCATTTTCACTCAATGTTACATTTCAGAGAGAGAGGGTTCTGGTATTCCTTGATGAATGAGTAGGAACCGTCAAACATATAGCAGTGTTCTAAGACTACGATCTGATGAGCCCCACATTTTAAAGAACAAGCCATTTTTGTCTCGAAAAGGCAAACAGACGCGCGTTAGACGAATAACGTTAAGCCACGTCAAAGTACAGATGTAAGGCAGTAAGCAGTTGGCAAATTATGCTAATTATGTAATTTACAATCGTTGGGGATGCGATTTTATTAGTAAGGTTAAAATATTTTGCAGTAAAATATCTAAGAAATCACAACCATGATTTTGTTACGAAGCAAAATTGAGCTAACAAGCAACGTATTATAAAACTTATCAACACGAAAAATAATTTTATGATCGATTTTATGAAAATTGAATCCGGATATTTGGCAGTTTAAGTATTTAAAACAAATGTTTTCTCAGAGCTGTACTTTCATGTTCAATGCATGCATGGATAGATGTAAAAAGATATTGAAGAATGATAAATCGTTATATTTGTGCGTTGGAAATAGATGACGTGTAAAAATAGCAAGGCTTTGTACTAATTAGCAAGCGTCGTAATTGAAGGCGTTACGTTATTAATGCGTTATAGCTAATTTCCTCGCATTATTACTTAGGCTAATTATTATGCGTGATTTTAAAGTAAATACAGTATAAATCCTGGCCAGCACCTGCCCTCGACAATGTATAAAGACGAGTAATGCTGCACACTTGTTCTTTTAACGAAGCCTTCACAGGACTATGACCAGATAGAACTCAAATGCAAAAAGAAATATCTGAAAAGAACAGATTGAGCAGAAAAGGAACCCAAAATCTAACTGTGTGGAATTAAGAAAGAATAGAAATATATCAGTACAAAACTGTAAGTAAAAGTAAAGTAACATTTCTCGTTTTAGAGAGAATGTGCTCGTATCCAACTTTTCTTTCAAAAGAGAAGGAAACAACTAATTTCTGTTTCACAAATTTCCTTGTTTGCTAGTGTCTACAGTAACTCGTTTTCTTTGCGCGTATATTAATGAGGTCCAAGACGAATTTTCAAATCAAACCTATAGCTTTTTGTCACTTTTTGTTTTGAAATGTTTGCACACACAAATGCATTACTGGTGAAAATATTACAAACAGTCATTGCTCATCTTACTAAAAATTTAAAACCTTCAAGATTTCATGTTAATTAAGTCTGTAGTTATTGATTCAAATAAACCTCGAGATTTTTTCTTTCGTTTCTTCAGTATTATATATATCTTAAATGTCCGTACATTGAACCTCAACACTTGTCAAGCAGGAATATTCGTGATTATATTTAAGACCAGATTATCTTTGGTGAAATATTTAATTATGAATTAAAAGTAGCTAGTTGAGCGTAGATTTTTCAACAGTGGTTTTGCCTGCTGAGAGAAGATTAATGATGGGTTGACAACGGACATGCACACGTGATTGTGTTGTGGTAACATGCACATGTAACTTTAATCCCAACGGCATGAGGTTGTTATATTTAACAATTTCTTTAGTGTTTGGGTTATTTGCGTCTTACAGTAGCTATCTCACTGTTTTACATAATATGGGGGCGGCGCGCTTGACGCGTAGGCTGTGAACGACACAAAAGAACATAGTCTGAAATTTGGCAGCTGCCTCAAAATACAGTTTCATTGCCAAAATGTTATTGATTAGATCTATTTATGATATTGCTAACTTACTGCGGGCTATTCTAGTTGACCATTATATATGAAAACATGATAAATATAATTACAACACGTCAAAAACTGTACCATTAACGATAGTTTTGGAGTCAGCTAGCCAACCTGCAGAGTCGTGTCCAGACCTCCTAATTTCGCGCCACCCCGTTTGATTTTGTAAAAGAGGAATATCTGCCAACGAAGAATATCTTCAAATCTTGTTTAACGGAACTGTCTCTGTGTGTCATTAAATCAGACAACCGCAGCCTTAGGAAATAATTATATTAATGATTCAAAACGTTGTTGAAAAGTTTTTATGTTGTACATGTTTTAAACGTGAAGTTCAATGCAGTTATATACTCTGAAACGTTGTAATTAACAAAATATGTTTGACCTAAATTAAACCTGCAAACAATAGGCAGTAATACCGGCGCAGGGGGGATCACATGTAGGAAGTTGAGAATCCCAACAAGAAATATAATCAGGAAAGTTCTTTACATTTATTAGTCTTAACCAGGAGCAGTTTGGAAAAATACAACTATAGTGCCTCTGCCAGGAATCAAACCTGCAGCTCTGCGATTCCGGTGCAGCGCTCTAACCAACTGAACTACAGAGAGACAGTTGTCGAGCTCTAACCAACTGAACTACAGAGAGACAGTTGTCAAGCTCTAACCAACTGAACTACAGAGAAACAGTTGTCAAGCTCTAACCAACTGAACTACAGAGAGAGAGTTGTCTAGCTCTAACCAACTGAACTACAGAGAGAGAGTTGTCGAGCTCTAACCAACTGAACTACAGAGAGACAGTTGTCGAGCTCTAACCAACTGAACTACAGAGAGAGAGTTGTCGAGCTCTAACCAACTGAACTACAGAGAGAGAGTTGTCGAGCTCTAACCAACTGAACTACAGAGAGACAGTTGTCGAGCTCTAACCAACTGAACTACAGAGAGAGAGTTGTCGAGCTCTAACCAACTGAGCTACAGAGAGACAGTTGTCGAGCTCTAACCAACTGAGCTACAGAGAGACAGTTGTCGAACTCTAACCAACTGAGCTACAGAGAGACAGTTGTCGAGCTCTAACCAACTGAGTTACAGAGAGACAGTTGTCGAGCTCTAACCAACTGAGCTACAGAGAGACAGTTGTCGAGCTCTAACCAACTGAGCTACAGAGAGACAGTTGTCGAGCTCTAACCAACTGAGCTACAGGGAGACAGCTGTCGAGCTCTAACCAACTGAGCTACAGAGAGACAGTTGTCGAGCTCTAACCAACTGAGCTACAGAGAGACAGTTGTCGAGCTCTAACCAACTGAGCTACAGAGAGACAGTTGTCGAGCTCTAACCAACTGAGCTACAGAGAGACAGTTGTCAAGCTCTAACCAACTGAGCTACAGAGAGATAGTTGTCAAGCTCTAACCAACTGAGCTACAGAGAGACAGTTGTCGAGCTCTAACCAACTGAGCTACAGAGAGACAGTTGTCGAGCTCTAACCAACTGAGCTACAGAGAGACAGTTGTCGAGCTCTAACCAACTGAGCTACAGAGAGAGAGTTGTCTAGCTCTAACCAACTGAGCTACAGAGAGAGAGTTGTTGGCCATCTTAGTTGATAGAACTAGCATTTAGTTATATCCATGCTCAAAATCCTGAATATGTTTGTGGAGTGTAAACCACCCCAATGATGAATTAAATTGATCAGACAGTAAGTTTCATTTGACCACAAATGCTCAACACAGGTAAAACAGGTCACCGAGTTTTTCTTAATTAAATTGATACGAAGAACAACAGTTTTGATCATAATAAAATATTATAATAAAATTGAGTAATAAAAGCGAAGTAATATATGGTTATGAAATGCAACAGTTAGAATGGATCAGTAATAAAACAAGGCGACGCACAAATCATGAACAATAATAGCAATGGAAAATAAGATTAAATTAGCTTTAATAAAATTTCATTCGCTGTTTTTTTATTAATATTTTATTGCTTAGTACGACAGGTGCATGGAACTGTGGGCAGACATACACTCAGACGTCAAATGCATGGGAGACCAAAGTTATAAAGCAATTTTTTGTGTGCAAATCCTAATACCATTTTCTTTCAGACTATTAGAATATAGTGGCAATAATAGGGAAGCTGGGGGATTGATAGGGATACAAGTATCTGAAAAATACAAAGAAATCTTCGACGTTTCGAGCAAGGCGCTTCTCCTTGAATCTTTCAGACTATGTCCATATATAGAAATATCTTTCATAACGATATATATAATTGATAGAAATCTAACAAGTTCTTTGTAGATCTATTTTTTGGCCCAGGCGTAGATGCAGGTGGAAAGCTTTGCAGTTTCCAGACAATAAATCAATATAGCGTTCCATAGTTTTACTAATATGGTATTCTAGCTCTTCGAAAAAAACCCGCGTATAATTGTCCATGGCCCATGGCCATGGGAAATTAATGCTCTCTTATAAATTGGCTGGGAATACAGCAATATATAGGACGTGACGCAATTATCATGCACCAACCAAGCTGCCAAACCAACCAACCGATCAAAATATTGAAAACGTTGAAGCTTCTTCAGATGATAGGGAAATCTAGAACTAACTTTATGTAGAGTTCCGTATCTTATGCAGTGCAAACGACTTTCATGCAGAAATGAAAATATGCATGCTGTTCCCTACAAACACATTGTACTTTCGCTTATTCTCAGTACAAGGAAAAGTGGAAAACGTATGCATTATACTTTATCTCCCAATTATTTCTCGATCAAATTAAGAAAATCTAAAACATTTATTCCTTATCTGCAAAACATTCGTACACGGAATAACACACATGCCATTTTTTTAAAAAATTGATTCGCATCGAGAAAATTAGGATCTGTACTTGAAGGTAAACCACAGACAACGCACTCAACTGTCACCTTCAAGAATATCTCTACAAATATTGCCTCTAAATGGCACAACATTCTGGAATTATATAATCTTTACATGTAAGGTGATGTAAACTTTTAAAGGTGTTGCAATGTTAGAAATTGCTCTTATCAGAAACAAAATCATCATTGCAACTGCAAGGTGAGAACTTATCTGCACGAGGTTGGAATAAGACAATTAAAAACTCACTATATAGGTGTGTAGGCGTTTGGGCTATAGGAATATGAAAACTCATGTGCCATTTCGCTCGGACATACTTTGTGAAAATTCCCAATATTGAGGGAATTTCTCCTATTTATTTTTATAATAAGCTAATATTACCCAACTGTGAAGCACATATTGCCCGACTGGCCTAGTCTGCCCAACAATCTGAGGGGGGCTCCCCCCCCCCCGGCCCCGTACGCCTATGCTTCGCTTGAAACGTCGAAGTTCTCCTTGTATTTTTGAGGTAGTTGTATTCCTACCAATCCGAAGCTTTCTTCTTATTGCCACGACCTACGGCAGACGAGAACGTATCATGGTTTTACTCGGGAAAACGTTTGCCATGAACAAGATATAAATTAAGCCCAAAAAGTTGTACAACAATGCCGCATATTACATGCCCTATGTTGCATAAATACTACCGACATATCTAAATCTTGATGAGCTGGGGATTTCTACAAGTTTTAATTAAGTGAAATTAAAACCACATTTAACTTTTCATAATCCGAATAGGAATTGATTTTGAAACAGTTATCTTTTAGAACAATATATATTACCATACATAGAACCATATGAAGGCCGCGAGTTTAGGCGAGGCCGCAAGTTTATCAGTTTTACTGTTGCCCTCTTTAAATATAGGAGATTATTATTCTGATTTTCCACTCAAAAGGCAAACAAGACATCTGTCTATCTCAGAGCGATCAAACACTGCAAAGAATACTGACTATGCTGCGAATGTTGAATGTTAGAGAAAGTTTTATGATCCGGAAACCGGCAGCTTTAATCAGAGAAAAACGCAACATCACTTTTTAATTAATGAATTACAATAAACAAGGGAAGAAATAGGCAAGGTTTTGTAAAAACTTAGCATTGCAAGACTGGGTTTTGAATAATTTCCTCCATTCAAATTGCCACTAGACTGTCAGAGACGTTTAGCTTACTCGATATCTTCGGTCCATGATAGAAAACGAAAAAAATAAATGAACTCCAAGAAATGTTATTGACAAAGGAAGAAATTAGGACCTTATGTCTTCAATAAAACACAAAAACAAAATATCTTTAAGTTAAGATAAACAAGTAGTTTTCAAATTAAAACGATTATCGACCACCAAGGATGTTTATACTGTGTTTTCATTGGCATAATAAACAGAGGATGACAATCCTCCCTGATGTAGATAGAGAAAGATAGAATATCTCAATTAAAGGCATAGTGACCGACTAATTTCTTTATAAAAGAACATCATTAGAACAAAGTTGTGTATTGGGCTACAATCCTCGCAGGAAGTTAGGTGTAGGTCGAAAGCATAGAGAACATGCCATGTCTGGAGATATGTCATAAGAAAAAAATATTTTCCATATACAGCAATGTGTATTGTTGGAGAATGTCCTCTGGTGTCTACGCCTCTGCAATGTGGAGGAACGTGTAAAATTATATATCCACAAATGCCCCATGCTGTGCTATCATACAAACAGATTTCTCAATGTTTAGAATAACTGTGAGCTATGGTCCACCTTTTCTCTGCCAGTAAAGAAACATTACGATCTGAAGACAAAATATTGCACATTGGAGAATGCGCTCTGAATTGTTAACTTTCAGCCTTGTTTTAAGTTGTTTATTACTGTTCAACACAAGACAGTGCTGAGGCATTCACCGCTCTACATTATTTCTAAGCACAAGTAGCCAACCATTGAACTGTAAGTAAACTCAACAAATGCATATCTGTGCATATACGTTTAAGAAACTCAATAATTCACGAGGAAAAGACAAAGGAATCACTTCTTAGGTTTCATATAGACCACGATACCTTCACTGTACCACGGAATTATTGTAGTATACATTTCTCATACGCAAGCATACGCAAGCTTGGGCGGGAATATATAAGCAAGGCCAGATGATAGAGGCGGGGAAGCAGGATTATAGGGAGGTTAATTTAAGGAAGATTAAAAAGACCCCACATCCAATAACAGCACAAGAAAATGACTTAATCAGAACGTAATTTCTTAATCAGAACTAAGCAGCTTGTGGGATACTCTCAACACAACGAGATTAAAAAATCATCCTAAATATTACAAGGACACAGTTGTTAAGAACATGTGAATCATACTCGGCCATTCATCATATTGCAATTCAATGCGCGCAAGAATTTCGACCATTGTACAAAAAATGTCCCAAGTGCGGGAAATATGCAAATCATGCGCAAACGATGTACGCACGTGGTTTGAGGAACATCAGGCAATTGTCGAGTTGCTAAGTGGCAACTGTAATGCTTGATTGTTGACCAGAAAATGCATTCCAAAAGTGATTGATAGGGTTAAGTGTATAAGACCAAGATAATACAGCTGACAATGTAAAGATTTCCGACATCTTGAAAGGCAGCATTGATACGTCATGATAAGTTCGTTGATGATCCATGTTTGTTCAATTTTTATAATTCCTCTGTGACATCTCAAAGCACGTGGCTACATAGTTGGCTTTATTTAACACACGGCGAGGCATGATCAGTCCAACAGATCATTCACACAGTCAACGTGTTAACAAGAGCTCTTCAAGGTTTTGAAATCATTCGAAGACACATCTTTCAATAAGAGACACATCGTTTAATACGGGACATATCTTTCAATTGCGAATCAATTTTCAAGTTTAAATTGTAAGTACAGAATATATTATATTTATTTTGGTTCATGAAATGTAGACTACTCGATATCGTCACGACAGGGAAAGCTATACTATCATAGATACTATATATACAGCCTCAGCAGCCGTGTTGTATGAGATATACAAATTCATACCAAGAGAGTGAGAAAAAAGATTACGCGAATCAGAAGAATGTTGTTTTTGTGGACCTCATTAATTAAACATAGATTTCTTTTGAATTTTCTTCATGAATTATCAATGTTTTTACAATATTTTTCTATGCATGTGCTTTAGTTCACGAAATCGCAGAGAATGTTCTAAAGCAAAAAAAAACTTATATACTATAGTCTGTTTCATCCTAACTGGTCAGGGTGAAACCATTGCTAGGGACTATTTGAAAACAAGCCAACGCTATTTAGTTATGCATATGGCGCGTGGTTTTCCTCTAAAGTACAAGTTCATAACAGAATATACTTTGAAAGACCTTTACAGTACAAAGTCTGTGGCTAATTTTGCAGTAGTTTACAATAAGAGTCTCCTTGACATGTCGACTGCAAGGCAATGATACGATGATTATTTCGGGGGAAAATCAAAATTAAACAAAATTGAAAACAATTATTTCATGAAAAGTGTAACAAGAAGCCAGACAGCGTGTCATTTAAATATTCTCGAAGCATAGAATTAAAACATAGTTGCTATCGTTGCGTGTGGCACGTTTAATAAAATCCGCAATAAAACTAAGCAGATCAAGCTCCTATCAAAGTAATACTTATAGATTTTAAGCCTCTTTAATTTCATTTAACATGTCACTACGTGTGCTTTCTACCAATCACAATGCGGCATTAATTACGCATTGACACTACATGACTGTAGCGGTTAACTGTAGACTTCGCAACTGGCTCGCCATGATATGAATTGAAAATAAAGATTTTATCAGTAAAGTGTTTATAATCCTTGCCACATAGATCTTTGCGGTTTGTTGATCGATAAACACCTCGGGGTTTTTTTTTTCCACAACTGTATAAGATACAAAATATGCATATAGTGCAAAACTTATTTCTAATTTGTAACGGTATAATATATTTTACAATCACATTGCAAATCTGCCCACGCTCGGGAAGATGACATTCACAAATATTTTTACCGTTTTTTTGCGGTTGAATCCAATTAATAAATAGAGCAAAACCCTCGCGCACGTCTTAATACGTTTTAGGTTGAAAATTTAATAACTTGCGGTTTTGCTACAAAATAAATACGTGCTGCTGTATGATCACAACATGCTGAGAAAATTGTTGGGCAATTTTCAAAATAAAAGTTTATTAAAGTGTTATAAGGTATACAGTTATAGCGAAGTATTTGAGCCTTGAGCATACTGAGCGATATTAAATGGCATTTTATTGCACGAAATCAATCTTACTTATAAACGACTCAGCACGAGAACAGTAGGGTAGTTAGCTAAACTGGCTGTTGATTGGTTCCCTCTGTTATTTAATTAGAATCGTGAGTTGTGAAACAACGGCTAATTTGATGAAAAGCGTGTATTTAATATAAACAACGTAATGAAGCTCCGAGTAGGATGTCTTTGTGTGAAAACTATTCGAGGCTCTTATCATAATGTCTTAAATGAAAGAATGTGTTAGACTGACGTTTATATACGCTTTATTTCTAGAAAGTGAAAGGAGTCTTTCACAGAAAACAAGAGAATATCGAGATATATTGACTGGAGACAAGAAAAACTTCTTCATGGCTAAAGTTATACTCATATTGACAATGTTATTGCTATCTCTTATGCTGTGCTTCCATATAGCAGAGAGTTTCGCGCCTTTTCCAGGAAAGTGTGGAGGTTGGGGCTGTCGAAGTGCAAAGAGGACACATGTACACAGTATTGTTGGATCACACAGTATCTGTGGAAGCAATGCTCAATGCTTGAGGACGATGAAGAAACTCATTACATCAAGCAAGTATCGGCAGTTGAAGAGGTACACTCGAAAGAGAAAAGTTATTCGTGGTCGAAGATACCGAGCTTGAACAATCAACTCACATCACGCAACACCTCAATGGCGAAATGGGATGGAAAAACACCATACTTACTTCCCCAAAAACATTCTCAACTAAACAAATAAGACTCATATCTCGGAGTATGAACTTTAACAAAATCCTCCGACTAAAAAGGAACTAAAAAGCGAGAGGAAAAGCTGTCCCAACGCGTGACACAATTATAGTGTGACACTGTGACTGGAACTTGTTGAGAACATTTCGTGATATGATTAATGACATTTTAAATCCAGCTCAAGGAAGAAATCTTTTGGGAAACCCGGCAAAGGAACGTGGAAAATGTATCATATATAGTTGACTTAATATTTCGTCTTTTTCTTCGGAATGAAAGATGAAAAGTGCATGGGAATTGGAAAGTGTGCAACAGGCTATATGTTTTAGCTATAGACACGAGCTACAGTTCTGTCCACAGTTCATTAAGTTTCCTATTGTGCGGCGCGCATCTGAGAAGGAAAAGCTTCGAGAGTGCAAAATATCGATTTTACAGATGCCTTGGCAAACCATCTGTTTACGACGTGAGTTCAAAAATGTCAACAATGCCATCAGAATGAACTAGTCAGTATTCTTGTTATCATGAAGCAATTCAAAATTGTCATTCTCAAGAACATTTTATGTGACTAGAACAAACTGAAAAGTAGCGTATGGTAATAATTATAGATATTGACGTATTTAAATTACTCCGAACTTGACCTGTATATAACGCAGGGCGACCACCCAACTGAATTGTAGATGTATATATATATTATTGTATTTAAAATATTCTTCATGCATACGCTGTCAATAATATCACAAATTCTTCAACTTTTGTGTTGTGTTTCTTATGTGTTTTTGCAACAGCTGTGAGCGTTTAGCCAAGTATTTAAGGTTGACATTATCAAAGTTTTCGTTGATCCAAGTTTATATTGCTCATTGTCAAAATCTTTTAAATACTTTAGACACTTACAAGACGAAGAAATTTTGATAATGTACGCCAATATTTTACTCAGGAATTATTCTACTTAGGAATTCTAGAAAATGTAAATTACGAAGTCATGCGTTCAAAGTCATGATGTTTTAATACAAGTATTGAATTTCAAATTAGGACATTACTTCTTTGATTCGATAGGATAGATCAAGATGACATTATTTCTTTGATTCGAAGGACCGTGCATGGTTTTCCTTATTATTTCTCACAATCTCGCCCCATTTAGCTGGTGAGAACATAAAACCCTATATTTACCCTGAATAATTATTTGAAAAATTTCAACATGCAGTAATGTCCTGTTACTAGCCTTAAATTTGCATATTTTAAACTATAAATTAATTCTACTTGTAATGAGTTGAACAGCTTCATGTCATTGTGAAGCTTGAATATATATGCACTTATAACGTTGAACTGGCGCAAGTACTCGAGGTATGACGTCATTCTTATACATATGTACACCACAAGATCATCAGAACAGCAAAGAAATAATTCTGAAATTTTCTAATGTTTTGTTTTTGTTTTTGACGTTTTGTTTTCAGATGGAGGTCGCTTTTCTATGGTTTTATGAAAGTAATCATTGTTTCCAACATGTGGCAACGAAATTCGTTATCTATATAGGCACATTTTAAGCATTCATTTCACAGTTCACTATGACAACTAAAAACAAGTAAAATCATGGTATATAAAAATAGTACATCTAGCTGCTTCTATACTCCTATATAGAGAATGTTTTATCGACACTTTTTCCGGTGAAGCAGTCAGAAATAAATCTCTCTGTCTATAGCAGATTTTATCAAAAACACCGGATATATACTTATATATACAACTGAAATTGTTATATGCATGCATGAAATGTAAAAAATACCGTTTAACGGTATTGTCAATGATGTCACTCCACGTTTGACGCAGTTCTACATACATATATAGTAATACTATAATACTTTCTCACTATATAGTAATACTATATTTAGTAGAACTGCGTCAAACGTGGAGTGACATCATGGTCTGTATTAGGCGAGGTTTTCTATGTAATTTTAATATAGGTCAAAACTGGACGGCATGGACAACAATTGGAGATTCAAAACAGTGAAAAGACAATGAAACATTCTGATCATTGGATCGCGACTGGCTGGTATGGAGAACACTGATTGGACTTTCAAAACAATGAAAAGAGAATGAAACATTCTGATCATTGGATCGCGACTGGCTGGTATGGAGAACACTGATTGGATTTTCAAAACAATGAAAAGAGAATGAAACATTCTGATCATTGGAACGCGACTGGCTGGTATGGAGAACACTGATTGGATTTTCAAAACAATGAAAAGAGAATGAAACATTCTGATCATTGGATCGCGACTGGCTGGTATGGAGAACACTGATTGGATTTTCAAAACAATGAAAAGAGAATGAAACATTCTGATCATTGGATCGCGACTGGCTGGTATGGAGAACACTGATTGGATTTTCAAAACAATGAAAAGAGAATGAAACATTCTGATCATTGGATCGCGACTGGCTGGTATGGAGAACACTGATTGGATTTTCAAAACAATGAAAAGAGAATGAAACATTCTGATCATTGGATCGCGACTGGCTGGTATGGAGAACACTGATTGGATTTTCAAAACAATGAAAAGAGAATGAAACATTCTGATCATTGGATCGCGACTGGCTGGTATGGAGAACACTGATTGGATTTTCAAAACAATGAAAAGAGAATGAAACATTCTGATCATTGGAACGCGACTGGCTGGTATAGGAGAACACTGATTGGACTTTCAAAACAATGAAAAGAGAATGACACATTCTGATCATTGGATCATGACTGGATGGCATCGCGAACAATTGGATTTTCAAAACAATGAAAAGACATATTATGCTATATAGTTAGACCGACAAATTCAATAAAGTTTGATTTAATACCAGCTTGGCAATATGATGGATATCAAACATCAAACGCGGACAAACAAAAATTAAAAACAAAAAAGAATAAATGCAGTAAGCCTGTTCTAACGTGTAATTACAGAATAATTTTCCATTGCTTGAGTAAATACTAAATTGTTTTCACACAAAATGTCCAATTGACTAAACGTGAGATAAAATAGAGCACAAACCTCTACTTCTCAGAGACGTCAGTGAGTTTCGTAGGATCATTCTCTGGAGTGAGAGAGACAGATAGAGGCATTCCTTTGTATTTATGAGGGAGCGGTTCCAGAGCACGGTTTACTGGTGGAGCTTTGCCACGGAATTTTACTTCAGTTGCACTAAGTGCGCTTTTGTCACTGTTGGCGTTGCTGATTTTGCTTTCAATTTCTGCAATTTAGAAAAATAGCGAATGAATATTTGGCGAAGAAGCCTGTTCCTGAGTTGAGAGAACTAAACACGCTTTCTCCGCGTAGTCTTTTCCCCTCTGTAATAACACTGGATCAAGTGATAGAGCTATCAGTATAAATAAAGTTAGTTTAGTTTAGGTTTCCTCCTGTAGTAACACTGGATCAATAAGAGATGATCCTTACAGGACCTCCAGGGAGAACAGTTTAGAACTGATAGAGCTATCCAGTACAAATAAAGTTAGTTTAGTTTAGGTTTCCTCCTGTAGTAACACTGGTTCAATAAGAGATGATCGTTACTGGACCTCTTTTGAGAAAAGATAGAGCTAGATTTGCCACGGAACAACAACAGCACCAACACTCACCAGCAAGATCTTCCTCGGTGATACTTTGCAGTCTGGTAGTTCCCAGGTGAGAGTCAGATTCAACACCTTGAATCTCCAGTATCCGAGGTGACGTCCCGTCAGTATGGTGGACTAGTAACCTCTCATCACAGTTAGGAAGTATACATGGTCCTTCAAAAGTGTCGCGGTTGGAAACACACGTTACTTTACCATGGATAAGAACCAGCTCTACCGCATGTGGCGATGGTTGAAATATAGTTTGGCCCTGACTAGCTTTGGGTAGGTCTACCATTGTAGATTTTTCACAGAATAATCTGATTTTCTCTTTAGTCCAGCCGCTATAAGTCGGGTGACTCATGAGCAAGGGTACTGCAATACGGATACTACATACTCGCCAGATGCTTTCCGTTAGTGAAGGATAGAGTTGTAGTGCTTTTTCCATCTTCTCAACAGAGAGAAAATATAACTAGAAAAACAGAATGTGATGGTAATACTTAGTATAGCATTGCATCATATTGTAACATAACACACCATACTATAGATAGCACTACCACACCATACCACACCGTACCATACCATACCAAATCATACTACACCATATCACACCATACCACACCGTATCATACCATACCAAATCATACCACACCATATCACACCATACCACACCGTACCATACCATACCATACCATATCATACCACACCACACCATATCATACTACACTATACCACACCGTACCACACCATACCACACCATACCACACCATACCACACCATACCACACCATACCACACCATACCATATCACACTATACCACACCGTACCATACCATATCATACCACATCATACCACACCGTACCATACCACACAATACTGCACCATACCATACCATACCATACCACACCATATCATACCATACCATATCATACCACACCATACCACACCGTGCCATACCACACAATACTGCACCTTACCATACCATACCATATCATACCATATCATACCATACCATATCATACCATACCATATCATACCATACCATACCATACCATACCATACCATATCATACCACACCATACCACACCGTGCCATACCACACAATACTGCACCTTACCATACCATACCATATCATACCATACCATACCATATCATACCATACCATACCATACCATACCATACCATATCATACCATACCATATCATACCATACCATATCATACCACACCACACCACATCAGACTATGCCATACCATGTCACATCACATCACATCATAGCATATCATACCTGAACAGTGGTTTCACAAATGACAGAAGCATTCCTAGCAGAACCAGTCAACATCCCCATTTCTCCGATGATATTTCCAGCACAGAGATAGTCAGTCTGAACGTTCATTTCACCCAATCTTGTCTCATCGTGTTCTTTCAGTGGAATGGACACACCAATCATCTGTAAATATACAAAAATTCTGTTTGCAAATTCCTTAGTCATACGTTGTTTCAATTTCTATTACAAATCGCCTGAGCCTAAAAAGTTCTACATTTGGTATTCCCATCAAAAATAATGATAGAGTTTATTTAGGATGGACAAACTTCGGCAGCAGAGGTCCTTTGCCTGGAGGTTGATAGCGCTACTAACTAACAGACGAAGGCAGTTTGCTTAAAATGACGATGTTTGTGATTATTTTACAAGTAGTTGTGTCCTACATCTAAGCTTATCAATTGTACTCCTTGCTAGTTCATTCATCAGTTTATTTAAACAAATGTTGCTACATTTAAACATGGTAGTTCGGTTTTAAGTAGTATTGTACACAACACGCTGCCGTGGTTTGTGCCTAAACTACCTGAAAACGATCTCTCAAAAGTGGGTCCATTAAGCGTGTATTAAACTGCCGTAGTTTGTGTCTGAGCTACTTTATTAAAAAGATCAGAGACTCTTTGACGATCGTATCACAGAAAGAGGTTGGTAGTGGCCAACGAAGGGTCTTGAAACGTCGAAGTGTTCTTAATTTTTTTTAAAGTAGTTCAGACACAAACAAAGAAGTGCAAAGTCTGTATATTTGTAAACAATAACGGCTCTTATAGAAATCAAAGCCTTGCTAAACGTTTACTGGGTATTTCCCAATGCCACTTGGCAACTAAAACCACTTCACTCAAGTGATTATTGCTTTCTAAGTGGTTACTTGAACCAAGTTTGTAAACTATGTATGCACTTCATGTATGTAAACGTTATGGAGGAAAACTTGTACATATTCCACACCACCTGGCATTACTTGACGTACAAGTGAATGTTTTCTATCACTGAATTCAAGGTGGCCACTAGACCGACTATATATGAACATTGTATGTTTAACCTCTCTAATGGGAATAAACTATATATGTACATAAGTACATTGTACATTTTAACCTCTTTAATAGGAGGCACTTTGAACCACTTGATTTAATCGACTGTCTTCTATCACAGAACTGTAGGTGGCAACTATAAATGAACATTGCATGTCTTAACCTCTCTGATGGAAATAAACTTGTACCACTTGACTTAAGTGACTGTTCTCTCTTGCAGAGCCGGCCACTTGAAAACTGGTGGACTATATATGTACATGAATGTACAATCTAGATATTCTCAAGTACCGATACCTAGACACTACTTCACAATGTCAAGATTTCATGATTACACTATGTTTGTTTAGACGAGGTCGCCATAACAATGTGTTGTTATAAATAACTTCTGTTCTCACATCTAAACAATGTGCGATACACACTGTTGTGTTCTTGTTTACGCACTAAAGTTAATTATCATATCTTGCGCGCGCGCAAGGTAACACTTAGCTGGAAATATAAATAGAATGCTAAAATTATAACGAATGTTATATTTAACTGTTTGCGTGTTCTTCGGGGAGAAAAAATCAAATGAACTAAAGACAAACGGTTTATCCACGGAAAGGGTTTTAGTTTAAAGAAGCGCAAAGATTTCTGATCACCAGTAGCAGCTTTCACGTTTCACGTGTCGCTAGACCACTTTTCTTGAGTGTCTTACATATATGGATGTACATATTTGTACAGTTGTAAAATATAACCGCATAATGACAAATATTATCGATAACTTCTGTGCGATAGTTATCAAAAACTAAAAGCAAAGCGGTCTTTCTTCTAGAAAGAACAGTTTGGAACGCTAAAGATATCTTTAAAGCTATCCATACTAAATAAGGGATGACCCTTATTTCTTGTGGACAGCTCTATTTATTTATTTATTTATTAAACTTTGCCAAAAACACTTAACAGAACAGCAAATAGACATCTACACAATAAACATGGACAAAAATGGCAGGGACACCACAACAGTGTAAACCAATTACTGTGGGCCCTATACAAAAATACACATACAGTACAGAACATATAACATACAGTACATGGACAGGAGACTAAAAACAACAAGTTAGTTTAGAACGTAAGTAACGACTAGTGTTACACTTCAGACAAATAGTCTTCCATGTCCTCGGATCTTCTTCGTCGAAACATTCTCTCAGGGCTGTCAGGTAGTAAGTTTGTAAATCGGTTTTGAATTGCCTAATATTAATGTCAGGAGATCTTAGTGTAGTTGGTAAAGAGTTCCAAGTTCTGGATGTACGAATAAAGAAGGAGCGTTGGTAGGTAGAGGGTTTGCATTTGGCCGGACGGAAGGAGATTTGGTTGCCACTGGAGGATCTGGTCGTTCTGGTTTGGGACATGACTTCGGGGAGGACGTCATGGGACACGTCGACCAAGCCGTTCACCGCTTTAAAAAAGAACACGAGATCCAAATATTCGTGCCAGTAAGATAGCGGTAAGAGACCCTGTCAGTTCTAAACTGTTCTTCCTAGAGGTCCGATAAGAGTCTTCCCTTATTTTGTCTGGATAGCTCTGTCAGTTCTAAACTGTTCTTCCTAGAGGTCCGATAAGAGTCTTCCCTTATTTTGTCTGGATAGCTCTGTCAATTTTAAACTGTTCTTCCTAGAGGTCCGGTAAGAGTCATCTCTTATTTTGTCGGGATAGCTCTGTCAATTTTAAACTTTCTGGACAACTTTATCTGTTCTAAATTGTTGTTCCTGGAGGTCCAATAAGGGATGACCCTTATTGGACTTCCAGGAAGAACAATTTAGACTAAACTGTTTTAAATAGTTCTAAACTGGTTTTTTTTATTTTTAATTTAAAATCAGTCATTTTGCATGGGTTCGGGGTGGTGAAAAAAATCAGTCATTTTCCATGGGATGACCACAGGAATTTTTTAAAAAATCAAAAAGTGCCCCAAACCACTCCAAACTTCCCGAAACTTTCTGAAAATGGTCGAAAAGCATTTCTCGTATCAAAACAGTTAGTTTCGAGAGATAAAAACAGGTTTTAAAAATTCTGGTAAAATGCAAGGGGGGGGGGGCACAGGCATACCTACTACCTAGGCTGACCAATAAGGGATGACTCTTGTACCAGACGTCTAGGAAAAAAGAATCTGATAGAGCTATCTAGTAGATGCAAAGCTGGTTTACGACATATTGATATCATTCTACAACTACATACCTTAACAAGACCAGTTATAATAAGATACATTCCATCAGTCTTGTCTCCTTGACGTACTATCGTATCACCACTATCGAATATCTTTTCCACAGCCAGACTTGCAACATAATCAATAATTTCTTCATCCATGCCTTCAAGCCAGACCGTACTGCGGAGTAACACCTCAGGGGAGGGTGGGTGAATGTAAGATGGTGCACTCAGTTGCCGTTTCATTTTCACTTCAATAACCTAGAAAGAAAACACTCCGTCAAACAACGGGGAAATTTCAAAGCACCTGTCAACACTTTGCGATTTGCAGTGCAATTTTCTTCTTCTGATCGATGTGAATGAGTGATGAATGTTCAGTTGAGGGCATACATATACTCAGAACATTCATAACTCAAGAACAAAATTACACTAGAAATAGCAGCAAAAAATGCAAGTGTAAACGGGTCTTTTCGCGTGTAAACGGAGCCTTTGAAATGGGTTTGATCGAAGAGTATATCCTCGCATAACCTTACAAGTATGTCAAAACAATAGGTGACTGGATTACATGGAAAATAGTGGGATTTTCAAAACAATGAAAGGACAATGCAACATTCCAATCACTGGATCATGACTGGATGGCATGGAACACTGTGGGATTTTCAAAATAATGAAAAGACAATGGAACATTCTGATCACTGGATCATAACTGGATGGCATGGAACACTGTGGGATTTTCAAAATAATGAAAAGACAATGGAACATTCTGATCACTGGATCATAACTGGATGACATGGAGAACAGTAGGATTTTCAAAATAATGAAAAGGCAATGGAACATTTTGATCACTGAGTCATGACTGGATGACATGGAGAACAGTTGGATTTTCAAAACAATGAAAAGACAGTGGAACATTCTGATCACTGGATCATGACTGGATGGCATGGAGAACAGTGAGATTTTCAAAACAATGAAAAGACAATGGAACATTCTGATCACTGGATCATGACTGGATGGCATGGAGAACAGTGAGATTTTCAAAACAATGAAAGGACAATGCAACATTCCAATCACTGGATCATGACTGGATGGCATGGAGAACAGTGAGATTTTCAAAACAATGAAAAGATAATGGAACATTCTGATCACTGGATCATGACTGGATGGCATGGAGAACAGTGAGATTTTCAAAACAATGAAAAGATAATGGAACATTCTGATCACTGGATCATGACTGGATGGCATGGAGAACAGTAGGATTTTCAAAACAATGAAAAGACAATGGAACATTCTGATCACTGGATCATGACTGGATGGCATGGAGAACAGTGAGATTTTCAAAACAATGAAAAGATAATGGAACATTCTGATCACTGGATCATGACTGGATGGCATGGAGAACAGTGAGATTTTCAAAACAATGAAAAGATAATGGAACATTCTGATCACTGGATCATGACTGGATGGCATGGAGAACAGTGAGATTTTTCAAACAATGAAAAGACAATGGAACATTCTGATCACTGGATCATGACTGGATGGCATGGAGAACAGTGAGATTTTTCAAACAATGAAAAGACAATGGAACATTCTGATCACTGGATCATGACTGGATGGCATGGAGAACAGTGAGATTTTCAAAACAATGAAAGGACAATGCAACATTCCAATCACTGGATCATGACTGGATGGCATGGAGAACAGTTGGATTTTCAAAACAATGAAAAGAAAATGGAACATTCTGATCACTGGATCATGACTGGATGGCATGGAGAACAGTTGGATTTTCAAAACAATGAAAGGACAATGCAACATTCCAATCACTGGATCACGACTGGATGGCATGGAGAACAGTAGGATTTTCAAAATAATGAAAAGACAGTGGAACATTCTGATCACTGGATCATGACTGGATGGCATGGAGAACAGTTGGATTTTCAAAACAATGAAAAGAAAATGGAACATTCCAATCACTGGATCACGACTGGATGGCATGGAGAACAGTAGGATTTTCAAAATAATGAAAAGACAGTGGAACATTCTGATCACTGGATCATGACTGGATGGCATGGAGAACAGTTGGATTTTCAAAACAATGAAAAGAAAATGGAACATTCTGATCACTGGATCATGACTGGATGGCATGGAGAACAGTGGGATTTCAAAACAATGAAAGGACAATGCAACAGTCCATTCTGATCACTGGATCATGACTGGATGGCATGGAGAACAGTGGGATTTCAAAACAATGAAAGGACAATGCAACAGTCCAATCACTGGATCATGACTGGATGGCATAGAGAGCAGTAGGATTTTCAAAATTAATGAAAAGACAATGGAACATTCTGATCACTGAATCATGACTGGAATGAATTGGATGGCATGGAGAACAGTAGGATTTTCAAAAACATTCCAATCACTGGATCATGACTGGATGGCATAGAGAGCAGTAGGATTTTCAAAATAATGAAAAGACAATGGAACATTCTGATCACTGAATCATGACTGGAATGAAAAGACAATGGAACATTCTAATCACTGCATCATAATAATGAAAAGACAATGGAACATTCTGATCCACTGAATCATGACATTGGATGGCATGGAGAACAGTAGGATTTTCAAAATAATGAAAAGACAATGGAACATTCTGATCACTGAATCATGAATTGGATGGCATGGAGAACAGTAGGATTTTCAAAATAATGAAAAGAAGCAGTATTTTTATGCTTCATGTTCTGCATCTATAAATTCTTGTATGATATATTAGTTAAAAGCAGAACTTCAATAACCTTTTCCAGTTTCTTGGCCTCAGTCTCATCAAGCAAACCTCCTCCTCGGAGATTGTGAACTGCGTCCATAGCAGTATTGAGAACAGAACGTATTGACTGCCGAGTTTTGACTGAAATTGCAATACCAGGGTATTCTTTCTGGAGGAGACCTGGAGAAAAAAAATTATTATTGCAAACCAAGATAATATTTGTATAGGGTATGGCATGCACAGGGAGCCCCCACTATGATCGAAATAATATTGTATTTATTTTAAAAGACCTATACTTGAACCCCTTGATCATCGATGATTTCTTCTCTCGAATTCTGTAAACCTTTTAAACGGCTCAGAGTCATTATACTTGACGTCACGAGAACAAGTTACTCCTGGAACACATGATTGTGCGGAAAAACCCTCCGAGTGTTTCATGTAAAAACATACGAAAAATTAATCGTGTATTGAAGATATGTCCAAAAAGACATAGAATCTGCAAAAAAATACTCGAAACACAAATAAATTGTGAATTTTAAGGCATTTAGAAATGTCATCTAGTCGATGTTTCAACCCTTTCGTTTAATTCTTCCCGCTTATCGGCGATCATCTTTGTGTTTTGGTTTTTTTGGGGGGTTTTTTGGGTTTTTTTTTTTTTTGGAGGGGGGGTGAATTTCAGTTGTTAGTAGCGGCTCATTATGAAATCAGCAATGTATTCTTACCCAGGCTCTTGACGACATCAAGTCGACCCTTCTCCGACCTCGCCTTCAAATCACGTGCAACTCTTTTATCAGCGACCATGTCATGAATATGTTTTGATACTTCTTCTTCTCCGACTATAAAGCCTTTCCCAACATCATAACCAAAACTCAGCTGATGGTGGATGACGTCATTGATCATCGAGATAATCTTCGGCATCATTGTCTAACAACACGAGAAATAACGCTCAATTTTCGTACTAAAAACCTAAAGTTTGGTACAATCTTAATCCCAATAGATTCCATTCATTCGTTTCTGTTATTTACAATCCTGTGTAAGAACTGGTGACAAATAAATTTTATTGAAGATAATTTTCATCACTATAACTGGTGATAATTTTCATCACTATAACTGGTCAAAAAAGTTACACTGCAATATTTATTAATGCAAAGTTCAAGAAACTTTTCTGAGAAAATCATTTCCTACCTTGAGTAACCTGAGTAGACGCCCCATTCTGAGAATTCTGAAAACCCTCGCAACTCTAAGAATAGCAGGTGAGAAGCTCCCTGTGGCACCATTAGTTGCCATGTCAATAACAATATCAATCAATGAAAATATCACAATTAACAGATCCAGCAAGTTCCAATAATCAGAGAAATAATATCGACCAAAAGCTACAATCTAAATAAAAAATCAGGATGATCAGTTTTGGCAATCCATCAAGTGCTTACTAACCTCATACGAATGAATAGGCCATTTCTGAATGAAGGCTTGGTGTTCTTAATTTGACAACGAAACATTACAATTTAGCACAGAGCCTCGTTCTCACGCTATTGTATGTTGGCAAGACAGAAATAGCCTATTGGACAACCATGTTTTAACCCATTGAATGGCAGCACTCTCTCCCCGAAGAGTAAAATCGCCTAGCGTTAGTCAGAGTAATATAACAAAGTGGGGAGCATCTGGGCGCATTGCCACTTAGGTTTAATCAGCACTTGTGTTGACGTGGTCACAACGCTTGCCTTTTCAAGCTGGGAGACTCGCGTTCAATCCTTGCGCGGACCACCACTCAAGCTCTTAAAATAACTGAGGAGAAAGAGCTACCTTTACATTGACATCAGTAAGGAGAAGGACGTTAAAGTCGTAGGTACCTCGGATCCGCTCACTAAAGAGCGAAAAACTCAACAAACTCAATAAGCATACCCTCTGTAATTAAGCATACATGTATGAAGAAAGAAATTAATGTTTCATACCTTGACTATTGCCTCAGAGACGTAGATGGAACAAAATATATAGTTAAGAACTCGGAGCACGATGAAATACGAGACATCTTCATCCACACTCAGCTCCAATGAAATAGGAATCATGTTGATAATAATTAGCATATTCACCGTCGTATCGAACCAGAAATTCGTAGCAACATAATACAAACGACGTCGTATAGGGTGGTCTGGAGCAGGGATGATTTCTGTGGGGTCCATTTTTTTCAAACTTTCGATCTTATCTTTCTATAAAGTTGAGAATAATGGGGTTTCAGTAAAACTCTGAAGAGTTTTGTTAATGTGTTGATACATTTATTAAACCTAACCAGGAACAGTTTGGAAAAATACAACTATAGGTCCTGGCAGAAATCAAACCTGTTGCCCTGCGATTCCGGTGCAGTGCTTTAACCAACTGAACTACAGAGGCCAGTTGTCGAGCTCTAACCACAAGTTCATATACAGTTGATTCAATTAAGGTTGTCCTTCGAAAACCTTAAACCTTAAACTCTGAGCGCGTAAGGGATGATGGGTTTTCACTTATTAGGTCCTTAAAACTCAGAGAATTGCCTTTGCAGCAAGTATGTTTTCTGTCGTGAGTCTTATATGTCTTAGATATTCTTGCAAAGCCAAATTTCAAAGTGTACGAGTCTAAATAAGCAATAACCCATCGTCCTTTGCGCGCTCAGAGTTTAAGGTTTACGTTTTTGTAAGGACAACCTTAATTGAATTAGCTGTATACAGCAAGTGTTTATATGTGCTATAGGGTCAGGTTAAGACCCAAACAAAATATTATCCTTACCAGTTTTAGCAAGAAAGGAGGAACTTCCCAGTGAACATTTAAATCACTCAGTTCAACACATCTTAAGAAAGACAGAATTACTTCAACATGGTGATGTTAAATGAACTAACGTTTACTCTCCTTTTTGGTTGTAAATATCGTAACCAATCCATGTTTATTGATGTGAATAGTCTAGTCTTCTTTGTGTGATGCAGTCTTACTGAAGATATATCGAGACTCTATTACATTCCAACTTTGATATTAAAGAGGTTCAGATTTGACTTCAGCTACCAATTGCTCTGTGTGCACCCGATTGGTTCACCAGCTAGATTAAACGCATCTGATTGGCTAATGATCCCATAATAGTAGCGGTAGTGGAAATCAAATCTGAACCCTCAGTATAGTCGTGACAGCTAGGACCAAATGGCAACCAAATCTTACCCAACCTCATTACCAGGACCATTCTTCACTCGGTCAAAACTCACCTGTCTTTCGTGTCCATAGCTGTGTCAGCGGTTGCCATGAGAGTTTGAACAGCGTCACGTGACAACATCCCATGTTCAAACTGTTTCCAATAACTGACTTTCTGTGCTTTAATCATCCTTAGTCTCCCTTCCTCCGTCATTTCCGCGAATTCTTTAGGCGAGGGTTGGTTTGGAACACGCGATGAGCAGCATGGGCAAGTACTGTGACGTATAACCACCAACTGTTGTTCTCCTTCTTCTTTCTAATTAACAAAATGTTACAAATTTAAACTACATTATGTACAAAATTTCAAAGTTGGTAGATTAATACAGATCTATGATTAAAACGTTAGTGAGGCGGTTAGTGTATGCACCTTCCACCTTTGTGACTGCATGGAGCTCCATTCCAGCAACTCTCTCATTCTAATTTCATCTCAGTCACATGTGAGAGGACTGCTTTCAGTTTGACTCTATCAAATATCGTAGTTCGGTTCCTCTTGTAGTAACACTGGATCAATAAGAGATGATCCTTACTGGACCTCTACGGAGAACAGATTACAACTGATAAAGCTATCCAGTATAAATAAAGTTAGTTTATTTTAGGCACCTTCCACCTTTGTGACTGCATGGAGCTCCATTCCAGCAACTCTCTCATTCTAATTTCATCTCAGTCACATGTGAGAGGACTGCTTTCAGTTTGACTCTATCAAATATCGTAGTTCGGTTCCTCTTGTAGTAACACTGGATCAATAAGAGATGATCCTTACTGGACCTCTACGGAGAACAGATTACAACTGATAAAGCTATCCAGTATAAATAAAGTTAGTTTATTTTAGGTTTCCTCCTGTGGTAATACTGGATCAATAAGAGATGGTCCTTACTGGACCTCTAGGGAGAACAGTTTAGAACTGATAGAGATATACAGTATGAATAAAGTTAGTTAAGTTTAGGTTCCCTCCTGTAGTAACACTGGATCAATGAGAGATGATCCTTACTGGACCTCTATCTCATCTTACCTCGTACACTCCGCCAACAATATAAGGATTCTCTACTTGACAAACATTCTCAGCAAGAGCCCAGTGAGCATCAGCAAGGAAACGATCAGTTCTCAACATTTTGAACGTTCGTGCGGTCGTGTCTTGCACACGTTTCACGGCATTCGCCATTGCAATCTTCTTCGAGTCCGATATCTCGCTCATGCCCAGGAGTTCCAGCAGTTTCTTAATGGTTGTGGCGTTCAAGAATAAAGTGAATATCACGATGCCAGCTGTATGAAGTAGCACCTAAAGTAATAAAGTTTTTTGTCTTACTCATCGTGTCTAATTTTTGGGTTTCATTTAATTACCGTCTTTAAAAAATCAGAATTTTCAACACAATACGTGGGTTGGACTTATCACTATCGGCAGGTATAGAGTGCGAAAATAATTTCATTTCATATCAGAAGTCTTGTGTTTGAAGGTCAGTGAATATGATTGCAAACTAGTATATTTCATTCTCTTGCTGCTAGAACTGTCAATATTTCTAAAGTTGACCAGCATCTTCATAACCCTTAATATCAAGTGATGTCCTACCTTATTTCCGACTGCTTTGTAATCCAAGGCAACTTGCAAGGCTAGAGCCAAGCCAACAGCACCGCGTAAACCACCCCAGCATAAAATAACAGCATTTTGCCAAGTCAGACCATAGCCAATACGAGCCAAGACAGGTCCAGCCATCATTAACACTGTAGCTCTGAAAATAATAAAGTACTTTGAATACGAATTATTCCCCTTCTCTTGACCTCTTGATCATAACAACATCTAACGCCTAATCGTGAGTCGTGACTGGTTATGTCAAGGAGTCACAGTCGTTTTGGTTAGTGCATGTGTCACGTTTGTGACTAGGCTTTGATTCCTGCAATATGCAGTTGTCTGTGAGACCAGTACTTCAAGTTTGACTCTCGTAAACACCGCAGATTTCATCTGGGTATTCGAGTTCCTTCCTGTAGTAACACCGCAGCAATAAAAGATACCATTTACTGGACGTCTATGAAGAACCATCAAGAACTGATAGAACTATTCAGCAAAAATAAAATTGGTTTAGGTTTCCTCTTACAGCAACACTAGAATACTGGATCAATAAGAGATGACTCTTATTGGGCCACTAAAAGGAACAGCCTACACCCGACAGAACATAAACAGAGCATAAACAACGTTAGTAAAATGCGTACCTTATTACACAGATGCCGAGGTAATCAACAATGATAAGAAATCCATCTCTCAGGTCGATTTCACTCAGAGCTTTTTCCATGATAACCACTCCAACCATTATGAAGATTAAAGTGTTGGCTAGGTAAGCGAGCATTTCCCAAAACCTAGCAAAGGAAAAGAAAGTTCACTACAGCACGGTATGGGCAGAGTCAAGTAAGGTATGGTATATGGTATGATATGATATAGTACATTATGGTGTAGTATGGTATGGCATGGTATGGTATGGTATGGTGTAGTATGGTATGGTATGGCATGGTATGGCATGGTATGGCATGGCATGGCATGGTATGGTATGGCATGATATTGCATGGCATGGCATGGCATGGTATGGCATGGTATGGCATGGCATGGTATGGCATGGCATGGTATGGCATGGCATGGCATGGTATGGTATGGTATGGTATGACATGGTATGGCATGGTATGGCATGGTATGGTATGGTATGGTGTAGTATGGCATGGCATGGCATAGATGGTATGGTATGGTATGGTGTGGTGTAGTATGGCATGGCATGGCATAGATGGTATGGTATGGTGTGGTGTAGTATGGCATGGCATGGTATGGTATGGCATGGTATGGTATGGTATGGTATGGTGTAGTATGGCATGGCATGGCATAGATGGCATGGTATGGTATGGTATGGTATGGTGTGGTGTAGTATGGTATGGCATGGTATATGATATGGTATGGTATGGAATAGGATGATATGGTATGATATGGTATTGTGTGGTATGGTAAGCTAATGTACAATAAAGTGAGTAAAGCTATACATACTTATGCAGAAAGACTTCAACTTCAGGGCTAATACTGGTCTTCTGAGAGTTGATCTCAATGCCCAACATGACAACAGCGAGTACACCAGACACACCTAGCACCTCTTCTCCGATATAATATGTAAGATAAGTTGAAGCCAGAGTAATCGTGATTTCCACCATCGCGTCATTGAACACACGCTGCAGCCAGAACACTACAATCTTACCAATTACAAGGCCAAAGAAAAAACCGCCCAACGCCACGCGAGGAAAGTAGAGACCAATTTCAGTGGCTAAAAATACATAGAAAAACATATACTAAACCGTTCTCCATAGGGATCCAAAAAAGACTGCCTAAACTAACTTTATATATACTGGATAGCTCTATCAGTTCTAAACTGTTCTTCCTAGAGGTCCAGTAAGGATCATCTCTTGTTGATCCAGTGTTACTACAGGAGGAAACCTAAACTAAACTAACTTTATTTATACTGGATAGTTCTATCAGTTCTAAACTGTTCTTCCTAGAGGTCCAGTAAGGATCATCTCTTATTGATCCAGTGTTACTACAGGAGGAAACCTAAACTAAACTAACTTTATTTATACTGGATAGCTCTATCAGTTCTAAACTGTTCTTCCTAGAGGTCCAGTAAGGATCATCTCTTATTGATCCAGCGTTACTACACGAGGAAACCTAAACTAACTTTATTTATACTGGATAGCTCTATCAGTTCTAAACTGTTCTTCCTAGCGGTCCAGTAAGGATCATCTCTTATTGATCCTGCGTTACTACACGAGGAAACCTAAACTAACTTTATTTATACTGGATAGCTCTATCAGTTCTAAAGTGTTCTCGAAGAAACCAGTGTACCCGTGGAAAACCTGCGGTGTTTGGTAGAGTCAAACTGATAAATTCCTTTTCACATGCGACTGAGGAGAATGCGCACTTACCTGTCATAGATGAAAAAGCTAAGTTGTAAAATATTTTATACAAGACAATTGCCATGCCATCATTGAGTAAGGATTCCCCTTCGATGATCGTTGAAAGTTGTTTGGAAACACCTGAGAAAAAGGTATTAAAGTCTATAAGTTCAAAGGAACCAAGTATAATGCCACGTGACAAGAACCTACCCAGCTCGTTGAGTAAAGCAACAACAGCAACGGGATCTGTGGCGCTGATGATTGACCCAAACATTAGAGCAACAAACCAACTCCATTCATAAGTAAACACCAACTTTGCCATAACTCCAGCCAGGGCTGAACATATTGCCATGCACACCACAGCCAGATACACAATCTAAAAGAAGAAGAATACTGCACATCAAGACAACTGCTCTCAATACTTAAGACGTGTTGGGGACATAGTGGTTAGTGCATGTGTCTTTCGAATTTGTGACTAGACTTCGATCTCTGCAATTTCGTCCTAGTTTTGGTTTCCTCCTGTACTGACTCTCTAGGAAGCATAACATTGATATAGTAGTCTAGGACCCGCGTATATAGGAGTTTGCATGCGTTTCATTTAGCACACGTAATCTCAACTGTGTCAAGGTAAAATGACCATGGCGAGGTCAACAGGGCATATGTGCCAAAACCCGAATCCGGGACGAAAGTCCTGAAAATGACTCCGCCCTGAAACGGCGGTGCTTACATAGCGCTAACTTCCGAAAGGGAAAAGCGATAGCCTTTCTGAAGTGCTTGAAGTGTTTAGAAGGGTTGCATTTAGGGGTGGTTATTGGAAAGGAAAATTTGTCTACGTATAGTATTTTACAAGAAAATGACCATGCACATTGCACCACCGGTTATAAACTCACATACGGGGTCCTAGACTATAGAGCTTTCCAGCATAAAGTTCGGTTTAGTTTCCTTCTGTAGAAACACTGAAGAAAGATTATGTGTGATTACCCTTGGTGGCCTTACCCATAGGAAGAACACCTTAGAACCGATATATCACTTAGCTATAAATAAAGATTTATTATGTACCTGCCAAAACATTTTATAAAATGTGTGAACATCCATTGCAAAAGCAGATTCAAACAACAAAACTGGCAGAAACGTTGTGAGCAACAGATGTGGATTTTGACTTGCCATTGTTGTGTACCTAACAAAAATGTCTGTTCATTTGAAATGTTTGTTTTAAAGTTTGTTCTTATTTGTCAGGTAGTTCATACACAGAAGCCCGCCAACTGTATCTTTGATATGAACTGTTAGAGCAAGCTGGTACTGGAAATAAAGTTAGTTTAGTTCACTTACACTTGAACGTCTGGGAAGTTTGCGGAGAAGACGCCAAACACTAAACCGAGAAAGATGAGTACAACTGTGTATGGAATTGGCCATCCTTTCATGATCTGTCGACATAACGCTAGAAAAACGTTAGAAACAAGTTTGCATTACATCCCTCAAGGCTTAAGCCCATTTTCCATCAGGTGAATTTGTTCGCGCGAACAGTAAAAAAGTAGGAACTGATTCAACTTTTGCAGCGAATTTTTTCGCTGACCAATCATATCACGATTTCTTTTTCGCTTCACTTAGCCTGAAATGTCAGGCGTTCTCCCCGCTTGAGCCTTCACTGTACTCGAACAAATTCGCCTGGTGGAAAATGGGCTAAAGTGAAAAAAGTTAAAGACTTGCAAGGCCAGTTGTACGAAGATGAAGGCAGGAAAGTGCTATCACTGGATAATCATTTTTCCAACCTTTGTAAGAATTGCTAAAAATCTCTGAAACTAAAAATATTAGACTTCACAATAAATAAAAAGCCTTCTAAATTATAATTACTAAACTTTAATTGTGGTTATACTGTTCAACGGTCAAACTTTGAAACGGGTTGAAAAATTATCTATCCTGCGGATGCTGCTTCCGGCCTCCGTGAGCCCTGATCTATACACGGCTGCTCTCTCTCTCTCTCTCTGGACGAACTTCGGCAAAAGCAGTTCGTCTGCAGATTTGTGCGGTAAACAAACCATCGATCATCCGTGAAGACTACCTACATCCCATAGAAAATGACTGTTTTTTCACCACAGTTGGAAGTGAATCTTGAAGGGTCTGTGAGCGCAATATACCCGGGGTGGAAATGCAAATTTGAAATCATTACCATTATTCATTTATTTTCAATTTATTGTCTTCAGTACAGTCTATACGAACACGACAAAATGTGCATTGGCACCCCGGGTATATTGCGATGGCTACGCCAGTGTCTGCGTAGGTCGTGGCAATAATAGGAAAGCTTTAGATTGATAGGGATACAACTACCTGAAAAATACAAGAACTATTCTTCAGGTAGTTGTATCAATCCGTAGTTTCTAGTTGGAACTTGCGCGCATAATTGGTCTTGAAGGATGATCTGTCTACGTGAATAAATACAGCAATAGACGAACTACACACGTAAAAACGCACAAGTTGTAACAAACCTGCAGCAGACTTGTAGCAATTGCTGTTCCAACAACTTGTCAACAGGATGTGTTCGCACTGCTTGTTCCCAGCTTGGTGACAAGTTGTCAATGGCTTCTGCCAACTTGCTACAAGGTTATTGAACTCAACAGACTTGTTACAAGTTGTTCCAACAACTTGTTATCGTCCTGCAATTCAACAACTTGTCAACAAGTTGTGAGTGACAAGCTTGTAGCAACTTGATAAAATAACAGCATTGTCACAACTTGTTGACAAGCTTGCTACAAGCCTGTTGCGAACACATCTTGTTGACAAGTTGTGAGATTTTTACGTGTGTATGAGGACAATATGAAGCGTGATTTCTGGCGTAGAATCATTGCCAGGTATAGATAACTATCGTCTGTTTGTTCTGCCTTGTGTCTACACCAGACTGCATCTCAGAAATAAATCAGACATTATCTCGTCCCAGGCTTACCTCCGATACAGCAAGCTGTGAAGATAAACAAGACAGCATACGGTGGCACGTGCTCTTCATGCGACTCATGCACATGGCCGGTTGTATTATTCGTCATTTTGACACAGTGTTTTCTTCAAGAAGTTTTTACTTTACATCTTTAAAAACTTGCGCACCGTTGTTGCCAATTTCCTAAAACAAATTATTAATTAGTTTTAATTAAGTTCGTAATTGCGCGTTTATGATGTCACACGTTTCGTAACGTGTAGAATGCGCGTGCGTGAAGCAGGAGAGAGGAAGATTGCGGCATCAAGTGCAACAGCACATGGTGGTCATGTCTAGATCGAAAGATCAGAGAAACTAAATTGTTCACTATTTAAATTATTTTTATGTTTGATTATTTGCCCAATCCCGTATAAACTCACTGTAGTTGTTAGTAGCATACAACTTAATGAATGTTACACCAAGTATTACTACACCTTCCAAAGGGCCTCTGAACAAGTATTGCAGGCTCTTAATATCTAAATGAGGCATGATAAACATAGTTTTTGAGTGATTTTCACTGTAGTTTCCAGCTTTTTGGATCTTCCATGACTGTGTATGTGAAGACTTTTCTTCATGTGTCTCGGCCAATAAGTAGAAAATTTGTTTACCATGCATATAGTGGGCGCCCTGTGCTTGAAATGTTTACCAAGGTGAGTAAAACGGGGGGGAGGGAATCTGGTATACTGGTCTGGTATAGGCGTTACATCTCTGAGCTCTATAAACAACTGAAGTGATCCAACAACTGACCTCTATACATACAACTGAATCTCTCATGTTTTCTTTTCCTTCTTCAGGAGAATTGCTCTCTATGTGAAGAAGCAAAAGAAACATTAAAACCATATCAGCATTTGGTAAGTGGGCATTATAAATATATGTTCGTCCTGAAATTGTGAACTGTGACGATGGAAGGTCGGAAGGACACTGCCCCCCCCTGCAATAATTTCTGCAAGCCTTTGAATGATAGTTGAATAACAATGTTGGAACAATAATTTTTAAACCACAAAATCATTGCAGATGGTGAAAATCACTCAGTTATCCAGCTACAGAGGGTGGTTATATATTGGCAACCTAAATTCATCCCACACACCTCCCAAAATGTCCACCACCAACAATCACTGGTGCATCCAGATATATTGTGAGCTCAACGAGACACTCTTACTTCAGTTACATATTACGTTCAGTGGAGGATACCAAATTTGTCAGTTTTAATTATATAGATCAGTTGTAATGCAATCACTAAGTTATCCAGCGACAGAAGGTGATTTATATATTAGTAGTACCTAAATTCACCACACACACCTCCCAAAGTGTCCACCACCAACAATCACTGGTGCATATAAATTGAGGTGGTTGACATCCCCTTCAAACCCAAAATGTCCATGCCTAACAATCACTGGTGCATAGCGAGGTGGTTGCAGGCAGAAGGGTATCCCGCGACTAGCAATGACTGGTGCATGGTGAGGTGGTTGCCCCAACCCACAAAGGTGTCCACCATAACAATCACTGGTGCATAGCAAGGTGGTTTGCCGCCCCGAACCCCAAAGTGTCCACCACTAACAATCACTGGTGCATAGCAAGGTGGTTTGCCCCGAACCCCCAAAGTGTCCACCACTAACAATCACTGGTGCATAGTGAGATGGTTGCTCCCCCCTGACCCACAAAGTGTCCACGACTAACAATCACTGGTGCATAGTGAGATGGTTGCCCCCCCCCCTGACCCACAAAGTGTCCATGACTAGCAATGACTGGTGCATATAAGTGAGAAGGTGTTCATGTTATTCTATGTAGATTCCATGTATAATTGCAACCTTTTCTCTTTTATATAAAGTTCACATTGAAGGAGGTTGATATTACCCTGGCTGAAAACAAGACATGGTTTGATAAATATAAATATGACATTCCTGTATTCCACCTGGAGGGACATTATCTGATGAGACATAGAGTACACCATGGACTGCTTCACAAAAAATTGGATGAATTTTACAATAGATTAAAATAAGACATAGACAATGTGTAATTAATGCTACGAACAATCATTTTAAATAAGAAAGGGATATAATATATTTGTTCATTTTGCTTTTGACCTTCAGACAACAATGTTAAATGGCTGGTACAGGTGGACTTCAGTCTTGCCTGTCGTGCTACACATGGTGGGCAACTTCAAATGGTTTTCGATTTATCAGTGCAAACAAATGATGCTCAATGTTCCCATTAAAACTCCACAAAAACACAAGATACATTTCAAGTCGGTCAACACCATGTGATGCACTTTGAATCTTACTTCAACCACAGTATAGGAACAAGTAGGGCCACTCAGGGGAGACAAAAGTGGGATTTTTTTAAGCTAGGTCCCTGATGTCTTGCACAGTCAAAACCATTTACTCTGTAATACAATTTTACAGTGAACTGCTGCCGTTTACTGACTGCCAATATGTTAATTAGGTTGGCAGTCAGTAAACAATGCAGACACTTTTTGACGCTGAGTGGTGGCCCTAATAGCCGTTGTCTCCCTACTGTGTTTCAACCCACCCACCCATAATATAAGTTCTAATTGTATCATTTTATAATTACAAATTAATTTTACTAATGTCTTCACTGTGTTTCACCTTTTAACAGCATAAACACTTTCTAAAATTAAAGCATGAAGCAATTTAGCTTCATGCTAATTTCTTCTACAAAAAGTCAAGTTAGTTGTAGCCCAAGGTATCATTTTTTATTTCTTGTTTTCATAATAACACTTTGAACAAAAGCCATTTTTACCAGGCGTGCCGTAGAATGAACATGCAGGTGCTCGACATTCTACAGACATTTCTTGTAATGTTTTCGCTGTGTTTGAAGATTTCCCTGCAAAACTTGGAGGGTGAAAAACTTCTTCACCAACTGCCTCAGAATATGACGGAGGATCATATGACGGCCGGGGACCTTGGAACTTTCCAAATGATTTGGACTGAAGTTGAAAACATTTTGTACACAGATAATTATTTGCAACAGTACCATACAGATCACAATCATCATTTGCACATTTCAAACTTGGTGTCGATTTCATTGGTTCAGCTAGTTTAGTTTCTTTTTCAAAATCAAATCTTTCCTTTGCTTTTTCTAAATATCCTGTGATAACCTCTTTATAGAAACTTGGTTGGTTATCACACGGAAGAACGGCAACAGGAACTTTGCGAGGGGAATTCACTTGACTATCTTGTGTCTTATTGCTTGTATTTGTTTGATTGTCTCCTGTCCCACTGCTCATATTACTGACATTATTTTGACCTGATACTTGCTGTACATTTACGTCAATTTCAACAACATCAAGGTACTTTTTAAGTAGTGACATTCGCTCTTCATCTGTTAGACTTTTCTCCTTGATAATATCCTCACTATTTTCATTCTCTAACCAATTCCAGTTTGGGCCCGGGTCTGCGGCAAATGGCAATGGTAAAGTTTTTAAATCTTTATCCACAAGAGGGATTGCTACATGAATGGATGTGTTTGAGGGCAAGGTCAATTTTGGCACGCTGGTTGGACTTAACGACTTGGCTGCTTGAAGGAAGGTGGATTTTGTTACTTGATAAATCGAAGACATGGCTGTTTGGATGGCTGACGCTGTATTTGTTGTGGGTGGAGAGTTGGAGGGTCTATCAGATTTGGTACCTGAAGACAAGTGAAAGCATGTTTCATATTATGTTATGTTTCATATTATGTTTCAAGGTACTTCTTGCAACATTCACTTGCCAACTATAGAAGCCTTAATAGTACCTTAATTCATAACTGGCCTGATTTACACTAGAAACAGACCATCCATCAAGAGCTATGCATGCAAATTACCATCATATCAAACTCCACCATCTGTTTGCTGCATTTATACACATATGAATTATCTTACAAACAGTATTTTCTTTGCCCAGGTCAGATGATTAAAAATCTGGAGGTTATTATCAGCAAGGCCAGTATATAAACAGAATGTGGGAAGCATGATCATCATGCAATTCATTGAATGCATTCCCCCAAATTTGTGGGGGTTTTATGGTCTAGACTCACAAGTAAACTGTTCAGAGTTTCCAAAACCAGGAAACTCACAGGTAGACCATTGGCAGCTCACCTAGCTCACCCAGGGGCAATTCTCCCGATCCTAATTTGAAATTGAAGATGAAATAATGATTAATATAAACTATAAAATAGACTAAAAAGTTCATACCGATACCTGAAGTAGAACTGTTTGCATCAACACTGCTTTCCATGGCTTCATTGCACGACTCAGTTGACACAACTGGTGAAAAATGAGAGGAGAAATATGCAAGCACAAGAGGGGTGCGGCAACACTCCGAGGGGTCACACTCAACCGGAAGATACACACCAGCGAACGGGATGGGTGATATGGGGACACCTTGGAAATCGTACACTACGGTATCTGAAACAACTATAATTGGTCGACGTAAAACATGTGCAAGGGAACATATATGGATCTCTTCAAGACTCTCATAATGAGGCTGCCAGCTGTTGCTCATTTTTCTTGTTAAGGTACTGGATGTTTCTTTATTCTCAACGGCATTTCCCTCAGGGACGGTAGATAATGGTTGCCGTGGTCTAGGTTTAGCGTCAGCCATATTTAAAACATTTTTCCATTCTCTCTCCCACTCATCAGCATTAAATATCACCTGCTCTTCAAGGTTTTTCTTCCACTCGTACCAAAGCCAGCGTCGTTTTAAAGTTTTCTCAGCCTCACTTGACGACAGCGTGTGGTAGACATCTTGCCGTAGGTTCAACCATCGATCATGGACGCCCCAAATTCCAAGCGAAGCAGCATGTAATAAACAGTTGCCGTCACCTGATGTCAACAATGGATATAAACGTTGTAAACTGGTGCTTTGCGTCCACCAGTTGAGATGGCCTGTGAAAGAAAATGTAGCTGGTGTGAGACACCTATTGGGAATAATTTCATAACCCCCCCTGCCAACATATCTTTAATGTAATATTCCAGGGGGACATACCTGACTCCTCCAGAGCTTTTAATGTTGAATTTTCAATCAAATCTTTCATGAGAAAAGCGACGAACTCTTGATCAAACTGGGTAAAATCTGGCAATGTGAAATTAAAACACGCTATCTCATATTTCTCGCAGCCTCGAGCCTTGATGTTTGTGTGTAGCTCCGAGACCATTTCTGGATCGACCATTGAAAATCCACGAACAATTTTACCATGCCTTTGATTCTCCATTTTCTGAGAATTCCAAGATTTGTCAAGTGTCAATGATTCCCTTTTGCTTTTCTGCCAACTTTAGGAGGACGTATTTCACAGAAATACTGACATCGACTTTCTATATTTCTCTCTTGCCTTTACTGCCAATTTTCTATTGCAAAATTTCCACGTTTTTGCAAGTTTTCCAAGAATACAAATAGCGTGAGGAAGACAAAAAATTGTAATGACAAATTTATCATTTATTTCATACAATTGGGACCAATTTATTCAAAGTTTTCCCAGATAATTCATGAACTCCAAACGAAATGAAACTAACAGTTGATAAATCCGACACTTTATGCCTGTCTTTAAGCCTTTAAAAGATCGAAATTCTAAATTTAAAATGTTTAAAAATGTTTTTATTTCTTTTTTGATGTGTTGACTAAGCCTGTTCGCAGGCTACCATACTTCCACTTCCGGTTTATTTGTCAAATAGACATTCCAGCTCGTGTAAGATCAGTGGCAATGGCATTACACAACTGATCTATATAATAAAACTGACGGTATCTTCCACTGAACGGTATATGTAACTGAAGTAAGAGCGACTAGCATCGAGCTCACAATATATCTGGAGTGAAAATTCGGTGATTGAACTCTATAGTAAGTGGAGTACATCTTTCTCATTGACCTCTTTATGCTACTGGAATGAAGTAAAGGAAGAAAATGAAATTGTTCGGAGTTTCCTAGCCTGCGTGCAGGCCCAAGGGAAAGACAGCCTGTACGCAGGCTAGGAGTTTCCACTTTGTTGTACAATATTTCTCTTTGATCTCAATATGTAACTGGAATATATATACTCACCGAGCTCGAGCTCTTTATGCTAACGAGAATCCAGACCAGTACGACACAAAGCAATCTTTCTTTGAGTAAATGCAACAACACCCAAGCAAAACCGCATTCCTGAATAGGAAAATATATTTTAGGAAAGGGCCGGATATCATGGAATTTATTTCACCTCATTGACAATATAGAACATTCCGTTTTATATAATACCTTATTAAATTCTAATCGTTTAATTGGCTGTTTATGGTCACGTGATATTGAATAGAAAATTCCATTTCCCAAGAGTGCAATGGAACACGTTCCATTGCACTCTCCGCGAGTGCAATGGAATAAAACGTACAGTACAATTGCACTCTTTGTGTTTTTGATAAATCGCATCCCTCAAAATGCTTGTCATACGAATGTATTAGTCTGTTCTGGACTTTTGGTATTATATAAAACAAATAATGAATGTTTCTTCGTGCAATGGTAAGAATATTTTCACTCGGTGAAAGATGGAAAGTTCCATTCAACTCGGCTGTCGCCTCGTTGAATGGAACATTCCATCTTTCACCTCATGAAAATATTCTTACCATTGCACTCATAAACATTCATTATTTGTATAATATTGAACTCATAAATAGATTAAAATGACCTTCCTATATTGCGCTTCCCAGATTTTATAGTGCAGTGACGTGCCCTGATTCGTCTCGCAGCAGAATATAAATGGCTTCTAGTAAGCTCCTAGTCCTATTTCGTTATGTAGATAATTTCTTTATATTGTGCTCCGCTATTAAAATTCAATTGGGTGGAGTCATTTTATTTAGTAAATTCAAAAAATCTACCATCAAAGACGTGTATTTCTGGACAACAATATACGCTGAGAACCAACAGTTTGAAGTTCAATCTAGTAAGAACTTGCCACAAAGGATGTGTAATTGTTTAAAATTTAGCACAATGAAAATGCCACTAGGCTACTAGCACGCATTTAAATATCTTTATAATTGTTAAAAATAAAGGATGGATACATTAAATGCAGTGGAGTGTGACATGACATCATTAGAGGGTCTGAAACAAAACACTCGAATTCATATCGCTTCATTCAAACTGTCATCTGGCCTGAAGCAACAACATGCTGTTGAAGAGAGAACTTAGAGAAGCCCTGAGCTCTCGTCTGATTGCTTTACTGCTGCTCTGTTGCACCGTACAACTTTCTTATGGCCAGGGTAATGTACCAATATTTAATGTCGCAATCCTTTAATGTTTTATCATATTCATATATGCCGTGATGATATATTTTACGTTATATTGACAAATGTTGTCGATCAACAAATATTTGATGATAGTATTTTTAAATCCAACGTCCTAAAACAGTGACTAATGACTATGCTCTGACACTAAGCTATGTTCGCAGGAGAAATGGTGAATTTGCAACTCAACTTTGTACAATCAACATTCTGGTATATTGTCTAGCTTTCAATGGAGTTTTAGCACAAGTCATAGTCAGTGATGCTAGGCACGCAAGGATGCTAGGTATCATATTAAATGATGCTAGCACACGGAACTAGGGCGTCAGTTCATTTTCGGAGTTAGCTTTGTTTTGGGTTTTTTTATATTTAATTTCGAGTTCACAGCGGGCACATGATCAGAAATGATAAGCGAAGGTCACAGGTAACCGCATGACTTTCCGTGAGAATCAACGGAACCTGATGAATTTAGTCGCTCTATCCCGAATTCCTCCTCAGCTAAATTCGTAACTTCGACTTTTGTTGGAAACAGGTCTATGTGTCTTATGGATCACAATTATTTCAATAATGTTCACATACACACCATGAGGTCGTTCTGGCAATATGTAAATTTCTTCTTGCGATACAGGCTGTTTGTGAGTTTGTCAAAGCGATTTATATATCCTGACTTCCTGAGTTGCTGTAGTCGGGTTCAAGCTTAACATTGGGAACATTTCGGTTAAAACCATAGAAATACGAGATATCTATTATTTCTATGGTTAAAACAGAAGGAATTTCTCTCAGTGAATGTTAGGTTTGATTAGTTATTTCAATCGCTTTCATGCTCAGTTGAATTAATAAGATTTAGGATATATTGATCATGCAGCGCTCCACAACTCGGATATTAGTGAGCTTGCTTACGCAAGTGACGTTTGGTCAAGGACGTCATCCAGAAATTGGTAGGACTAATTTTAGCGTTATTTTGCATCATAGCGCTTGTAAACGGAAGCAAAAACTTTAAAAATCTTATGTTTTGTCATATGTGTTGAAAATTACTACAAACTGACACAAACACACGTGACACACACATTTCGTCGCATGTTTCACAATGGACCTTGCCCCTTATAACTAAAATTGTATTACAAACGCGAAATTGACATCCGATTCGGGTGTTGGGGCTGCAATTTCGGTTTGTAATGCAAAATGACTGAAAATTGCAAACTTTGCAAGGCTCTATTTTCCTCATTTTACAACATTTCGCAACGAAACTTTGGAATATTACTAATTTTGTGATGCTCTTTCAAGCTGTGATGAAATATTTGTCTAGACTTGCCTAGATCAAAATTTTGGTTATAAGGGGAAAGGTCTATTGGAACTGAAGAAGAATGGAGTGCCAGTTTTCTGTCTAAGCTTCATGTTTTATAAACCTACTAACGACTCGTGCACATGATATATGCCAGTGGTTTCATAATTTACATATTGTTGTGTCTCATTTCATCTTCGCATAAATCACAAAGGCTGTGTATTCCAGTTTTTCATTCGTGCGGACGGAAAAGTTTAAATATTTCTGAATTTTCTATAAGTACTAACTAGCTCAAGAACAACACATTAAATCAAACAGAAAACTAAACGCTGTCTTTTTATTTGTTCAGTTATTTCATCAGACAGTAAAATTTAAAAGGATTTAAACTTTTCCGTGCATTCACGCACGCATAAGAAACGCTTATCTGGAAAGCAGCCTTTACGAGTGTTAAGAATAGTCTTTCTCTTGCGGGCCAATGTCCGCCATTTTAATAATAATAAGCTTTAATCGAACTCACTAAAATATACAAAACTACGTTTAACCAAAAATTGTAGACATTACAAAGAGGAAAAGACCAGTTAGATAAGGGATTGGCAAATTTCGAGGTACTGTCTTCCAATAGACAATTAAAACAATGTGAAAAGTAACTTATCAAAGTTGTGACTGTAACTATACTACAATGCACACAACTTAATTCTCAGACTCGGGAGAGGAGGCAGTAACACAAAAATGGCGGCTAACCCGAGCGTGCAGGCTAATTGTAGATTCACGGATAGCAGATCTTGCATGATAGCAGATTTGGAAATTGTCAACATATATATTTCTTGAAAGATTTGCTTTTGAAATTTATAGAAAAGTTTTCAAAATGAAAGTAGCATAAAAAGCAGAAGCGTGGCTGTCATGTGTATTCATAATAACAACTTTATTTCAAGAGGGTTGAGAACACGACAGCGATATAGGCTGATTAACTTGTGGCCCTCGCTTTTACTTTCATCTTTTTATCATGAAATGCAACAGAAGTTTCGTATCAAAGGGAGTGACAAAATGAAAGGTCGTTAAAACGAAAACAAAGATCTATTGTGTATAAAAAATTTCTTTCATTTCTTATATTACGCATCATTATATACTTCACTCTGAGACAGAAACTGTTGCAACGGAAGCACGCGATATCGAACTTGAAAGAACCCTTGAGTCGCCTCTAACAGCATGAAGCTTGTAACTTTGAGTGGGAGTCAAACACCAAACATCCTCTGACAAACACAATGAAACAGCAATTTGGAACTTACATCGATTCACAGTGACACTACACAACTTTTGCTTAAAACTGTCGCAACCTGCTTACAGCTTGAGCCATAGGTCCTTATTCTGTGGCTTGAGCTGTACAGTGTAAATGAACATAACTCATTTACGATAACTTAGGTGAGTTGTGTGCTTGATTTACACACAGTGTATATACAGCTCAAGTTGTTGCATGCGACAGGTCGTTGTGTAGTGTAAATCGACTTTTACACTAAAATATCTTAACTGATAGCTGACAAACAATGAAAAGTAACTTGAACCAATTAAGGCTTACGGATGGGAAAGCTTTGCTAAAACAAAGGTGGTGTTTTCACAGAACAAAACAATAATTTTATATTAATATTAAACTCCACTACTCACTAGTATAAACAGTTGGAATATCTTTGAGTTAGTTTGCGAGCGTGCACGCTTCAAATTCAGTCATTTCGTGACTCAAACCTCTTTCGTGACTCAAACCGTATTATTTTTAAAAATAATTTCAACAATATATATGAAAGAATATCAAATGTGTGGGCAGTATAAAGATTAAAGTAGGCCGCTCCCTGCACTAATTTCTCAATTTGTCGGCAACTAAAATTACATCAAGAAACAAATATTATGAAAATAGTAAGAAAATGATTCGTGAATAGCCAATGAAAAGCGAGAAAAGTCAACAAATAGCGTCCCTGGATCAATGTTGGCGGGAAACACGTGCGCACGCTATACTTCATGTAATCTTATCCACATTGTCTCGGTTTGAAATCGGAGAAGCCACAGACAACCCTCGAAACACTAGAGAGAGCAAGCACTTGTCATATCTTAGTTATCGTAAGTGATCTCCTACCCCGCCACCCCCATCGACACATATTTTGGGAAATATTATAACGATGAGCGCCAAATTTAGAGGTGCCACCCCACTGACGAGCCAGGACGAGCAGCTGTGCAGACATAACTAACATTATTTATTGATCTATTTCAGTGCGAACAGAACAAGTCAAATTACCGCTGTGTAATTCGTACAGCGTTACGTCATTCACAAGGCCCAATATCTTTAACCATACTTCTCAAGACGAGGCTATTTTTCATCTGCATACATTCTCACCACTGATTGCGACATTCTGTCATCGAGAGCTCGTTCTCTTTACGTGTATGGTACACATTCCTTGGTATGAACACATTCCGGACGCGCCCGCACGAATACGGCCCGTGTGCAGGTCACTATGTGACAGAGTATACGCAGGGTGTAAATCCGCAATGGATAAACTCAACTTTCATTGGCCAGAAAAAATCAGTTGTGATAAATTTGCCAACATCACTTGCAGTGAGTTTCTTTAGAAAATTTCTGAGCTACACTTAACCATTCACATTTTTTATTAATAAATAGGCAGTACATTTCTTGGTTATCATATCCAAACGTGGTAGTCCAGTGTAGGTAGTGTTCTACAATAAGCTGTTGTGGTTTGTGTCTGAACTACCTGAAAAACATATCCAAACGTGGTAGTCCAGTGTAGGTAGTGTTCTACAATAAGCTGTTGTGGTTTGTGTCTGAACTACCTGAAAAAGATATCTCAAACGTGGTGGCCCAGTGCAGGTAGTATTCTGCAATAAGCTGACGTGGTTTGTGTCTGAACTACCTGAAAAAGATATCTCAAACGTGGTGGTCCAGTGTAGGTAGTATTCTGCAATAAGCTGACGTGGTTTGTGTCTGAACTACCTGAAAAAGATATCTCAAAAGTGGTTTCATATAGTCGCCATAGGAACACAAGCCGTCGGTACCTTCCCTGGCATGCTCTTGCAACCAAAATAAAAAGAATCAAAAATGAAGAATTAACAAATTCAAATAGAAATCATAGCCTAAAAATTAAACTTTTGTTTTGCTTTATAGATCCTACACCTAGGCCACTACTTACAGGTGAGGTCAATATTTAACAACGTCTTTGTAGCCACATGTCTGTAATTAAAGCCTCTCCTCCACTGATCGCAAAAACAACCAACTCCCAAGTTCGTTGCAAGTACTTTACAATAAACTGTCGAACATTCTGATGAAAGTATTGGCAGCGAGTTAACTCTTGCGATGAATGGAAAAGAGCCTTTAGCGTTAAAGAAAAGTTTACAAGTCTGTTGCAATCTTGTTAAGACGCGAGATTTTTCCACGACGTAATGACGATTAAGGTTAGGAATTTGATACAGAATTAGGTAATTGGGAATAGTGTTAAGACACGACGTGTGTTTTATTTCTTACAGTACCAGACGAGTGTTCCCCTATTCCATATCACGGAGGTACTCCAATGTGTTCCTCAGTGAACTCCGCTCCGCCAGATACCAAGTATTTCAACGCCACAAACAATCCTTTCACAAACTATTTCAACCACACAACACAAGAAGAAGCTATCTACGACCTAGCTGGCACACACGCTAGACTCATTCAACTTCTCATCTCGCAACAACCTGATATTAACAAAGCAAATCATGTAACGCAATGTTTGAACGACGTAAGATTTCTACTCTGCAATCTTTATCTCCCACGATGCGGTGACAAAACGCCAAAGGATTATCCAATCACGTCTGCACAGTGTAGAAACACTCTTGGCGGAAGAAACTGTACTTTAGCGATCTCACAACTTCGAGGTCGAGGATATAACATTACATGGCCACCAGTTCAGGTTAATTGCAACAATTTTCCAGGCACCCTCACGCAAGAAGATATCCGTAAGTATTGATTACAGTCAAAGAATATAATCAATACCATAACATACCACCACATAACATACATCATACTATGCCATATCTCCATACCTTACCAAACGACTTCACACGATACTATACCCCATAGCTTACCGCAATATACCACACCATACTACATCATACCACAGCTCACATTACCAAACCAAACCAAACCATACCATGCCATGCCATACCACCAATATGCTAAACCACACCATACTATACCACACCACACCTACACCACACCACACCTACACCACACCTACACCATACCATACCATACCATAACCTTCCTTTACCTTACCACACACGCCATTTTTTACTAGTGTAATATTGTATTTGCATTGTATGCATGTCATTCGTGTAATTTTATCTGGCGAAGTTGAATAAAAAAATAAATAAATAAATAATTTACTTTCTGTAGCTCAATTTAAGAAAGATCGAACGTTTGGCGGTCTCTCTCCTCCACCACCAGCTATTACCTCCAATACAATTGGTTCAGATTTCCTAGAAATCAAATGGCAAAGTTTCCCAGAAGAATATAAATTTGGAACTACAGTAGAAACTGGTATCTTGTACAGGCAATCAGGCTCGCGCGTTCAATACAAGCATATACACACTGGGAAGAACAGTCTTACACTGCGTGGTCTGAACTCGACCACGACGTATGAAATTTTAGTCGCTACAGTGAACAGTAACGCGTCATACCCAGGAGTTTTAGAGAAAATCGAGTTAAGAACAGACCAAGGAGTGGAACGAATCAAAGCAGGATTTTGTTCAAGTTTATATAACTTTACAAAACTACCAAATATATTTGGTCATCAAACACAAGACGAAGCTATATTTTCTATGCATACATTTGGTCCTCTTCTAGATACGGACTGTTCATCTGATCTCAAAGCTTTGATATGTTCTGCACATTTTCCCAACTACCTAGCAGAGCGACAAATTTCCTCGGCTCCCTGCCAGTCATTGTGTCAAAGAGTGTTTGATAGATGTACCTATGCAATCAGCCAACTGAAATTCAAATGGCCTGAGCAGCTGAAATGTAGCAAGCTACCTCAACAAGGGTCATGTCACCGTAAGTAAATGATACTTTAATACGTAAATACCACAGCTTTACAAATTATTATCTAAATATTTCTAAAAACATTTTCCTTTTATCTAGCACCTTCTCCCCTCCCTACACCAATTGGTAAGTGGACAATTGTGGATAGCATTTTAAAAATAATGCATAGTCGTCTTATTTGTTGGTGATCTATTGTTTGTTTGTTGTGCTAAATAAACAATTTAAAACAATGCAAATTTCTAAATATATTTTCAGGTAGCGAAGAATGCGAGCTAGTGCAAGAACAATCGATATGTTCCCTTATCACCAAACCTAACGGGACAAGTCCTTATTTCACCACAGTCGACAAGAAGTTCAAAAACTATTTCAATCACACATCACAACAACAAGCTGTGTATGAGTTGAGCAAACACGCAAAGTTACTTAGCACGTTTTCAGCACTGATTGATATCGATCGACAGAGAAGTAGAATCCACACTGACTGTGTTCAGAGACTTGCATATTTCCTGTGTAGTTTGTACCTCCCAAATTGTCGTGCTGGTATTGAAATGAGCCGACGTGACTGCGAGATGGTAGTTGGACGCGTTCACGTGTGTTCTCAGTCTGTGGGAACATTACAACAGATTGGATACATTATTGATTGGCCTCCGGTTCAAGTAGATTGTAATTCATTCAACGCATCTGTTGTGTCGCCAAAAGGTGCGTATCCATAAAGAGGCTGTTTGCATGACACTTAGTAATGATCGGAATATTCGCAATGCTATCCTGTCACGAAACAATGTTCAACTTCAGGCAGCAAAACTAGGAAATAATGTTTCTGGAACAATGTTTCCTAGTTTGTCCACCTTCAGGAAACATGGCTAGGAAACAATGTTTCCTGGTTTATGGCTAGGAAACAATGTTTCCTGGTTTGTCCACCTTTGAGAAACATGGCTAGGAAACAATGTTTTCCTGGTTTGTCCACCTTCAGGCTTTTCCCTGTTTTGTAAAGTGCTTGGGTATCATACAAATACTGATTGTACATGTTTATTTTCTTTTAGTTGAATTTAACAAAATTACATTTCAAAACAGTTTGCCTTCACCAGCAGTGGTGAGTTATCAAACTTCTGGGAAAGAAATGGTATTACATTTGATTGATAATCCGTATTCATCACGACTTGCCAATGAGTACGAATTGTTGTTTAAACCTGTTGACGAGTTGTCTTACAACCACACTCATTTCAGCGTGCGTACAAGCTCTATATCTTTAACAGTGGATACAAGCAAAGATTATGAAGTTCTTATTGCATATCTGAATACCATGGATGGAATGCCTGGACATTTTGAAAGAATTGCGTGTACGTTGTAGCATATAGAGAAGTTAATTCTTATTTTAATCATTTCTTTGTTTCAATTTTTATTCAATATGAAAAATCCCCACAATTAACACTTGATGATGACGTTGTTTCCTTTTGTGAGACGCAACTCAAAAGTGACGGGGTCTAAGAGACCTTTAAATTGACGTTTACGGCAAACGTCAAACCGCTAGCGAGGTTCGTGATTTTACAACTCTATTATTATAGCTTTTACACCAGTTTTGAAATATGTTAAACTTATTAAACTTGTGCTCTTTCGCAATGATTTAAGAAAGCAAATTAACCACTAGTCGTGTCATTCACCAAAGCAGTAAATTAAGATTTGGCGTTTGAAGTTGACGTTTGGCGTATAAATTTCATGCTTTAACGACTACAAGCCCTCGTAGCAGTTCAAGCATGGAATTTATACGCCAAACGTCAACTTCAAACGCCAAATCTTAATTTACTGCTTTGGTGAATAGCATAACTAGTGGTTAATTTGCTTTCTTAAATCATTGCTAAAGAGCACAAGTTTAATAAGTTTAACATATTTCAAAACTGGTGAAAAAGCTACTATAACAAAGTTGTAAAATCAAAAACCTCCAATCTAAAGGTCTCTAATTCCAGCCGTCACCTTACGGCTCATGTCTGATCTCGCTGCAAAGCTGGAGGGAGGAAAACCGTAGTACCCGGAGCCTCGAAGCACAGGAGAGAAGCAATCACAACTTAGTTACATGAATGTTTCAGTACATCAGAGTATAGTAACCACCTATCACGTGGGACCCCTGAGAAGTTGAGCGAGGCCCGGGGAAAAACTTTCCCAGGGGCCCCTATGACGTCATAATTGTGAAACGGGAGAGCGGTGTTTTACAATATATTGCACTCTATTGCATATTATTCGACACTCACCCAGTCAGATTTGTATTCTCCGTTCAGCAATGTTGTATCACGGAAATTCAAGGGACATCCTCGCGTTAGAGGACCTTTTGAGTTTGGCACACGGGGCAAAATGCTCCCTCTCACCGGCATTGCTATCAAGTAACAATGCCCTACCCTCGAAATACAGTAACAAGACCCTACCCTCGAGCTACAGTAGCAGGTTTAAATCCGCGGTAAGGCGAAGATAACCGTGTCCCGTACTCCCCAAATGCACGAATTATAGTTTCATATAGTTTTTCATTCCTTTAGATGCTGCTGGCTCCTCAGTTTATAACCTCCCTCAGCAAGTTGCTCCCTGTCAAAGACATTACCAACAAACCGTGTTACCAAACGATTTTGGCGATAAGAACATAACTGCAGCTAAATCAAGAATGTATCCATTCTTTCCTCTCATCTACACACTATGCAGTGAAGATTTGACTTCATTTCTCTGTTCTGCGATCTTCCCAAGATATAAGTTAGGTTTGCAACGACCCTGCAAGTCAACATGTAAGAACATTTTACAAAGTTGTTCTTATGCAATTTCTCGCACGAAATTCCTCTGGCCTGCTAAGTTGAAGTGTGATACCTTTCCAACTGACGAATGCTTTGGTAAGTGATACTTCTGTTATTATCAGGGTTTGTATTGTCCAGGTAGTTGAATCTTCTACAGTGCTCACAATATATATATATTTTATTGAAGATTTCCAATAACATTCCTTTATTCTTTTGTACTTTATCTAGACGTTACCAAGGTGACAATTCCTGCCAGTGAACCCCGTCCGCCAAGTAAGTAAAACTTTGTGGTTTACGTGCATGGTATTTAATGGAGGCAATGCAGAGAGCCGAGGATATTGAGCCACATCTGATCGTACCAGGGACTGTATCTCATTTTAACATGCATCTAAACCATTAATCGGCCGACTTTAGCTCAGCTTTTTTTTGTTTTATTTAATTAAACTGGATAGTCCTACTATGACCAGGAGTTAATTAATGTTGAGCACACTAGGTGTGATTGCCCAATTCACCCGAGGCTCACGATACAAATTCCTGACAACTAAAGGTTAGTTTTTACTGAGGGAGGAAAACTGTAACTCTCGAACCAACCAAACTCTGCTGACTTGACTTCGCAAGAACAGGCTAAGCATAGAGTAGCAGGTTTATACGCGATGTGTTTGAACTGCTTGTTCCCAGTTTTTGACAAGTCTGGAACAAGTTGTTATCCCCTTGTATAACAAAGTTGATGAGGACAACAGATTTGCAATCTTTAAGTTGTTGAAACAAGTTATTATGAAATAAGTAAACGGATAAAAGAAAAGCATTTAGTTTTATAAATTATTTAATACGTATTTGTTGAGGTAATAGGTATAAAATTTAAAACGATTTAAACTTTCCCGTGTGTATACGAAAAACGCTCAACTGGAAAGCAGCCTCAACCACACTGACCGTATCTATCGGCCTTGCTTCCCTGCTGGAGTGCAGCATAAAAGATGCGTCATGCCTTGTTTCCACAAACTATGTCATTTCATGTTTCTAGCTGAAGGTGGTGCAGCGCGGAGGAAAAGAGCTACACGAGAGTGCAAACCTACAACAAGAAGTTTGTGTTTGTCAGTAATAAAAGCATCAACAAGTGGACAACCCATGAGACTGTTTAACTCAACCTTCTCTGGATTCAACTACTTCAACTATGCATCAACAGATGAAGCGATCTTTGAACTCAGCCAACATCTACGGCTGCTCAGTACGTTAGAAGAATACAAAAGAAGAGGCATAACTAATGTAGATGGCTGTATTCCAAATCTTACAACTCTTCTCTGCCACCTCTATCTACCAGCATGTCCACGTGACCCTCAACCACAAAGTTTGTGCAGAGATACTCTGAGTTCCAACTCAACATGTGCCAAATTAGTGGCTCAGATGAACCGGGATGGTCATGATCTACAATGGCCTCCAGTACAAGTGAACTGCCAGGATGAAACTTGGTTCGCTCTCAATCGTACAGTCGATAATGGTATGTGTATGAATAATCTGGCACCTTTTTTTGCCATCCAATGCAATTACATAATTTAAATGCTTGGTTACCTTTGTTCCATTCTATGCTTACATAATCAGAACAGTGGTAACTAGGCGTGTCAGTTATCAAAACAGTGGTAACTAGGCATGTGAGTATTCTTAGGACAGTAGTTAACATGTTATTATTCTTGTGTTTTAGTTCAAATTGACGATGCAGCCTCCATTACACAACCACCACCACCGAGTTTTATCAAAGTTTCCAGTATTTCATCGGATACACTTTCCGTGAAATATACGTTAATAGACAGTCGAGCTTCCGATCGACGTGGTGTCGGAGTGCTATACAGACAGAACAATGCCGTGAAAGCCTATTTCGTTCTACGACCAGGGGTCTCACAAGTGTTAAACATACAGACGTTAACTCCAGAAACAGAATATGAAATCAAAGTTGCTACACTGATTCGTACGACTGAATTTCCAGGAATTTTTCGCACCGTTACAAGCAGAACATTCGGTAAGAAGCGATTAGAGTTAAGATTAAGCTTAGCATTACAATTTAGGATTAGAACCACATTCGGTTAGAGTTAACATTCGAAACCAGAACACAATTCAATTCCATGTTTGTGATGTTGTCTCTGAGTGCATCTACACCGGCCAAGCTGAAAACTTTGCTTGACCACGGTGGGAATCAAACCCACGACCCCTTTGCTTTGCTTGTCCAATGCTCTACTAACTGAACTACGAGGTGAAGTCGGTTTGAGTGCGTGATATTTCGATACTTAGTCTGGTTCCTTCGATATCCGTGTGTTTCTAAGATCTTGAATTTTTTATATTTTAATTCGTTTTCTAGATAGCAGTGTGATGGATGTACCCAGGACAATTGATATATGTTACAATTACTACAGGAAAACATCATTACCTAACATGTATGGTGATGCAACCATTGCAAGTGCAAAAATACGATTCCTTCCTTTCTACCCCCTGGTCCACACATTTTGCTCCAGCGAACTAGAAACTTTCCTTTGTTCAATATTTCTTCCTCGGTACGATCCAGTTACATACACAAGTCAGAGACCATGCCGAAAGTCTTGTGAGAGGGTGTACCAAAGTTGCAAGTACGCTATTGGTCGTTCAAGCTTTTTCTGGCCTCCAGAATTGGAATGTAGCAAGTTTTCGAATGATGCAACGTGTTACAGTAAGATTGCAATGTTTTTATTTTACCTGAAAATTTTTCATCTCAAGTAAGACTGCTACTGCAGATGATGACTAGCCTGCGAGCAGGCTCTAGATGATGACAAGAATAATTTTCTCACTTTGATAACTGTACGTTGACCACTATCAGCTGCACGATAGTGCTTAGTGAAACCTAGCTATCCAAGGTTACCCCACTCACAAATAAATTATCTCCATTGCAGATCTGACCATTGGTCCAGAAGCACGCCAAGCAAACCAAGAAAACGGATTCGAAGGAGGTGGGTATTTTTGATAAACAATTATTATTTATGCGGTGTGCTTCCCTAAATCCCCCGAGCTGGAGGCTCATCATGGTACCTGCATGGTGCTTGACAACTAAAGCCCAACCAGTGAGCTCCATATACACGTAAAAACGCACAAGTTGTAACAAACCTGCAGTAGACTTGTAGCAATGCTGTTCCAACAACTTGTCAACAGGATGTGTTCGCACTGCTTGTTCCCAGCTTGTTGACAACTTGCTACAAGGTTGTTCAGCTCAACAGACTTGTTACAAGTTGTTCCAACAACTTGTTATCGTCTTGTGATCCAACAATTTGTCGACAAGTTGTGAGTGACAACCTTGTAGCAACTTGATAAAATAACAACATTGTTACAACTTGTTGACAAGCTTGCTACAAGCCTGTTGTGAACACATCTTGTTGACAAGTTGTGAGATTCTTACGCGTGTATATCTCGAGAGAAGAGGAAATTGAACCATCTTGGCCGAATGACTCCAGTTCTTGCTCAAGACATATACAGAGCTCACAGGACAGGTAGTTTTTGGCGAGGTAGGAAAACCCGGGGTCGGAGGAAAACCAGCAGCTGGCTAGACTCAAACAAGCTTCTCCACGGTCATAATTTCTTTACTGAGCCGTTAGACCGAAAAAAATCCGCGTTAAACGTCAATCTGGTTCGCGGTCAAGATTTGCTTTGTGTTTCATGGATTAGTAATGAAATTCCAGATGAAATGCAGTTATTCTCAGAAAACATACACTAAAGCCCTGATCAAACGAGAGTTGATGATACTGTCAAATTGTTACAGGGGATGTTTACGCGAAAGAAGTTATTTCGCTAACCTGAGAATGACATTTCGTCAAAACTTTTTTCTTGAAGATCGGTTTTTTACTTGGAGTAGGGTTAGGGTTAGGGGTAGAGTTGGTGTTTGGAATAGGGTTAGTGTTAGTAAAACCGTTGCTTTACGTTTTGTCACTCTGAGACCAGCGAAATAACCTCTTCCTATTTTAGCTCTAGATTAACAAAAAAAAAGGCTCGATGAGTGTTCCAACTACCTAAATGATGGTGTTGGGAAAGCATTAAGAACAGCCAACCAAGGTCGCGTGACTGCCACTCTCATGTATTTTCATCCTTGTTTGATCCAGGCTTAAAAGTCACATAATATTTCTGTTTCTTATTGCAGACGTAATACAACCACAAAAAAGACGTCGACGAGCTACCTCAGGAGAATGTAAACCTACCCCCTCTACACCCCTCTGTTCATTGATCGTAGAACCTCGAGATGGCCCCCCAGTGGAGTATTTTCGAACAACATTTCAAAATGGCAACTACTTTAACCACACCTCAACAGACGAAGCAGTATACGAGTTAAGCAAATATTTGAACTTGTTCAGTTCATTACGAGGACCCGATGCAGGAAATAATAGAAACTACGAGCTTTGTTTCAGGTCATTGACTGTACTATTATGTCACCTACATCTACCTGTTTGCTCTCGCTCACCATTGAGTCAAGGAACCTGTCTTCAAGTTATTTTCAACAATTCTGTTTGTTTCAATGCAATAAAAGATCTTAACACTAAAGGAGCGAACTTTACCTGGCCGCCTGTCAACGTCAACTGTCAAGATAGAAAGTGGTTCACCAATGTAACCGGTGTCGATAGATGTAAGTAAATTTTATTATTTTTAAAGATTACAGTAACCTCCTCCCAAGATAACAACATTTCTCTAAGACAAGAATACACAAGACATTTCTGCAACAAAGACATCTCATACCTTAGCTAGTTCATATTCTTATATTTCCGTTATAGTTTTCGTTCAATTTTCTAATCCATTTGGTCCTCCTGCGCCAAAGAATATTCAAATCACTCCCAAATTTTCTACGAGACTTAACATTTCCTTCGATCGTACCCCTGATCGTACAGGTGGTCTAAATGCGACAGCGCTGTACAGGCGACGTGGTACTACAACAGCTTATCAGTGTACGACGACACACCCGTCATTAAGGCCTGGTGCCCTCACGCTAGAGCAACTCACACCAGCAACGGATTATGAAATAAAATTAGCGTCATTAAGATCAACATCCGGTTTACCTGGAGCGTTCGTGGCAAGTACATCCAACACATTTGGTAAGCATAAATGATATTTTTTGTGTATTGGTGTTATGTACTCAGGTGAATATGCTGTTTGTGAGGTTACTCTTACGCCCGTATTCTAAAAGCTCACTCACACTCAATGAGTGGAGGTTCAATCTGAGCTTCTCTTGAGCGTTAATGCTGTTTTTGAATAGCTGGAGGGGTAGTGCCATACCTTACTATGTGACTGCTCACCCTTCAGCTATTCAAAAACAGCATTGACACTCAAGAGAAGCTTAGATTGAACCTCCGTTCATTGAGTGTGAGTGAGCTTTTAGAATACGGGCGTTAGTGTGCATCCACACCTGGCAAGCTGAAACGACTTGACCTCGTATGCTTCGATTCCAACCGTGGTCAGACAAACTTTTCAGCTTGCCCGGTGTTAATGCACACTCAGAGTAACATCACAAAAACAAGAATAAATTATGTTAACCATCAACAACAATACCAGCCTCGTTTTCGTGTAAGTAACACAAGTTAAATCCCAACAGGAACCTTACGATTTAGGACGGCAACGCGACGGCAACGCGACGGCAACGCGACGGCAACGCGACGGCAACGCGACGGCAACGGCTACCAATACAATAAATCATTGAAAATAATTGAAAAATTACAATATATGAATAATTTAGACATTGTCCTCGCTCTGATTTCAACGCCAAATCACGGATTTTCACGTCTTGATACAACGGCTGCATTTCAAGCCGCAACAAATACAGTTTCAAAATGGGTTCAGCAGAACTCTTCACAACCATAAAAACCAAGTCTTCAACTTCTAAGACTGTATTAAATTCATACGATTGATAATATCGTCGCGTTGCCGTCCTACAATCGTCTTTACTATCTCAATCATAAAAACGAGGCGAAGGCGACGTACTTCCTGGAAAGAAGTATTGCAGAACACCATTTTTTCATAGAAAGGTTAAATGCACATACCACTGTGGCCACAATAGCTATGCACACATGGAATACAAAGAATATAATAAAAACATAAAAATGTTTTCTCTTTTAAGGACAATGTCAAAACGACACGACAGGAGAAGAGATCACCCAAGGAAAATTTCACTGGACAATGCAAGATGGAAGCCAACGGCAATATTTGACCTGCCCGTATGGTGGTGATCTTGACGATATCGATGACAGACCGCCCATTGAGGGATCGATCGAGGGGGAATTTACCGCAGAACGTTTCTGTAAATGTGACATACCGAACATTTGCAAGAATCCATCCTGGCTCGAGCCGGAGACGAGCAAGTGTATCTTCAAGCGTGTGGATCAATCCGATCCTGTTACTTTCACTTTGTCAGAGGTTTTTCAGGTAAATGATTCAAAGCTTTCTCCTCTCTGCATCATCAAAATCTCCCATGAGCAAATTCAAGGCTTTCTCTGAACATAGAAGTTAAGAGCCCACCTACAAAATTCTCTCTGCATCATCAAAAGCCCCTATGAGCAAATTCAAGGCTTTCTCTGAACATAGAAGTTAAGAGCCCACCTACAAAATTCTCTCTGCATCATCAAAAGCCCCTATGAGCAAATTCAAGGCTTTCTCTGAACATAGAAGTTAAGAGCCCACCTACAAAATTCTCTCTGCATCATCAAAAGCTCCTATGAGCAAATTCAAGGCTTTCTCTGAACATAGAAGTTAAGAGCCCACCTACAAAATTCTCTCTGCATCATCAAAATCTCCATATAAGCAAATTCAAAGCTTTCTCTGAACATAGAAGTTAAGAGCCCACCTAAGTTTCGAGTTTCTTACTAATTTTGATATTTCTTAACTCTCATTCAGAAATTAGACGGCGATGAAATATCGCCACATAATGCGAGCGAGGAACTCGTGACCATTACAGCACAATATGCTCCTGAATTTACGCCAGATGATGTTATTTTATCAACAGTAATTTTGGAAGATATCGCTAAAAACACACAACAATTAAAAAAGGTAGGCAAACTAAGACAAAAAGTTCAAGTCAAAAGGTTTTGCTAACACTTCCTTTGACTGTAAACACGCTAGGTTTCAGTCATGTTGAAGATAAATCTTTTGAAGACAGAAATCTCGGGTCTAAAATAAATATGTATAAAACTTATACACAATATACCCTTTCGGTAATTACATCACACATACTTTTTGGTCTTGGAGCCTCACTCTCATTAGTAAATTACGCAAGGTGATTGGCTCACGATTCATGAGAGCGAGGCTCCCAGGCCAGATGACATAATTATCGAAAGGGTGTATTCGAAATCTGTTGAATGTTGTCTTTTCTCAAATATTGAGTTCCTGGATGGAACTTGGAGTATGTTTTATATTTGTTTGATATGAAATATTTCCTTCAGACTGGACCAAACATTGTGAAGTCAATCAGCAATCTTTTGAATACAGAGGAGAACGTTCTTTCTGAAAGCCAGCGAATCACCAATGCCTCAGCAAGGTGCGTGCAAATTGTTAGATTGGGCGTGGAATAACCGTGCCTCAATTGTTTAAATATTCCCAAATTCGTCGTATTATTATCCATTTTTGGTATGATTCTCTATTCCATTCAAATATTCATTACTCATTTCCCACACAGACTTCATTCCACCACTTCAGAATGCCTAGAACATTACCCCAGAAGAGCAGCCTATATTCGAGTTATTAACATGTTCGGTGTACATTCGAATGCTCAGTGCTCCCTTGGGAAATTTTAGAATTCCAGAATGGCCATTTCTTGCGTTTTCAGAGCAGTTCCACTTGAGAACTAACTTGCTTTTCATTCTCTTACAGAACCTTAAGAGTTCTGGATCAATACTTAGAGAACGTCCCTCTGGAACCTGGTCAAAATTTCACCCAAAACGAAGCGCACATCGCTGTGTTCACGCAAGAATATGACATCCGAGACTTCGCGGGAGCTGCTGCTGCCTCTGTTGAAAAAAATACAGCAGATAAGTTGGTAGTCTATGATGACGATCAAGGCGTTCAAGAAGATATATCACAAGTGTCGCTGACCATGTCAAGCTCGTTGTTTAAAGACTTAGATATTGACGTAGACAGTCAGAGTCAACGCATCTCGTTCATTATACATCGCAAAACCTCATTCTTTACAACCTCAGAGAAAAAAGAGTCAAACTCCCAAACCAATACAGTTCGAAAAAAGAATAGTTTCGTCATATCAGGTTCAGTGAAAGGCCAGAGGTTAACTGACCTCGCAGACCCTATAATGACAACTTATCAGCCACTGGATGCAGGCATAGACGAAACAACTGCTTGTGTTTTTTGGAACTTCACCGCGGGGGAGAACGGTTTAGGAAACTGGTCATCAGTTGGATGCAGTTATCAAGGAACTGAGGATGGTGTGGTCACGTGCCATTGTACACATTTGACTAACTTTGCCATATTGATGGTAAGTAAGCTTTAGACAGATGTACTATTTAGAAAATGACCCGAAGTGCTTTATGAGTTGCCTAAGCCAAGAAAATCAAAGTTTATGTAAATGAACATTATTTTTTATCACATATAAAACCAGCGACATCGTCCTGATTTCCTCATGGATTATTAATGATGTTTGAAGCTTATATAAATATAATTGTTTTGTTTTGTTGGGTGGAAACCAACAGGTTTATTTTGTGCAAAACTTTCAATCTGTAAGCCCGGATCTTCATTAGTGCAAATAATATAATGCTAGACTTTAATTCCCACATCCAGTAAACCCAATGAAAGATTTCTACTCGAATATTTATGGTAGCAAAATTAGTCTGGCCTGATTTGCCAGCCATGTATGTTGGTTATGCGCTTTCAATGTCAAATCTTTTCCTCTCATTTTGTTCACATTTAAACCAAGCACTTTCTGTCTCTGTGAGAACTACGAAACATTTTTACGATTCTCCTACCTTCAAAAGCGTCCTGTCCAGCAGCTAACGTTGTAGATGTCCAAATCGTTCTTAATTCTTAGTTCTTAATCTTTCATATTTGATCGAGTATTGTTCTGTAAGAGAGAGAGAAATATTCTCAGTTCAATTATTTTATTGCAGGATGTACATATTGGTGACAGAGACGAGACTCATGATAAAGTTCTGAGTGTCATCAGTTATATTGGATGTGCTATCTCCTTAGTTGGTCTTATTCTCACTATTATCACTATACTTATATTCAAGTAAGTAAATATAATAAATTTATTTATACTGGATAACTCTAACAGTTCGGAACTGTTCTTCCTAGAGGTCCAGTAAGAATCATATCTTATTGATCCAGTGTTACTACAGGAGGAAACCTAAACTAAACTAACTTTATTTATACTGGATAGCTCTATCATACTGGATAACTCTAACAGTTCGGAACTGTTCTTCCTAGAGGTCCAGTAAGAATCATATCTTATTGATCCAGTGTTACTACAGGAGGAAACCTAAACTAAACCAACTTTATTTATACTGGATAGCTCTATCAGTTCTTCGTTCTCTCTAGAGGTCCAATAAGGATCATCTCTTATTGATCTAGTGTTACTACAGGAGGAAACCTAAACTAAACGATTGGATAGCTCTATCAGTTCTAAACTGTTCTTCTTAGAGGTAACTTTATTTACACTGGATAGCTCTATCAGTTCTAAACTGTTCTCCCTAGAGGGTTCAGTAAGGATCATCTCTTATTGATCCAGTGTTACTACAGGAGGAAACCTAAACTAAACTAACTTTATTTATACTGGATAGTTCTATCAGTTCTAAACTGTTCTCCCTAGAGGTCCAGTAAGGCCATCTCTTATTGATCCAGTGTTACTACAGGAGGAAACCTAAACTAAACTAACTTTATTTACACTGGATAGCTCTATCAGTTCTAAATTGTTCTTCCTAGAGGTCCAGTAAGGCCATCTCTTATTGATGCAGTGTTACTACAGGAGGAAACCTAAACTAAACTAAACTAACTTTATTTATACTGGATAGTTCTATCAGTTCTAAACTGTTCTCCCTAGAGGTCCAGTAAGGCCATCTCTTATTGATCCAGTGTTACTACAGGAGGAAACCTAAACTAAACTAAACTAACTTTATTTATACTGGATAGTTCTATCAGTTCTAAACTGTTCTCCCTAGAGGTCCAGTAAGGCCATCTCTTATTGATCCAGTGTTACTACAGGAGGAAACCTAAACTAAACTAACTTTATTTACACTGGATAGCTCTATCAGTTCTAAATTGTTCTTCCTAGAGGTCCAGTAAGGCCATCTCTTATTGATCCAGTGTTACTACAGGAGGAAACCTAAACTAAACTAACTTTATTTACACTGGATAGCTCGATCAGTTCTAAATTGTTCTTCCTAGAGGTCCAGTAAGGTCATCTCTTATTGATCCAGTGTTCCTACAGGAGGAAACCTACCACTTTCAACAAAGTAATCACACAATAATAAATTATTGATTATATATAGATTGAGATAATTAATCGATGATTGTTTTTAACCATCACCTTTGTGTCTCAATTTTTAGAGATCTTCGAAGCAAAGCTCCGACTCAGATCTTGCTCAATTTCTGCATTGCTCTCTCGCTAACGTTAATCGTGTTTCTGGTGGCTGCAGAGAGATCCAACACCTCCTCCCTCGGTGCCTGTAGGGCTGCGGCAATAGCTCTACATTACTTCGTGTTAGCCATGTTTGTGTGGACATCTATACAAGCTTACAACATGTACCGAGCCTTTGTGACAGTTATACCAAAATATCATTCCAAGTTTATATTGAAATGCTGTGTGGTTGGATGGGGTGAGTGATTGATTGATGGAATGATCGGTAGACTGATGTTATTAATGATTCTAATGTTATAGATAATGATCGATAGATTGATGTTGTTATAGACTTTAAAGCTAAAAAGTTAATCATTTTTCTAATGTTATAGATAATGATCGATAGATTGATGTTGTTATAGACTTTAAAGCTAAAAAGTTAATCATTTTTTGATTGATGGAATAATGATCGATAGATTGATGTTGTTATAGATTCTAAAGCTAAAAAGCTAATCATTTTTTGATTGATGGAATAATGATCGATAGATTGATGTTGTTATAGATTCTAAAGCTAAAAAGTTAATCATTTTTTGATTGATGCAATAATGATCGATAGATTGATGTTGTTATAGACTTTAAAGCTAAAAAGTTAATCATTTTTTGATTGATGGAATAATGATCGATAGATTGATGTTGTTATAGATTCTAAAGCTAAAAAGTTAATCATTTTTTGATTGATGGAATAATGATCGATAGATTGATGTTGTTATAGACTTTAAAGCTAAAAAGTTAATCATTTTTTGATTGATGAAATAATGATCGATAGATTGTTGTTGTTATAGACTTTAAAGCTAAAAAGTTAATATTTTTTGATTGATGGAATAATGATCGATAGATTGATGTTGTTATAGACTTTAAAGCTAAAAAGTTAATATTTTTTGATTGATGGAATAATGATCGATAGATTGATGTTGTTATAGACTCTAAAGCAAAAAGGTTAATCATTTTTTGATTGATGGAATAAAGATCGATCTATTGATGTTGTTATAGACTCTAAAGCTACAAACCTAATGCTTTTTGATTGATGGAATAATGATCGATAGATTGACGTTGTTATAGACTCGAAAGCTAAAAACCTAATCATTTTTTCAGGTCTACCAGCTGTGATTGTGATAATAACAGCCGCAGTAGCGATTGAAGATTATGGTGATGAAAACTTGTAAGTTTGTTTTGCTTCACTGGAAAACTCAGAGAAATTTCCTGCGTGGAACATGGGTAACTACATTCACACGCGAGACTTGGTCTTATCTAAATATCGCTTTATTTTCCCTTGTATAGTTGCCGAGTGCAAGGTCTACCGTTCCAGATTGGCTTCTTGGCTCCAGTGATTTTAATCCTTGTTGTAAACTCTATAGCATTCGTTCTTATCATTCGCTCACTGCTCACAGCCGGAAGTAAAGTTACCGCCGACAAGAGAGCCACGGGATTACAACACGCCAGACGAGGTTCCGCCATCTTGGTTGTGCTTGGTTTAACCTGGCTATTCGGTATCCTCGCTATAAGTGATGCGAAATTAGTCTTTCAATATTTGTTTTGTATTTTCAACTCAATTCAAGGACTTTTGGTGTTTGTGTTCTACTGCGTGCTATCCTCGGAAACTAAAGCTAAGTACAGGAAATTGTTTTGCGGAAAAAGTGCGCAATCTGACACGGGAATGTCAAGTCATGGCAAGCAACGTTATGCTGGGGCTTCTTCAGAAGGACGCTTTCATGAAATTAACTCCAACAAGAATACAACAAGTAATGTGTATACCATGAGTACAGGAGAATCTTCGATGTCAACTCCAAATAAAGTTAATGTAGAAATGAGTAAGCTATAGATGCTTTGTGTTTTATGAAGTGTTCAGATAGATATCTGTGGAATTTATTTGTGTGAAAACAATCTGGACATTTAATCGAAAAAACCTGAATGATTGGAACATTTAGCTATTGGAAGAGATGAAATAATTTTGAAAATTTTCTGTCTTCTTGACCTAGAATAGATACGAGTGCTTTTGTGAAAAAACTTGAACATACGGAAGACAGAGAATTAGTGCTTGGAACATTTAGCTTTTGCAAGAGATGAAATGATTTTGAAAACTTGCAGTCTTCTTGCAGACTTACAATAGATATATGTGCCTGTGTGAAGGATATATGGAAGATAAATAACTCTCTAGCAATGTCATTGTGAATGAAGAAAAATATGAAAATACTGAATAATCTCATAATAGCAGTTGTAGTGTAATTCATTTCTCCTTTGCAGTAATGAAACGAATTACATATAATCATTATATACAACAATTACTTTCTAAATTAACATGCTGTCTTCACAATATAGTGGACAATACTGTGTTTAATTGATCAAAGATATTTAACCTGATATGTAGTCCTATTTAATACAGTTCAACAAAACCAAGATCCATGAAGTCCTGAGCAAGATTGTCTTCTAGAGGCCTGATTGTCGAACCAGTCCCCTAACTGCTCGCCATCCAGACGTCTTTCCAAATCACGTGATTCAGTCGTGTCTCGCGGCTGAAAACTGAATATATCATAAACATTTCGTCTTTGTTGGTTTAACTGGTATGTTGATCTTGCATGGGCAGAATTCAACACTAAACATACCAGGGAAAACACGAGTAGAGCTGTTGACTTCATTGTTCGTGAATTTTCTAAACATATGGAGAAAGACGTGTTAACATTTGTATTTTAAATATCAGTAGTCAAAACTTGCCAGGTAATGTGCATAAAGGTAAGTCTCACTAAGCGCTATCGTGCATCAGATGCTGGTCAACCTGTAGTTATCAGAGTGAGAAAATGTGAATTATTTTATTATATTTAGTAGAATAATGAGAAACTATAACTCAAATTTGCAAGATTCCGTCTTTCGAGTTGACACACGACGTGTGAAGATGGATGGGTGTGAGGACAATTACTAACTGTTAACCATTGGAACCAGGCGTATAGCCTAAGATTATAGTACTAACTTGACTATTGCACTAAATAGATTTGTTTCAATCCTTGTCATATTCTTACCTTTAACTCAGAGAGACTTTACTCCAATGCAGTCCAGGATGAAACGAGTCTTGTGTGTGAATGCCAGGGAATGAAACCCTCAATACTTTATAACCGAACAGCCAGCACCTGCGCGCTAATCACTGCATAATATTATCTCACTTCTAACAATGCATCCGAAATTTGCGTCAAAAGAATAAATCACAAAGTGCGGTGCGCGCAATTAACCACGCAATATGTATGATTTGAAAGAGCTTTTGATTGCGACAAAATAACAACATAATATTTATTGCATTGTCAGGTTTATTAAGCATTGATTGCCGCCAGGATTAAATTGTAGTGAACGAATTCATTAACTGATTTGCGCAAACTTGATCTCTTTCAGTCAAAGAAAGTTACTGTACCCAGAATACAAAAAAATAAGCTTTCGGAAAGTTTTAGTACTAAATTATTAGTACCAACTGAAACCTGTGATATGCGATTTATCTCTAAGTCGTTTGCCCGACGTTTCTAATTACGTCAAGCAATTACATGTCATGTTACTAAATTCAATCTATTATTTATCGTTCTTTATTTATTTCTATAATTAGTTTTTCATAATTGCTTGAGTATGATTGAACTGAAGGATATGTCTTAATTTTCTATTAACATGGAAATATTTCATTTCTAATCTTATTCCTCCTATAACAGGAGATGCAAAAGAGTTTACACGACTTCGGCATATTTTTGTACGTCCACTAAAAAAAATGTTTGCTATAATTTCTTCCCAACTACCTTTCGTATTAAAATCATACATGTGGAAAACTAAATGCAATACTCATTTGGTTATACATGAGATATGCATTAAGTTTGTCAAAAAATACAAACAATGTTTCCACAACAAGGTTTGTTCAGGACTTGTGCGCAATGTTGTGGGCAGGTTGTACGAAGGCTGGATAGCGCTATCCACCGGAAAGTGATTATTTCAACCTTTGAAAAAATGCTTGAAAAACTATACAGACGACACAAGAAGTATAAAAAACATTTAACGTATAAATACTACACTTTAATACGAGTTATACCAATCAACGACTGATTTAAGAAAGCTTGAAAAAATCACTATATATGGCGGTTCTCGCTATCCGGCCTTCGTACAACCGACCCCTGGAACCAACGTTTCCAGGTTTGGCCAACCAAGACTCAGAGCAACAACCAGAGATCACGATTGTTCAGCCTGTCTCTCTATAGCCATCATAGCGTCCATGGCGTTCGGAGCAATCCTCAAATCTCTCAATCTCATGCCAGAAAACTGATAGTTATATCCTTTATATGTGATCCACTTCCCATCACTTTCTCCCTTGGTATGTTGGCCATCATAAAGTGTTTCTCCCGAGATGTTTTTGTGGACTTTTGTGACCTTTCCTTGATGATAGCGAACACCACCAGTATTGTTGCCTTCAGAACCAGAGTATGAACCCTGAATGATGAGAAACACAAGAGATGATTTAAAGTAGGGTGCATTTAGTTTGGGGCATACAGAGAAGTTTGGCCATCAGTGCTACTAGCTAGCTCTGTCTGTTCTCAACTATTCTTCATAGAGGTCTAACAAGGGAAACAGTTGTTGCTATTTTATTAGCCAATACAAGGCATGATATCAATAGAACGTTAAATGGGGTTCCTCAAGGTCCTCTGTTGGGCCCACTCATAACTTTAATAAATCTAGAAATGCCCAAATCAAAAATGGTTCTCAAACAAATCTCACCAACAGAAAGTATTAAATCGTCTATATTGATTACTATATTGAAACCCACGATTGGATCATCACAAAGTTCGAAGGCGGGCCCACCCATAGTTTAGAATAGTACACTCATACCTGAGGAAAGAATACGATCGTTCCAACAGCAATCTCATCAGAACGAGGCACTGAATTCAGAGCAACATTCTTATAACATTCATGTCTTCCACTCGGGTCACCATCGTCCCAGTCCACTGTATATTCAAACGTTGTTTTATCAAACGCCACAATGGTCGCTGGGAAGTACGACCATTTGAAATGATGACTGATCACTTTATCACCAATAGTAGGGGCACGGTATGTACGTTCTTTGCCTGGAGCTAAATGATATAATAGGTTATACATCGTATGTTATATTGCAGTTCAAGAAGGGGACAAAACTATGACAAATCACTCTATCAACAGTGGTAGGGGTAGGTGCGCTCTTTGGCTGGAGCTAAATGATATAACATCGCATGTTATATTGCAGTTCAAGAAGGGGACAAAACAAGTACGCCCATTTGAAATGAACACAGATCTTATTATCAACAGTGGTAGGGGTAGGTAAAATCTTTGCCTGGAGCTAAAAGATGTAACATCATGACAAATCACTCTATCAACAGTGGTAGGGGTAGGTACGCTCTTTGGCTGGAGCTAAATGATATAACATCGCATGTTATATCGCAGTTCAAGAAGAGGACAAAACAAGTATGCCCATTTGAAATGATGACAAATCACTTTATCACCAATGGTAGGGGTATGTACACTCTTTGGCTCGAACTACGTGATATAGTTCATACATTAAATTGAATGTAAACAGTCGTAAGAGAATGTAGAATCATTTACATTAAATGTTGAATATTATGTCACAGTGTTTCATTTACAACACGGGTAAATGAAAATTGGTAGAACTCATTTTGGCGGCACTTTGCAACATAGCGGTCATGTAAGAAAGCAAAAACTTCAAAAATCTTATGTTTTGTCATATGTATTGAAGATTACCACAAACTCATACAAACACAGTTTTTAACACCCCCCTCCCCTCCCCCTCGGCAATCTGACGTCTGTGCTGACAACAACGTGACTTGCTGAAGCTCGCTATTATCTTTTCACTGGTCGTTCTGTATGGCAATAGAGACCTTACGATTTTAGGACGGCAACGCGACAGCGCCGGCCAAAAAAACTCCTTCAAATAAATGGTAGTAAAGAAAGTTCGTCGTATATTATCAATCGTATGAATTTAATACAATCTTATAGAAGTTGAAGACATGGGTTTTGTGGTTGGGAAGAGTTCTACTAAACCAAGTTTGAAGTTGCACTTGTTGTGGCTTGGAATGCAGCCGTTGTATCAAGACGTGAAAATCTGTGATTTGGCGTCGTAAACAGATGTCTGAATTATTCATATATTGTAATTACTCAATTCTTTTCAATGATCTATTGTATTGGTAGCCGTTGCCGTCCTAAAATCGTAAGGTCTTTAATATCATGAGAAATGCAACGATCACTTACTTTGGTAACTTGCGTCTTGCACCACACTGCAATACTGTATCACCTCTTCCAATTTTCTCTCGTAGCCACCTTCCTCTATCTCGCGCATGTCAATTGTACCTACATCACAACCGCTGACCAACATGCCTATGATTGTGTTGCTCCATTTGTCTCCAGTCCCCACAATAATTGGCACGACTTTCTTCTTAAGAGATTTCAAGGCAAACTGAAACTCCATGCGACAATTGTCGCTCTCTGAATATTCGTCGCTCACAAAAACCAAGACAAGTTTCGCACTTGACAGACCTTTTGCAATGACCTCAAACTAGAAAAGATCGGAACATTCTGGTTAACATGTCAAAATATCACAAAATAATAGTTCAATGAATTTCATGGGACATGTATACACCTACCATTCCAATCGACTCAGCCGCGGCACTTGTCAATTGATGTATGTCTATCCATCCATTTATATTTCTCTTTGCGAGATCAGCGTATATACGCCGTGGGTCATTATATCCATTCCCTGTAGAGAAAATAATAATTCAGTAATTCAATCAATCAATAATTCAGTGCATTAACATAAAATGCTTTTTCACTTATATACCCTGGATCAGGGAGTTTCCTGTTTCGCTGAAGTTGCAGCCTGCACTCAGGTGGTGATAGTCTTTTGCGTGCTATATGCAAATCAATCCTTGCTGATCGCAGAGGTATATCGAGTCATCGACATCGACTATCCGCGGATGTCGCGACTGATAGCCACAACCACCAGTGTAAAATAGTCTATCTTATCTTTTGCATGCAAATCCGTCTGAACTGATTGTAGACATATATCAACACTCCATTATATCGATCACCTTGATATAGTCGATATAATCAGGAGCAAACGAAAAAGAAATCTACGTTTGTGACGTTGTCTCTGAGTATGTCCACACCGAGCAAGCTGAAAAGTTTGCCTGACCTCGGTGGGACTCGAACCAGAGACCTCTGGTTTGCTGGTCCAATGCTCTACCAACTGAGCTACGAGGTGAAGTCGGTTCAAGTGCGTGATATTTCGGAACTCAGTCTGGTTCCTTCGATATCAGTGTGTTTTTGCGATCTTGGTTTCAGCCTGCCCGGGGTGTAGACACACTCAGAGCAACATCACAAACATCGATCTTCATTCACCCGAGTACACAACACCCGAAACAAAGAAATGCTTACCAACATACTGCTTCACCTCCTTTGCTTCGTAAGCCGTCATTGAGTTCGTCCAACAATAACTGATAAACACCTCAGGTGCCTTGGTCGTCACAATCGATTTCGTGGGTGATTCTTGAAATGACCGTTCTTGCACATGTACATATTTAGCTAAAGCTTCCACCAACTGTTCCATCTTCGCAGTTGCCTTGCTTGAATCCTACAGAGAGAGAAAAGTGCAGGGATTAAATCAACAGGTTTAGGCAGAAAAAAGGATAGGAAGAAAATAATGTTAGTATTCACAAATGTGATTTCAAGTAAACTAAAGGTGGAGTAATACAAAAAAATTGCTGCAACTCGCAACAAAATCTGATTTCAACGCATGTTGATTGAAAATGTTCACACATACATTACAAATCACGAGGCAACATGTGTCAACATTTCTACTTAACATGCGTTGAAATCACATTTTGTTGCAAGTTGCAGCAATTTTGTTGCTCGTGTAACTCCTGCTTTAAGTCCTTACAGTAAAATCAATGTATAACTCTCCAGCAATGAGCAGACCCACGACTGTCAACTGCCACTCCCACTCGCCTCCTCCGACCACAATGGGCAAGATAGATTTCTTGATCGTCTTCTTGGCAAACTGCAGTTCCATTCTGGTGTTGTCGCTGTTGGCATATTCATTACTGATACACGAGATTATGATCTGGCATCTCTTCATTACATTCACAACTTTATTCAGTTCTATTGGTTGTCGAGATTCATCCATCCAGACACGCAGACCTTGCTTCACAAGCTGCTGTTTGATCCAACGTGGATCGCATGATTGACCATTTAATGCCTTCTGCTCCTCAACACTCTTCCCCAGAGCCCCAGCACCAACCTCGCCATTCTCAAGAGCCAAGTTACTGTTCAGTTTACTGTACGATATAAATACATCATACGCAGATTCATCATTATCAGGTGTTGCCACCTCGTGACCCATTTCACTACTGGAATCCATATGCATCCCCTGGGCATTCAATATATCCAAGATATTAGGGGACACGCGTAGGTCTTTCCTCATAAGTCCCTTAAATTCATAGCTGTATCCCTGGAATGTCACCCATTTACCATCATTAACCCCTTTTGTATGCACGCCATCATAGAGCTTTTTACCTATACGTCCTTTATACACCCGGGTAATGCGACCCTGGTGATATCTGATCCCTCCGCTATTGTTTCCCTCAGTACCGGCATATTGACCCTAAAAGATAATAGAAACGTATTAGGTATGGAGGTGGAAATAAAGGTGAGATATCATCTTCCCTTGCAGCTGAAAATTGAATGGTGAGGGATTCAGCTCAAACAGGAGCGAGTCGATATATATATAACATGGTCATATTACATTGTGATGTTTTTATGTTACTATGAGTGTATATCCACATAGGGCAGGCTGAAAAGTTAGCCTGATCACGGTGGGAATCGAAACCTCGACCTTTGGGATACTAGTCCAATGCTCTGCCAACTGAGCTACGATATTATATTACGTATTTGATTAGAGAGGAATATTTAGAGTAACAAGAGTTATGTAGTTTCATCTGTGATAACGTGTTTATACATAATCATATATACCGGGTTTTGGTATATACAGCGTGTATCAAAAAAACTGCACAGTTCCAAAACGTCCGCTAAACTGCAAATTTGTGGAATCTTTATGCAAGCATGGGTAGTGAGGGCTTCACCACTTTTCAAGCACATCAGGTTAGAGCAGGGTATTCACCCCTCAAGTACATCAAGACACAATACACAAGGCTTTAGGGTCAGTGAGTTAACCGTCTCTTCTGTCATCTGCTGCCCAGGAAAGCTAGCAATACTCGTTAACGTTTCACTCCCTACCTGAGGAAAAAGAACCAACGTCCCCATGCCAATCTCATCTTCACCAGGGGTCCTATTTAAAGCAACGTTGAAATATTTTTGAACTCTTCCTGAACGATCACCGTCGTCCCAGTTCACTGTGTACATCAAAGTCTTGACATCAAATGAATCTATGGTAGCTGTGTAGTACGACCAGGACTTATGAAGAGATAGAACTTTGTCTCCAACTTTCAAATGTCTGCTTTGTTCCACATTCACTCCAGAATCTGTGTCAGAAGTCTCGTCTATCTTCGGTTTAATCTCGGCTGAAGAAAAAAAGAAAGAATTGATATGGGGCCAACACTTTTGAGTTAGGGATAAGTCCAACTACATTTAAACCTTAGGCGAGGTGGGCATACATTATTAAACAAACGAAAAAGCTTTTTAGGTTTACTCCGCTTTTCATTTGTGGTAACACTCGATTATTAAGAGATCGTCCTTACTGGACCTCTAGGTTTAGAACTGCTGATAAAGCAATCCAGTACATATAGTTAGTTTAGTTAAGTTTCCTCCTGTAGTAATACTAGGATTAGTAAGAGATATTCCTCACCGGACCTCTAGGGATAATACAGTTTAGAACTGATAGAGCTATCCATTGCAATACAGTATAAATTTCCTCCTGTAGTAACACTGGATCAATGAGATGATCCTTACTGGACCTCTAGGAAGAACAGAACTGATAGAGCTATCAGGTACAAATAAAATTAGTTTAGTTTAGAAGGGATTTTACAGTTACCTTGAGACACCACTTCACTCTCCAGAGTGACAGACGCCAAACTTAGAGCTTTTTTCAAATGCATATTTTCTTCTTTGACTTTTTCAAATTCCTGATCCTGTTTGTTGACCTTGTCCTTGAGTTGTTCATGTTCTAGCTGGAGTTCCTCGTAAGCTTTCTCGTGTTTGCTGATTTGTTCTCGTAGGTACGTTACATCACGTACCAGGCTGTCATTCTGCGCCGCACGACGACCTTTCGACACCGAGTGACCCATGATGGATGACACTGCAAATTATCATATATTCATTCGTCAGGAGTTTGAACCTTTTTAATACACTGTACTGCCAGCATACAAGTGGGTTTCCTGCACTACTGGAACATGTATTCTAAAAGCTCACTCACGCTCACACTCAATGAGTGGAGGTTCAGTCTGAGCTTCTCTTGAGTGTCAGTGCTGTTTTTGAATAGCTGGAGGGTGAGTGGTCACATAGTAAGGTATGACACTAACCCTTCAGCTATTTAAAAACAGCACTGACACTCAAGAGAAGCTCAGATTGAACCTCCACTCGACGAGTGTGAGTGAGCTTTTAGAATACGGGCGTAAGATATAGAATTATATTTTTGGAACATTAAATATATTGTACTGGCGATTCAAAGGTCATTGGGCTCGGTGTGCAACAGGCAGCAAAGTCTAGTTATGTTGGGGTCAGGTGTCAATTTAGATGCAAGTCCTGTTCCTTTCCTCAGTCACATTTGTGTCCTCTGTTTATTGTAGATATATGCGTAATGATTGTATTGTATTGACATTAAGATATAAAATTATATTTTTATAATGGCGAGTTTCGGATTGACAGAGATTTTACTACCGGAAAAACACAAAGAAGTCCTCCTAACCCTATCAATCAGTAGCGTTCTTATTATTGCCACTACCTACACTGGTACAGACTGTTCAATGTTGTATTGGTATAGAATGCGTGTGAATATCAAGTGCTGTGTTTCCAGGCGAGAGTAAGCCCAGCGCCTTACTGAGAGACCCTGGAACGACCTAACACTGGACAATTAACACTTGGGATTACTATCACATGGGAATGCTGCCTCAGAAACTGAAAGGAGCGCCCATGAGAGGACTAGAAACTGATGTAAATGTTCTATAGCAACATAGAGGCAGTGTTTACAGTGATAAATAATAGACTATCTTAAACATTGACGTTTCTCTCAAACATGTTGATTTTATATAACAACACATCAATATCTTCAATCCTAAGTTCATGCAGTTTCGTTATTACATACAGCCTTACATGGTTTAGTTCAGGTGCGATAATGTCAATCTCTGTCCTGTGTAAGCGTCTACAGCTACTTTCCAGTGGCAGGTGATTTATTAATAATGCATAATGTATATCTATTTTAAATACGCCTTGTTATAATGTGGGATTAAAGTTACATAACATATATTTCTTTATGTTTCGAGGCTTCGTTCTCGCGGAAACGGACAAATTCAGAACCGTAGCCAAATTTGTTCGAATGCGCCGCACGAGTTCACAGAGGACACACGAAACATGACAAAAACAAGCACGAATTCCCGTGTGAATGAATGGAAAAGAACGAGATTTCGTCCAGTTCCTAGTCACTCCGGTCTTGTGAGAACAATTTCTTGATATCCAGATGATAATCAACACTCGATTATACATTACTTTGTGTGTTGAAGTTTGGTGAAATCGTTTACTATAATTATTATATCAGTCTATAAGTGCGGTTACTAGGAGTACAAGATGCTAAATTTAAACAAGAAAGTCGAATAACTTGAATAAAAATAATGACTTTGCTTACCTTGAGTTAAATAAGTAACAGTTCACCTTCAACCATCGTTTTCAGGTTTTAATCTCGAACAGGAACGCTTCCTTCTCCAATATGTTCTCAATTGTCAAGCGTTTTTCATGTTTATTTACATGTTACTGTTACCTGGTGATTAGCATTTGCAAGTTGTGAAATGAGCTGTAACATTTGAATTGTATTGTATAGAAATGAATATATTAACATAATATATGTACATCGTTAAACTCGGATGAAAACCTCGCAATGAAAATGTGGAGAAGATTTAGGAAATATTATAATCTAGCGTGAAGGCCTAGTTAGATGGTTGCGGGACGTCTGTCTACATCATTTCATAAGCACATAAAACTACTTAACTTTATCCTCAACAAACAATTAACAACTTATCATGTCAAACATTTGCAAAAGATTTAAAAGATGGCCTCGGTGTAAGAGTGAAAATTGTCAAGTGTTATATTTTAATTCCAACTGCAGAGAGTAAAATTAGATTTTCTCACGGCTTGCATGGCAGGATACTGTACAATGTACACCGGTAGAACCAGCATGCATGAAACATCGGTGGTCATCCAGAACTATACTAATGCTGCAATGGAACTGACAACACTTCTCGAACGTAGAATGCGGGGTGATCTTATTGAAGCATACAAGATTATTAACGGACATGTTAACTATGGCCATCAAATGTTTAACCATAATTTGCATTATAATACTCGTAATTTATGCAATGTATCATCCTGTAGGACCAGATTTGCGTTAGATTGTTTTAGCGTAAGAGTAATTAAGTATTGGAACAATTTACCAAACTCTGTTAAGTATGCACCTAGTGTAAACGCCTTTAAGGCAGGACTTGATGATCTAAAAAGTTATAACCCGGATTCTCGTCACGGATATTGGTATTTATCGCAAGAAATCTTTAACAGAATTCCGGATAAGAATGACCATGTTACTTATCTTAAATTGCATCCAGAGGTTGCTATGCGAAGACGTATTTCTTGTTTCTAATTTTTAATAATTGTAATATATATTACTGTAAGATTTATATTTCTGTAATTTTCTTAGATGCATGAGTTGCCCAGAGAGGCATAATTAAATCTTATCTTATCTTATCTTATCTTATCTTATCTTATCTTATCTTATCTGCAAAGTAGGACTTTAATAGACCCCGCACGAGACAACACGATAACACCAGGCCCGCCAAGAGCGAGGAGGACAGTGGGGAACCCTAGATACGAATAGGAAACTATCTAACAGTGGGGGAACACTGGATAAGACGAGAAGCAAAAATAAGACTACACACTGGGCTAGTGGAAAACATCTAGCTCCAAGCCGTTTATACTGGCTCAGTCATGTCTCGAGATAATGAAGCAGTAAAAGCATTAATGTATGGTAAACACTGAGGTAAACACTGATCATTGAAGAACTGGGCATCCTGAACTACGGTTCAAAGACAAGTGCATCAAAAACGGGGTGCACATGCAAGACAAGTGCTTGAAAAAGTGGTTGTTTCACTGATAAATTGAGAAAGACGAAAGAGAAGCTAGAAAGAAAAGAGCTCTAACAAGGTGTGTGTGTGTGAAAAGATGAACGCAAAGTGAATGATAACAGACAGAAACGGAAACATTAAAGATTCTGTCTTGCTGTGTATACATTTGGTGAGTTTGAATATTCGAAAACACATTTAAATATAACGCCGCGGTAAATATAGAAATAACTTCATATCCATTATATGATCGAGAGTACAATATTTCAATGCAGATATCGGCATGAGCAAAATAAAACAACACTGCAATATAACACTGCAAAAAGACTCGCAATCTTCACGATAAGTCAGCATAATTTCTTAAGGAACGTCTGTCACAATTTCTAGCTAATGAATAGTTTGGGGGCAATCAATAGTTACTTTTCTCCAGTCAATTACGCGCCAGTGTTCTTTCTAACTGCGCGCAATCAACACTTATTGCGCATACCTAATTAATGTGCATAAACTGCCCATTGCCCGAGCAAAAGAGATATTGGTCCAGTGTTACAACAAAAAGACACCGCAATACGAGGAAAAAAACTATGGTTTCTGAAAGCACTTTTTCTCACATGTAACTGAATTGAAACTACGATCAGACAAACGCATTAACTATATAGACTTGGTACAAGTCGACTCACATTCTACTTATTATATATTATTTAGCTCACTCCCCCTTGGGGCTTTTCAGTGACAGATTACATCAAGTATTACGTTTACTTATATTACCTATTTGGCTACTTAGCTTGGACTATTTATCTTTACAACAATTGTGATGTCACTTTCCTAATTTTGTTTATCCTAACCCGCCCTGTCAACTTTCCTTGTGGGAGGAAACCGGAGCACTCGCGGAGAAAAAATGAGTCTTTTCACATAAGTCCGTAGTGAGAATCGAAGCCACGAACTCAAAGGTAAAAGACGCTGGTTCTGATGACAGCGAGTGAGCAGATAAAACAACTGGGTCGCACTTGAGCTTAAACCTCATAATACGAGTCAACGCAAGTCTACACTAACAACTGAGCAATGCCTTGCGCAATCATGCGTAATCAATCAAATGGTTATTCCCTACGCTCCTATTAGAAGCGGCGTAATTGCTAATTGCCTCGAGAACATAGAAACCATATCGCCCCCGGACATACTGATATCCATTCATAAAACATCGACGGCAAATATTCACAATCCTTTTAAATCGAAACAAAAATTAATTGCAGCGCGTTCGCTTCATGTAATTGTGCATTAGAAGAATTAGCGATATAGCGATCCCATATATACATAATAGCGAAATGCGTAATTCGAAAATACATCTGCCGCTCAGAACTGTATTTAATGTGGGAGTTCTGATCTGATCTCGCCAGAACGACACAGGCGGAGTTTAAGAACAGCACTGTACTTGAACGAACAGGAATCGAAATAAAATACAATAAAAGGTAAGAAATGTTTGTAAGAAGTTAAAATCGCCTTGACCGTATTGCAAGTGTATTGAGAGCCAGGTGGCGGCTTTAGTATTTCACTTTAGTCACATCATCGAATGTGTAAACTTGACCTCAACTACAGAGAGTCAATAGTTTCCTTAATGTAGTGCCACTGCAGTTTACCAAACAATGCAGGTTTTCCCCAGAAACTCTGAACCGAGAAGAGATGATCCTTACTGGACCTCCAGGGAACACTGTTTAGAACTGATAGAGCTATGCAATATCAATAAATTTAGGCTAGTTTAGACTATGTCAGCCAAAAGAGGGATGGCTCTTACTGGACCTCTACGAGAACAGTTTAGAACTGATAGAGCTATGCAATATAAATAAATTTACGCTAGTTTAGACTATGTCAGCCAAAAGAGGAATGGTCTTGCTGGACCTCTTAGGAGAACAGTTTAGAACTGATAGAGCTGTGCACCATAAATAAATTTAGGCTAGTTTAGACTATGTCAGCCAAAAGAGGAATGGTCTTGCTGGACCTCTTAGGAGAACAGTTTAGAACTGATAGAGCTGTGCACTATAAATAAATTTAGGCTAGTTTAGACTATGTCAGCCAAAAGAGGAATGGCTCTTACTGGACCTCTACGAGAACAGTTTAGAATTGATAGAGCTGTGCACTATAAATAAATTTAGGCTAGTTTAGAATATGCCAGCCAAAAGAGGAATGGCTCTTACTGGACCTCTACGAGAACAGTTTAGAACTGATAGAGCTGTGCACTATAAATAAATTTAGGCTAGTTTAGACTATGCCAGCCAAAAGAGGAATGGCTCTTACTGGACCTCTACGAGAACAGTTTAGAACTGATAGAGCTGTGCACTATAAATAAATTTAGGCTAGTTTAGACTATGTCAGCCAAAAAAGGAATGGTCTTGCTGGACCTCTACGAGAACAGTTTAGAACTGATAGAGCTGTGCACTATAAATAAATTTAGGCTAGTTTAGAATATGCCAGCCAAAAGAGGAATGGCTCTTACTGGACCTCTACGAGAACAGTTTAGAACTGATAGAGCTGTGCACTATAAATAAATTAGGCTGGTTTAGACCTGTCGTCTTTCAAAATGCTCACTGGACCTCTACGAGAACAGTTTAGAACTGATAGAGCTGTGCAATATAAATAAATTTAGGCTAGTTTAGACTATGTCAGCCAAAAGAGGAATGGCTCTTACTGGACCTCTACGAGAACAGTTTAGAACTGATAGAGCTGTGCACTATAAATAAATTTAGGCTAGTTTAGAATATGCCAGCCAAAAGAGGAATGGCTCTTACTGGACCTCTACGAGAACAGTTTAGAACTGATAGAGCTGTGCACTATAAATAAATTTAGGCTAGTTTAGACTATGCCAGCCAAAAGAGGAATGGCTCTTACTGGACCTCTACGAGAACAGTTTAGAACTGATAGAGCTGTGCACTATAAATAAATTTAGGCTAGTTTAGACTATGCCGGGCAAAAAGAGGGATGGCTCTTACTGGACCTCTACGAGAACAGTTTAGAACTGATAGAGCTATGCCTATATGCAATATAAATAAAGATCGTTTAGATTATGCTGGGCCAAAAGACAGGAATGGCTCTTGCTGGACCTCTTAGGAGAACAGTTTAGAACTGATAGAGCTATCAATATATAAATACAGTTAGGCTAGTTTAGACTATGCCAGGCCAAAAGAGGGATGGCTCTTGCTGGACCTCTACGAGAACAGTTTAGAACTGATAGAGCTATGCCTATATGCAATATAAATAAAGATCGTTTAGATTATGCTGGGCCAAAAGACAGGAATGGCTCTTGCTGGACCTCTTAGGAGAACAGTTTAGAACTGATAGAGCTATGCCTTTATGCAATATAAATAAAGATCGTTTAGACTATGCTGGGCCAAAAGAGAGGAATGGTTGTTGCTGGATCTCTTAGGAGAACAGTTTAGAACTGATAGAGCTATGCCTTTGCCTATGCCTATGCAATATAAATAAAGATCGTTTAGACTATGCTGGGCTAAAAAAGGAATGGTTCTTGCTAGACCTCTTACGAGAACAGTTACGAATTCATAGAGCTATCCAGTAGAAATAAAGTTAGTTTCGGACTATATAAAAATCTACGTTGATATCAAATCTACTTTGTTTTCTAGATATTAATTATGAATAAAAAACTCACCAATACACTACTCGTCACCATTCTTCTATCTTTCACTCTGATACCTCACGGACACTCGCTCCAAGCAGATGTTCAACGCGACACGATGACGTCAAAGCCTAGTGTTGAGTCTCCACGCGGACGGTGGGTTGCGAGGTTGATCTACGAATGGAAAAGCAACATGAACGATAGAAGAGCGAAGAGACGTTGTGGACCACGAATGACAGGATCATGGTCTACATGCTTGTGAAACTCTGCCATGAATTTAACACACATACATTCTACTAAATAAAAGTATTTTAAACACTCTAACGCTAGATTAAATCTGGGAAAATACCGAATGAATCCTTGTTGTATTAATATATGCATTAAACTTAGAATGAGCCAAGTGCTGTATGTAATAAAAATATTTCTGTTCTACTACAGACATAAATAAAAACACTTAATTTGTATTTGTTAAATTGAAAAAACGAGAAAGTATCGCGGAAAATGAGAACACTTTTTCCGCCTCGTGCAAGTTGAAAGCTGCATGTGCGTGTACATCTTTAAACGTGGTGGTCCAGTGTAGGTATAGTATTTTTCAATAAGCTGTCGTGGTTTGTGTCTGTGTACTATTCTACAATAAGCTGTCGTGGTTTGTGTCTGAACTATACCTATAAAAGATATCTCAAACGTGGTGGTCCAGTGTAGGTAGTATTCTACAATAAGCTGTCGTGGTTTGTGTCTGAACTACCTGAAAAAGATATCTCAAACGTGGTGGTCCAGTGTAGGTAGTATTCTACAATAAGTTGTCGTGGTTTGTGTCTGAAGTACCTGAAAAAGATATCTCAAACGTGGTGGTCCAGTGTAGGTAGTATTCTACAATAAGCTGTCGTGGTTTGTGTCTGAACTACCTGAAAAAGATATCTCAAACGTGGTGGTCCAGTGTAGGTAGTATTCTACATTAAGCTGTTGTAGTTTGTGTCTGAACTACATGAAAAAGATATCTCAAACGTGGTGGTTCAGTGTAGGTAGTATTCTACAATAAGCTGTCGTGGTTTGTGTCTCAACCACTGATCTAATTAAAAAAGATATCTCAAACGTGGTGGTCCAGTGTAGGTAGAATTCTACAATAAGATGTCGTGGTTTGTGTCTGAACTACCTGAAAAAGATTAAAAACACTTCAAAGAAAGTTCCCTCATTGGGAGGTTAGTATATATAAGTCAGTTAATGAAGAAGTTGTTTTAGTCATTCTTGCTAACTCATTGAGATGATCTGATTTTCTGTCTACACGGTTTACAAAATCAATGTTAAACATTAATAAAACTACATTTGACAAGAAATCAACAAAGTCAAATAAAAGAGGAAGTTATTTTGTCAAATACATCTGTGACAGGAAGGCCAAGCGCGGCATTTCTTTTCATGTAAATGTTACATGGCCACACCTGCCTCGAGAGTCTTGCACCTGCCGCTATATCTTCCCAACGAAATATTCGAGACTCTGAACTGCCTGAAAACGATATCTCAAACGTGAGGTTCCAGTATAGGTATAGTATTTCAAACGTAGGGGAGTAGTGCAGACAATATTCGACAATAAGCTGCCATCATTTGCATTTTGACATACCCCAACGGTAACTTAAAATTGGTAATAATTCTGCAATTACAAATCTTTACCGAAAGTCACAGAACACGGTATAGCTTATTCTAGAATATCATCTATACATTGGTACCTCACGTTTGAGATACCTCAGTATACACAATGTGAAACCAAGACAGCCTATTGTAGAATACTTTGTGTAGGTAATGACGATAATAAGGAAACTGTGGATTGGTAGGGATAAAAGGGACAAGGGGAACTTTTGTCTGTGTTTCAGGTCATTGTAGAATACTACCTATACACTGAAGCCCTGAGATATCTTCAAAAACACATCATGCTGTTTATTTTATTATATTAAAAACTTCCCCCAGACGTTTCCAGGGTACGAAAGGAAACGCAAATCAAATAAAACGCTTGGTTGAACTTAAACTATCGAATTAAATTAAAAATGAAGAGAAATGCCAATAACATGAGTGACATTACCTAAGCTTGAAATTATTAATGTTTGCTTTGATGTTTGTTTTAAAGCAGTCAGCATTTCTGTAGCTCTTATAAAAGACCTAAAGTGTGTTTATTGCGATCACACCCTTGGGATAACATTTGGAAGAAACCACAGAACATTGATCAACATTTTCAATCCATTTTCAGTTTGAAACAGTAAGTAGTTTTCTTTTCTCAAACGTTCTCATAATGCTTTGTGTGTTTTATGAGATTAGTTAAGACGGTTCGTAACTTAATCATGTATACGTTTTCAATTTTCACTATATTGTTCAAAGATTAATTCATATTGTTAGTAACGGTTACAAAATATGAATGCTTATCACTGAATATACCCCGTTATTATCATTGAATATGACCCTTTATTAACATTATTAAACGTTTCCTATGATACTAATTTAGTCTAATACGAAAGTTATTTACATGCTCCTTTCAAAAATTGGTTTTAGCTACCGTATTTGTGTGATCTGAAAGAGATTAAAAACACCTCGAGGTTTAGTATCGAGTTTCAAAGTTAGGATCCTTTCCATCAAAGCCATTCGTCAGGCTAATATACCGCTAACTATAATTCCTGACCAAGCGCACTCCGCTGCCGCAAACCTCCAGGCACAGTGCCTTCTCTAGAAACGTCGAAATGTTCGTACACATTCTCAGGTAGTTCAGACACAAACCACGGCAGATTATTGTAGAATACTACCTACATGCACTGGACCACCACGTTTGAGATATCTTTTTCAGGTAGTTCAGACACAAACCACGACAGCTTATTGTAGAATACTACCTACACTGGACCACCACGTTTGAGATATATTTTTCAGGTAGTTCACACACAAACCACGGCAGATTATTGTAGAATACTACCTACACTGGACCACCACGTTTGAGATATCTTTTTCAGGTAGTTCAGACACAAACCACGACAGCTTATTGAATAAAATGTTAACTATATTCGGAGTGTCTATTGTTTTGTTCTTTTTAAAATTATTGTAGAATACTACCTACACTGGACCACCACGTTTGAGATATCTTTTTCAGGTAGTTCAGACACAAACCACGACAGATTATTGCCCCCGCAGGGTTTTGGCCCCAGAGGGCCAAAACCCGAGGAGGCATATATTGAAGTCCCCGGACGTAATAGTGTAATATGATATCAGTGTATACATACGGTGTATACCAGAGGCAGAGAAATTTAAGTTTTTAGGTTTTCGCCCGCAAAGCATTGGTGGGTAATATCAATGCTTTGCGGGTAATATCGCAAAACATTGGGGGTATTGAAGTCCCCGCACATAATATGATATAAGTTGATGCAAATATAAATCAAGCATGAATTGTTAAAGCTATCAAGATTAGAAGCAATTAGTTTATATATTACAGTAAAAGGCCACAAGTTTAAAAGGTGAGGGTTCAAATTTTATTATAAAAAGCAAGTAAATTATTGGCGTAGTGCCGTAGCTGCGCAAGTTTAAAAGGTGAGGGTTCAAAGGTTGCGTTGCTTTCTGTAAGAATTATTATTCGCTTGGGTCAACACCTTGTCAAACGGCATTTTATTTCTGTGGTCTGTTTTACGTGTCTATTAATTAATAGACTTGTGAGGTACGTTGTTACTATCATTTGTTGGTGAAGGAGTTGATCCGTCAAATAACGAAAACAGTAACGCAAATTAAAAACTCCGTCTATCAAGATTCTATCAAGTATCAACTATACGATTTTTCAGACACATTAATCAAAACAGGAACCAAAAGACTTGGTTCACACATCAGTCAGTCAAAAACAAATACAAATATAAAAAATTGAGCAAATCTTAACACACAATGGTCACATTATAAACGTTTGTAACAAGGGACTCATATAGTCATTGTTCCATTATATTGAAAAGCGCCATTCCTTCAGCCGGATAGACGCACACGGATCAAGTTACACGTGGTTCACTTTTAAAGTTCGTCCAATTTTATCAATCTTCTAAGCGTTTTGAAAGAAAGCCAAAAAGTAGTAATAACATTTTGTAAATTACCATAAGGCATGATCATTTTTAATTTTTAATAACAGCTAGTTAGTACACCATGATCAGCCGGGGGCAGTTTTAGTGTAAACTATTTCTAGTTGTAGAATACTAACTACACTGGACCACCACGTTTGAGATATCTTTTTCAGGTAGTTCAGACACAAAGCACCTACTGTACACTGGATACCCAGATTGTGTATAAGTAAGTTTAGTCTTCTACACTGAATCCAAGATTAAATAAAAATTTTCTCGTATACAGAACCCAAATGGCTGGCTATCGAGTTATCTTATTCGCTCTTTTGGCAATTACTGTATTATCCATCTCAGAAATCCAGGCTCGTCCTCGACTAACACGTGACGTGTTGGCTGAATTTGAGAATAGCTATGACGCCATGAATAAAAACGAAGAATTGTCCAACTTTCCGAACGATTACGAAGACGAGGCGAATGATTACGAAGACGAGGCGAACGATTACGAAAACATCCCGAAAGCAGCTGGGTGTAACACGCCAATGGGTGGATGGTTTTGTTAACTTAACATTTTGCTAACTTTAAAAACATGTAGTAGAGTCCTAGTTTAAAGTTTCGTAACCTCAAGAACATGTAATGTAATAAATGTCGAAGGAAAGACTAAGTTATGTATTGTAACATTGTCAATAAACTACCAAACTTTCTTTCGGAAATATTTTAGTATTCGTCTTATTGAAAGTTTTTCTAGATCTCAGAGTAATAGAGAGGGTAGTGGCAGCTTATTGTGTACGTTAGTATACTATATTAACGCTGATCTTCTTCAGGTAGTTCACACACAAACAATGACAGCTTATCGTAGAACACTATACGGAACCGGGAACCCCAGTATCACTGGAAAAAATAGTGAAATTCATACTATGAAATTTGCAATTGCATCACTAAATTGATGGTATATCCATACTAATTCCATACTATATCCATAGTATATCCATAGTATATCCATAGTATATCCATACTATATCCATACTAATTCCATACCATATCCATAGTATATCCATAGTATATCCATACTATATCCATAGTATATCCATAGTACATCCATACTAATTCCATACCATATCCATAGTATATCCATACTAATTCCATACTATATCCATAGTATATCCATAGTATATCCATAGTATATCCATAGTATATCCATACTAATTCCATACCATATCCATAGTATATCCATACTATATCCATACTAATTCCATACCATATCCATAGTATATCCATACTATATCCATACTATATCCATAGTATATCCATACTAATTCCATACTATATCCATACTATATCCATACTATATCCATAGTATATCCATACTAATTCCATACCATATCCATAGTATATCCATACTATATCCATAGTATACCATACTAATTCCATACTATATCCATACTATATCCATAGTATACCATACTAATTCCATACTATATCCATACTATATCCATAGTATACCATACTAATTCCATACTATATCCATACTATATCCATACTATATCCATACTAATTCCATACCATATCCATAGTATGGAAATTGCAATTGCTATGAAAATTGGATTTCCATGCTATTTCCAAAACAAGACAAAATTCCCAGTGTATATTTGAAGAATAAATGGCACATTGATTAAAAAATTTGCATTCCTCAAAAATGACAAGAATGATTCCTAATCGATTCGAGTATGGGCGAAAGCTGACGTCAAACACTATAGTATTTAAATATTTGAAATGACTCAAAGAAGCGATCACAATGCAACATGCACGTATTTCATAATTAGAAGTGATTGAGCAATGATGCAAGTAAGTCCAAAAAAAAAATGTGGGTTTCCGGTTTCCCGACCCTACCTAGCTTTTGGACGTCAAAATCCCGACTAAACTTTTTTATTGGATCATGCTTGTAAGTGTTTCCACTTAGAGGAAAAAGTTTGTGGAAAATTGAAATTTGAGGCAATATTAGGGAAATTTATCTTTGGATGTGGAAGCACTGACTAAACAAAATGGCGTCCGCTTGTTCGGAAAATTAAAAAAAAAGTTTAAAAAAAAGTTTCCCTACCTAAGTTTTTATAAGAAGAAACCGGAAACCCACATTTTTTTTTGGCCTAAGCAGGTATTTCTCTCATTGCTGCAGTATCCTGTCATTAATCTTCCACGAAATTAACATTTATAATATCTCGTTAACCGTTTAAAATCTTCACAATTTCCATTCTAATTCATAGAATAATTCTACTATTTATAGCGCGCCGCAGCTGAATTAATATATGTAACAATTTCAATAACGGTTAAGCACACACTTGTTAATAATTGTTTGTTTTACATTCTATGAAGTGGAATGTTGTTTGTATATCTTATTAAATATCAAGCGTTCTCGTTAATTTAATGGCTGGTGCGTTTTGTTATAAAACATATGTCCAAGACAATGGATGAATTCGCAGAGTTGCAAAATCTGTTCAAATTTCCTCCGGGTAAAATTTAAAGTTTTCAAAACCTTCCTCAAGATAAATTAAATTGATATGGCTTCATCAAATAGCAATATACTAGAGTATATAAACTTAACCGATTCTGAAAGCATAACACACAGTACATGATTCTAATATATAAATTTGCCATAATAGATTTATACTTTGGACAAATTGGACAGTCCTTACCTACTACATCTACATCCTATATCATATATTGAATATAAAATAATATTAAAAAAATGATATTTCTGTACTTGTGGTTTTGAAAGGCATTTGAGAGTGTTTAGGTTTTCAGAATTGTGACTGTGACCCCGCCAATCACCCAATTTCACAATCAGCAAGGCAGCGAATGCTCTCACTTGTTTCCGAAGCAAAGTGCTAAATTTAAACCAAGCAGTATAGTACCCTGCATGGCAGCTTATGGCAATGTTTGGAGTGGTTGAAAATCAATGGCAATGGCAATATAATCTCTATACCAGACACTGCCAATCCTGCAATATACTTATGGTTATTGACAGTGTAGGTATCAGGTATGTAAATGATGATTTTGATTATAGGACCTTGATATATTCCGTCGATCTATATTAAATATGTATGACAGCTACACAACTCGGTAATTAAGCTGTACTATTTTTGTCCGACTCGCATAACACAATTTCTTCCTCAACTTTGTTTATAAGGCCATATTTATATAATTATTACAATGTTTAGTTGCTACAGCATTGATGGTTTATTTCATTAAATAAGTGTCATAAACCAAAATAAACATATTATAGTACACATTTCTGTCATTTCTAACATATCACCACGAAAAAAGGACTGAATCCTTGAACTAAATGCGAAGTTCCTGTTAAATGCAATGAAATTTCTTTCAAGTTTCTGTTTGATTGAATTGGCAGTTTAATATGGCACTAAAACCCCAATATCTTGAAATATTTTGTCAGGCGATACATATATTGTATAACAAAATACAAAATATTTTAACACAGCTCTTAAAATACAGTTGGGCAGTGATGAGAATCCAGCAAGTTATTTTATGTGGCCTAAGGCACCTCTGATGCTTGACACTTACACATTTTAATTTTACAGAATATTTTCAGTTATTTGTCTTCTCAGTATTCTCCAATGTCACAGTCATCTGGTAAAGGTACTATATCACAATAGTGCCACCACAACTTGTCAGCCTCAACTGCCTTATTCAACTATGATTTATTTGTTTTACTCTTTTGGTGTTAGCGACCATTGGCCACTAAACCTTCCTCACTGACCTCACACAATGGAACCAGAATTTGCGTCACCGTTTCAAATTCTCTCGTGTGAGCGCAGTCTAACGGCTGTATTCTAAAAGCTCACTCACACTCGAAAAGTGGAGGTTCAATCTGAGCTTCTCTTGAGTCTTGAGTGTCAATGCTGCTTTTGAATAGCTGGAAGGTAAGTAGTCACATAGTAAGGTATGACACTAACCCTCCAGCTATTCAAAAACGGCAATGACACTCGAGAGAACCTCAGATTAAACTTCCACTCATTGAGTGTGAGTGAGCTTTTAGAATACGGGATTTACTCTTAGATGACTTAGATATGAAATGTCATGGGGTACAAAATATCATCTCTATATGAAACGCTAAATACCGTCATTTGCATCTAACATTGAACATTCCCAGATAAAACATTGTCTGCGAAAACAACATGTATTCATTTGTGATGAAAACATTGTCTATTTTGAACTTCAGTGTTTGTATCGGGTATTTGAAGGTTTCTATATCAGGCTATAGCTCAGCCAATCAGTGTAAAGCAATTTAGACGCTATCTAATGCTAGATAATTTCATTTGTCAATAGGAAATTTTTTGGACAGGAAAGAGGTATTAGTAGTTAAGTGCCATCTCAAACGTGAGGGTTAAATGTTAATAGAGGCTTTCAGGCACGGATTTTCTGGGGGGGGGGGAGGCACACACACACACCCGGAAATGATTTGCATCCCCCCCCAAAGGCGCATTTGACACCCCCACAAATTACATATATTTTGATTTGATAGTTTCATATTTGATTATTCTTACTACTAAATTTGTAAAATTACCAATATTATGGTCTCAGATCTCGTCATGCAGGCCTAGAAAACAAATTTTGTTAAACTTTTCCCTTGGCCTTTCCGGGCGTTGCCACCATGCCCCGGTCAAAGCAAGCAGCAGCACCCCTCCCAGATATTTATCCACCCCCCGCCCCGAACGAAAATATGAAAATCCGTCTCTGGAGGCTTTGCTTCGCTTCAACAACGTGAAGTTCTGTGTTTTGTATGTTTTACATAAAAAATCTGTTTTCAGGATAGAATGTTACTGATTAAATTCCACCAAAGAAACGTTTACGCACATCCGAGGAAACAATCTGACGGATGAATGGGGAAGTAGAAAATTAAGAACCGAGATCAGAGAAAATTATTTTCAAAAAGATTTATCAACCTACCGAAAAAAAACACATCCGTTTGTGTTGAATGTTGAGGTGAACATATTCCTCTTGCATGTAACTGCCATAGAGGTATGATCCAATGCAAAGATACTTATTAAAGATTGAAAAAAATTAAGTCGATACAGTTTCAGCTTCATCAGTTTTAAAGTCTCAGTGTTTTCATTTGGCTGTTGACTGTGGGCTGTGGCCACCATATCAAGGTAGTCTATGGCTTGGTTTACATTTGAAAGATTTGTAAGAAATGTTTGAGGGAACTCAATTAATGTTTAACACCGAGTCAGTTCTCTCAAACGTTTCTTACAAATCCTTCAAAACTTAAAATTTACCCATGGCAAAATTTCTACTGTGATCACAGAAACTTTGATAGTGTAAACCAGGCTTTATATTCACTTGCATACCACATGCAAAAGACAAACTACAATCTTTTGACATAACTGGTCGAGGCTAGCCTTTCCTCTGTACAATATTCGCATATCCCTTAATGATAAATCCCATCCCCCAACTCAATATGTTGGGCCTCATGATAAATTACCAAAATTGGTTTCAGTGCTGTTCACAACATTGATCTAAGTGGGTGAAGAAGTTTACTTCGTCAACAATGTGCATCACTTGGCAATAAAGCGAGGAAGGGTTATGTCCAAGATTGTACTGAGATCTAGACTGTTTCACATCGTCGTCGATGACCATGGAATAACGACATGGCAACAAAGCTTGAGGGTATGGCATCATCATGTGACTCACGCCGTAATCAATAAATATATTCAAAAATCTGATGTCAAACGCTCAAGGTTAAAATTGCAAGGTTACAACAACTTTGCACGTGAATGTTCATGGAATGTACAAAGCAATAATTGATGTTTACGGCGGAACGCTAACGGCAAAAGTTGTTTGCGGTTAGTAACCTGCCGCGAATGTCGATCTTAAGATATCTATTGTCAAAAACACGCGCGTCATTTAGAAACGCGTAGAAAGATTTATTCTAAGTTCTTCCTTTTGGGTCTGTAGGTGCTTGATCCCCTCCCATGGTAGGTCAAAAAACAACCCGTGGAAAACGTACGTCACAACCCCCAACCACTTGGTAGAATTCTCCAGTCAAGGTCAGAATGAATTTACTCGAAATTAGAGTTTTTATTCGGCAGCTTTACAAGGTCATGCTGGAAAATCTCCTTTAAATCCTCCGCCCTCACACTTTGTGAATAAAAAAAAGAGACTGACTTGAACAAGTGTAAGGTCACATGCCTGCACGTAATGTGCTTTGATAGAGACGCCAATCATTTCTTTTTTGCACGTACTGTGGTTTGATAATGATCAGAAAAGAATGTAGTTGTGTCACGTCCACTACAGATTGTAATTATCTTCAGTTGTTTGTTCAAGTACAAGTTGTAAACACTTAAGCAAACATGAACATTCAAGCGGTTTCTGTCTGAAATATATGAACCAGATGATACACGCGTTTGAGATATCTTTTTCAGGCAGGCGGACACAAAAATCACGACAGCTTGTTGTAAAATACTACTTACACTGGACACTAACACTATCCACATTGATGGGTTTTTGATTATGCTAAGATACTGTACAGTTCCAAAGCCAATGGCGTGATTAAATTGCTGCGTATTTCAAACGTTGGAAAATATTTTTAGTGAAATCAATTCCCCCTCGGAAACTGTCTACGTCGCATGTCGTGCTATATTTATTTTAAGAACCTTCCAACATCCTGTTACGTCATTTTGAGGTCACTCAGGAAGGAAAAGTCTAAAATATTGTTATACCCCCTCAAACCTAGGCTTGGCTGACCAAGCATGAAGAGGTTAGCTTTCTCTTATCAGACCCACACTCCCGCTAAGATAAGCATCTCCTGTTCAAGACTGATCAGTCACCCCTTGTCGCAACACTACAAGACCCAAACTGCAAGCACTCTTATTATAATCTGACAAATGCATATTGTACAAATACAATCCTCCACTATCATTATTTAAACTTATTTAAACACACGGTGGCCTTCAGTTGCCTGGTTTTCAAAGGACCGTGCGGTTCTCTGAATTTTCTTTCTTGGTTATCTAGTGTTTATTTAACCAACCACTAAAGTGCTTATGTCACAACACTCTCTAGTAAGTATGACAAATAATAGATTCTGTCCCCCCAATCATAACGTTACTGCAATACAAAAACACTCACTATGATCTTATCCTTGTAGGCACGATGCCAAAGCTTATAGCGCATATTTATCACCTATAGTATAAATAGTTTTCAATCTTAAAATGATTAAGAAAGGAGGTATTTGAAATATCGTGATAAAACGTCTGCAAGGCACGCGAGCCAAGATTCAAGGTATTAGCGTCGCGTGCTCGGTCATTATGATTATGGAGTATGACGACATCTGGCCATAATCCTCCGTGAATCATGACCGTTCCTGTGGTATCACAAACTCATGTTATTTTAAGAGTATAAAGAAATAATCTTCAAAATTTTGGGGAACGCCTCCAAGCGGTTTTGCAAAAGATTTTTAGCTATTTTGTGGGATTTTTAGTGATTTGATGGGAAGTCTTGCGATTTTAGGGAATTCAAATTTTTTGGAGGACTTCAGGATATAAAGATTTTTTTATTTTTGGCAAAGTACACGAGGATTTTTGAGGTAATACATCCCTCTCGTTCAATATTTCTTCTGCGACTGTGTTCTTTGTCTCGAGTCTAACATTAATTCGTTAATTTGTAGTAATTATTAGTCCTTTCAAGCCGACAAGCCAGTGAAGAACGAGTCTTCGTGAAATTTCATTGAACAATTCTGAAATTCATGTGTGCATTTCACAGAATAGTCATAAAAACAAAATTATTACAATTACTTATAAAAGTGTCAAAAATATAGGTCTGTAGATTCTTATCTCTTCAGTTCCGTTGAAAATCAATAAATGAACACAAAGGAAAAGGAAATTAAAATACGCCCACAAAATGGCGTCCCCTTTGGACTCTGTTTCACTAATGAATCTCCTGAATATTCTACCGCCCTGGGAGCATATAGTGGTTATTAATATAAGTACACCATGTATAATGTGACTGTCTGCGGTTTTCATACATGACGCCGCGCAAATTACCGCTTTGCGTAATATATGCACATTGAACAAAACTTGGAGCTAAAGGCGAGTGACTGTATATCTCATACAACGTTACATAGCTTGTGAAACACAGCGATACAAACAGTCGTGTGTTTAGGAAATTACTCCAACAGCAATGAAGAAATGGAACGTACGATTCTGAATTCGTGCAGTCTTTTGTGAACGTAGTTGAATTACAGAGGTCAGCTAGCACGCTAAATTGGTCGAGTTATTTTCAGTTACTAACTTGAAATTCACTGCTTTATACGAGACTGGTAACAACAAATTTGGTTTCCAATAAAACCATGACATATTATAGGTATCCCTGGACAGCATGTGTTAAGTTTACAGTTTGATAACTCTTGCGCAAAATTAAGCTAATTATTAACGTCTTCCGTGATTTGCATGTGAGAAGTTTACATCTCGCCCGGGTTGACAGCAGTCACTTAGCGCCCTAACAGGGTAAAGTTATTTTAATCGCGCGCTAAATGCATAAACAACACAAGCAAGGTGCACAATATCTCATTGTGATACTGCGTAAACACTCGATCTGACCAAGTTTGGTGAGTCAGTCAACCACACCTCAAATACTTGAACTTTCTGATATTCTTCCTACGGTATTGACGTCATTCCACGGGCGCTCGAAATAATGCAAGGGACCGATTATGAACTGAACTCTTCTCAGACGTACAATCCTGGCATTACAACTAGATTAATTTAAGCATATAGGATATAAAAGCATGTACATCAAACTATGTTATTTATCCTTGATAAAGGGGCATGCCCTGAAACGTAGGATAAGATATTAACTATGATTTAAGCTATATATACTATTTTATAGAGGAAACATATGGAAAGTATTACATAATCTTCAACGATCTGTGGTAGTGAGGGGTAAGTGGGCAGTGTGCAAGTCATCCTTACTTGCAGCTGAGAGCTAAAGCTGAATTACGAAGGACGCAGCTTAACCTGATCGAGTCGAAGGCTTTCTAAGGGCGCCTATCGCAGCCACCTTATGACTCATGTCTGATCACAGAGCAGAGCTACGCTGGAAGGGTCAGTTAGGGGGATAATCCCAACCCACCCTGTCAACATTCCCTGTGGAAGGGAACCAGAGCACCCGGAGAAAACCCACGACTTTCGGTAAAGCGTTGACCGTGACTCTTTTCACATAAGTGTCATGCAAGAGTCCGTAGCGAGAATCCCCACAATCTCAGAGGTGAAATGGGAATGCTCTGACAATTGCGCTACCGAAGCTTCTATATGTACATTGCTCAGTTACTTTTGAGCTCCGCGGTCTTGTGGACAGCGTATCATCTGCGCGAGTTCTTGTCCCGCCTATAAGAAAGCACTCCAGTTTTTGCTAGGTAACGTTTTCAATTTACGCAAGCAGCTACAAACTGCGCGCAAGTCCTATATTTATAATGCAAACAGGAGATCGAGACATGGCAGGTGGAATGCAAGCAGTTTGTCTGAACAACCCGGCATTTTAATGCGCTACAAAGACACGACAGCGTCATGCGAAAATTTTGAAAACAAACAACAAGCAATGACATGAATAGGTCACGCTTTCGTGATAATATTTCATTGATGTGCGATAATTAACCACACTTCCGAAGCGCGGAGTCATGCAAACAAGCTCAAACTTTCCAAATATGTGTTTGTGATGCCAAAAGGGCGGAAATAAATGTCGAATCTCTTGGGGTCTCTGGTGTCATCTGGGATGGTATTTAATGCCGCGACATTACGCATCTTCTCAAACAAAACTCACACACTCTCAAAGCGTCAACTCCAATACTGCAACACAAGAAAATTATCACTGAAGATAAGCAAAGAAAGGCAAGAAAAGAGTTAAAGATATCGACATTTTAGCAAAAAGGTAAGAAAAATTGTTTTCATACATACTTTGTAAAACAAAGAAGTTACTGTTTTGGGGCACTTTTTCACTATTTTGGGACCTCTTTAAGGAAATTTAAATTACGACAAAAAGTTAACATATAGAGAACTCGAATGCCTTTCTTCCTGTAATTTAGTTCAGTAGAACAACAGTTTATACGAAAAATACGTAGAACATACTTCAAATGACAAACGATAGAGAGCAGATGTGCCGGATTTCGAAATGTAACCGTTTTTAACTGTCTTTGGTTATCACGTAGTTGTTGTGGAAATCATTTACTTATCAGTTTTTGCGCTAGAGCGGCACAATTATCAACTGCGAAAAAACGTACAACGGGTGTTTTACAACAGATATTAATTAAACCAAACTTGAAAACAACCAAATATCTTGCATAACACTAAATCAAACTAAATATCTTTCATCACAATTTTGACTTCATCTATCAAGCTGTATCTTTTTAACAGCCGAAAATTAGCCGTTATGTAAAAAAAAACCGCATTTGCAATGAAGCAAGATCAGACAGCCATGCACGATCATTTTCTCGGCTTTGAAAAATGAACATGACAGGCGCTTTATTATATTTTAAAGTTTAATTCTTGACGTACGCATCCTTTTCATATTGTTTCCACAAAACAAATATCGCCTCTATAGCTTTCAACGCTGTCAGATTCATTTGCACTGCACTTACGCCACTTAAACGGTTGTTTGCATGCCGAGTCATTTTCATTAAAAACGATAATTTTATGAGGTACAGTAATATGTTTGTCAAGCTAATTATAAACGCTTTGATTTTCAGACTTCTATATAGCTAAGCGCAAATGCTGTTATTGCGCCACATTGTAATTTTCTCCGTAAACAACAGTCGTCGTGTCAGAGTCTTTCCTTGGACTGGATCGTTTTCATTGAACCAATCAACGTCAAATAAGATTCTATTCGACTCAAAAATCATTGAGCATGGTACTTCAGTTTGAGAAGCTTTTCTTTCAGAAACAGAAATAATGTCATCTTGTTTTACTGATGTCTGTAATTCGATCATACTTTTTTCTGTTTTCTTGCAATAGACAATGATATAATGCGAAAAATGTGCACCTCAATTACCAGTAAAGCTACAGACATCGACCGCGAAAATATTGCTAACCAAAATCATGCTATACCCGTATACGTATACCGAAACCGGGGTATCTTAACCTCTCTATTATCAATATAAATGCGGGCTTTATGAATGGGTTATTGGGTCAAAATAAATGCGCACAAAAAATCTGACAACCATGTAAAACGATCATTTGGTTTTCAAGACTGAATTTTTTATACTAAATCTGATCTCTCTAATATAATTTTCTAGATATGAAGCTGTTGTTAGTTCTCTTGGTCGCTTTTACGGTTGCTGTCGATGCCTTAAAATGTCCCCCGGAAATATGGGGATGCATGCGCGGCTTGAGAAAGAAATCATACAAAAGTAAACATCAACACAGCAAAGTAAAACTCCGAGTTCAGCGAGATGATGGCGCAGCAAGCTGGCGCAAGTTGCGTGAAGATTTGCTCCAAAACAATGTTCCCTGCTTGACAGATGATGCAGAATGTCGAGCAAAGATACAAGAGCTCTGGGAACGAGCGCGAGACGAAGGAACCAGTGATAGAGCGATGGACGAAAAGCGACAACTGGATTGTCCCTTTGGGGTATGGGGATGTAAGAAAAGGGAATTTCGACGAGTTCTTCGCAAAGAAAAACCAGCAAAGCGCGAGTGTGCCCCCGGAGAATGCGATAATGGAGATATGAATGACTTCATTGAAGAACTATTTACGGAATCTTAAAAAAACCGCAGGAATTGGAAAAACAAAGATGTTGTGAAGAAACCACAGGATTAATACAGTAAATATAGAATGAACAACCTCGCTTGTGCTGCGTAACATTGACAAATGAAAAAATGTTAAATAAAAAGGTTGAAAATCTGTAAGAAAGACTATTTATTTCCATGTACTCACAGATTTAAGTTATTAAGAAAAATATTTCGTCGCTGATGATATACAGTTATTTATAGAGCTACAATTAAACTATTATTTCGCAGTTGTCTCTTGTGTCTAATTTTAGAAATGCATTCAATGATTTATACCATGTGTGTTCTGCCACGCATGCTCGATGTCACGAAAATGTCAACTCATCGTTATTTATAACTTAAGCTTCCCTGTTCAATCAGTACCTCAACAAGGGGGATACTTAGCAATTTGGACAGCAGATGGTGGTGAACAGGCAGTCGTTAGAGTTTCTTTACATCTTGTAGCGTTTTATTAAGTCTGGTTCACACTACCAAAGTTTCTGTGATCACAGTAGGAATTTTGCATCGATCAATTCTAAGTTTTGAAGGATTTGTAAGAAATTGCTACTGTGATCACAGAAACTTTAATAGAGCGGTGTAGTTTATTTTGCTGCCCTGGTATGTGTGGACTTCTCTGAAGATCATGCATTCTGTTCCTTCAACTCATTACTGTAATAATTCACAAAACATATCTGCATCTTCAGCGCTTTCTTGATATCACGATAAAGGTCAATTTACCCTACACAACTTTTGCCTAAAACTACTGTTACATGCAGCCTGCTTACAGCTTGAGTTGTACTGAGTAAATCAAGCATACGTCTCGCCTAACATATCGCCTAACGTAAGTGAGTTGCGTGCTTGATTTACACAGTACAACTCAAGTTGTAAGCAGGTTGCATGCGACAGTTTTAGGCAAAAGTTGTGTAGTGTAAATCAGCTTTTTTGAAGTAATATAAAACTAGCCGTTTTCGCGTTGAAATTCTACTTCGCCAATACTGGTTCTTCTCGAAAAGATTTAATAAAATAAAATGCAACATTTGAGGATATTGTGTGATTAATCATGGGTGATTACAGTATTTTTCCTAAACTTGCTGGCTACATTTCTAGGGTAGAACTCTTATTTATTAACTTCACAACCTTTTATATATGAACAAATACTAGATATTATAAATTCAAGAATATACACACATGTTTATATGAAGGAAAGGAATAAGGTTGAAGGTATAGTCAACAGGACAAGAATCCCATATTAAGAACAACCCAAGAAAGACAACAATACTCAATAGTTATAATACAAACACACATTAACACACTGATATAATTTGAGAGGATAATAACGAAACAAGTTTAAGATATTTTAAGTTCCAACTATTTTTTTGCATCTGACTGAAATTTTTCCCTGGAGCATCAAGATAAAAGGTCACATGAAATGAATAGAAATGACATCACCTTACATAAAAGATTAGCCAGAGATTATCCCACTGACAGCTTTCAAAACAAAACAAACTTCAAGCTTATCCTTTCAACTCGTGTTATGTTTCGTGTTTTTAAGTGACCCTATCGTGCATTCCTATATGTCATCCTCTTTAAATGTTTTTTTTGTGTTCAACTGTGAACAGTGCAGGTCAGTTTGCACAATAACAATGGTCATATTCTCACTCGTGTATTTTCTGGAGATTTTCATTGATACTAATGGGCGATTCCAGCTGCAGACTAAATTTTATTCAAGGCAAGAACTATACTTTCGGCTCAAAAATGGTTATTTTTCCCGGGCTTAATAATGCAAATATATACAAAATTTGCGAACTTCACAGACACAGGGCTATATTTTCCTCATTTTACAACAATTCGCAACCAAACTTTGCAATTTTACTCATTTTAAGATGCTCTTTCCAGCTGTGGTAATGGTTTTCGTTCTTCTTGCCTTGATCATAGCTGGAATCCATTTATGAACAAAACTCAAACGAAATGAATGTGAAATCTGTAGGATAGTGAGGATACCAGATTGTAAATTTGGATATTGGACATCACAAGCTCAGTATTCATTGGGATGCTAAACAAATTTCTATCCTCCACATTAACAGTACTTTTCTGTTTTTACAAATCCTTTATGAACATATCTTAGATTCATTATATCAAATTCAGTACAATTGAAAACTAATTTTGGCTTGTTTCAATGTTTGAATACTACTTTCCAAATGTGAGATACTAGATTATTTTTGTGGTGGATAACAGATAGCATCCTACTGGATAGTGATGAAAATTTCAAGCCATGGTTTAATCAATATCTGTAAATTGGATAACGATTTCATCCTGATATGCATAAACTATTGCTTCAATTTTCTTGGCTGAACCAAACCATATTGCCAAAATAGTTGGTAAACTAAATTCTTTAAATGCTTTTCTATTACAAGTAATATCACCATCAACTTGCCTCAAAAATCATACACAGATCACATGCTTGTGCTTTTAATGTATTACTCAAAAATCAAATGTGTCATGACTTGAGGGTGTACTTGACATATTTCTCAGTCACTAACTAGCTGTTTCACACAGCCATTTAAATCTACATAATCTGGCATATATCCCTTACCATAAAGCATAAATTCAGCTCAAATAATACACCTTTGTCCTAAACCATCATATTATTATATCATTCTAAATATCATTCTAATTCATGATCCCAAACCTCAGCCACCAAATTATCACTGTAATATAGTAGACTTTTTCCAAATTCTCACATCAAATGTGTTTTAATTTCAGGCTAAAATAGAACTCAGCCATACTCCCTACGATTGCTGCAAAATTCTAAAATACCTGTGACTCAGAAAGTGTTGACAACTTGTTTGTGTTTTTAACTGCCAATGATCTGACCTTGCATTGATAATCAGGAGTTCGCAATATAATTTTCGGAACTGATAAGGAAATACTTAGCCTTGTCGTTACATGCTGAGCTCCATGTTTGCAACAGTTTTTATAAAAAAAACATGACAATTAACGAGAAAAGCATGACATTGAATGACATGCCATTTAAGGCATGGATAAAGTTCATTAACTTAGCATGCTGTAGTATCATGCCTGTTACAGCATTTATGTCAATGACATGCTTTCCATAGAATGACAATAAACTTGCACAAACATTATAATTAACATACCCCTGGCACCATTCTGGTTTATTAGATTAGATTGACAAATATTAGTGTACATATATAGTCTTGTTTGTTACTTTAAATGGATTGAAAATGGCCTTGTATACACATTATAATTAACTCAGACTAGCCATAATAGCATTCAAGTTTATTAGATTACATTGGTACATGTTATTGATATATAGATATGCAAGTTTAGGAATTTACATCACAAGACTTCATATAGCCTAGGCGTAAAAAAAATACCTGTGGTTCCGATTCCCAAACGACCCTATTTTTTTCTGCCGACCCTATTATTTTTTCAACGCGATTGACTGTGCGACCCTACTTTCTCCAGGTGGTTGCGGGCGTCTCACACTAATTATTGAACCAAATTGCCTAAATTCGTCCATAGGAAATACACATCCCTAGTTAATATTGATGTCGGGACTCTACTGCAAATCGCCCAGCAAAAAAACGCCAAAACCATGAAAAAAATATTTTAAAAAAAAATTTATTTCCGACCTACCGACCCTAATTTTTTCACGATATGAAACCGGAACCACAGGTATTTTTCTTTACACCCTATTCACATTATTAGACTACATTACATGATCTATCACATGACGAGCTCGGGGGCATGTGGATTGCCGTACAATAACCAGTTGTTGTATATGCATCAGGAGTACGGTTTTCAGTAAGTTGGCTTCAATCAGATACTAAGTGTACTGTGGTATATTTTGCAACAGTTATTTCTAATATGAGATGCAAACATAATGTGTATTCCTCCCTCTAAAAGGGTCAGGCATTAAAGAATTATTTTTGTGTAGAATATTTTTGTGGTGGATAGACGCTGCATGGAAATGAATGCTGGAAAGTGGAAGCACAACGTGCAGTAAACATTAACGACGGCAGTAAACTGCGACACTAAACTGTGCCCTTGTTTATTCTTCCTGCTGCACTGGCAAGTTTTGAAATAGTGCAACCGAAATTTCAAAGAAAATATGCAGAAACATCAAAACTGTGTGCAACCACTATTTCAAACTTTCCGGAGTCGTGCAAAGGTAGAAATTTGATTCAATGTTCTGTACAAGCCGGAAGCAATTTTCGTTGAAAAATCTTGATATTTTATTAGGTTTGTTAGCTTTTGCAATTTTTCTGTGCCCCATTTCAAAAACCCTTTGAATACTGATAGAAGATATTGACCATATATTTGTTAATATATTATTAACAATAAGCTTCATTTTAAATAGAAGTTTGACCAAAATCCTTGGTAAAACAACTATTTCGAATATGACATTATCTTGTGATCATTTAGTCATTAAAACCTGCCCTGTTAAAGCTGCGAATTTAGTTGTGAATAAAGTTGTGAATTTAAAGCACACTATAAGAGGGTCTGAATGGCGTTAACTGACTGCTGACATTTGCCTGAATTTTTGACTGACAACTGACAAAATATCCTAACTGACAACTGAGAAATGACGAAAACATGGCGAGCATTTTATAGTAGTAACTGACTGCTGACACCATGCAAAATATATCGCACTGACAACTGACAACTGGCATAAATTTTAGCTGACAACTGACACCCAAAGACCCCCATTAAGACCCTCCTATAATAATATAGCTGCAAAATCATTTGGACGCATTTAAAACATGCAAAAAAACCATTAATATATTACCTCTTTCGTTTCATTTGTGGGAAACCAACACATTTTGATATAGTTCTTTAAGTATTTGACGAAAAGTCGACCAGAGAAATTAAATTTTCGAAGATAAATGCATTTAAAAATTGACACGGCGAACAAAAGCCATTCAAATTCGCCGCCATTGATAAAATTCTGGCATGAATATTCATGTTATACAAGAACGTTTTTGATTGGCTGAAATGAAACTTGCGGGCTTGAAAATTAGGGTGGGAAAATGGCGCGCGGGCGGACAGAACGCGGGCACATCGACTTGCGTAATTTATTCCAAGTTCCGTAATTTATTTTTGAGCAGCGCAGGTGGTGGGCGACGTCAGAAATATTATACAAGAGCAAGCAAATATATCTCCCAATTCTATACAAGACCACCGCATATAGTATCGCATATAAGTGTCTCTAACTTGGATAACTGAATGAATAGTTGCATTCATACCAAAACACACACGTTCTTTGCAAAATATGTTGTATATTTTTGACAAAAATGTCTCGAAAACTAGAGTAGAAACTCTTGCCAGATGGCTCGTGCCGTTACTAATAAAAAGATCTCTATCTAGTTTGCGGCTTCTTGCTGTGGTTAACTGCTATGAATTATGAAATGCAATTGCGTCACATTTGAAGATTTTTAGTAAAAGAAAGATAAAGCGAATTCCGAAAATTACATCAGGAGTTGTACTAATATGTACTGGCTTGTATACTGGATTTGAGTCGGAAATCGAATCCGATCGAGCTGGGAAGTATGTAGCCGAAAATAAAATAAGCTGCTGTGGTTTTTCTGAACTGCTTGAAAAAAATGAAAGCATTTCGACGGTTTTCGTCATGAATTTCTTAGCTATACCTCGCCAAAGGACATTCATTCGAAACATCCCAGTGGGTTTTTTCAAGTAGTATTCAGATGCGAACCGGCCGGCAGCTTATTACTTTTTTATCACTGTGACGGTTGCCACTCAGTAATTTTTAGACCATTGCGGCTTTCGTGACCAATTCATATCAACAATCAGGACTATTGTTCACATTGACAAAACAAGATGACAGATCAATATGTAGCAGTGTAAACCAATGATTTTGTTTTTAATGATAATATGGTGTTCAAAGCTTTTTAAATTGTTAAAAACATTTTACAAATCTTCAAACAAACAACTTCGTGCCATCATAAGTAAGATCTCTATGATAGAATTTTCCCCTAAGGCCAGGGACGAAAAGGAAACGTATGTAGAACGTTCTGAGAAAAATATTAAACAGGATTACAAACATATCCTGAAAAACACATCCTCAGAAGGATAAAATGCATTTGAGGAACTTGTATGAAGCAATACAGTTTATTGGTCAGGATGTTTTTCGCACTGAACGTCAAAAGCAGCAGATGTTAAGCATTTTTTAGCTCAAATGATTAGCCAAACCACTAAGTACCCGCGTTTAATCCAAGTAAAATGCATTCATTAAGAGGAGCGCTTTAATTTGTCGCAGACACTCGAAGAAATCAAACGAAGCAAGTTGAACACAGTTGGAAACTATCAAGTTCGAGTTGTTTAACTTTTTAGTTGGTGGCATTTAAACCAGGAGTGAGCAGTGTACAACTGATCGTCGAATGAGTGCCGCGCAGGAGGAAAACGAAGAGCAATGTCTTCTGGAGGAACAGACAAAACCTGAATACGATGAAAGTATTTTTCAAGAAGTACCCGTCTATACCAATTGTCCTTTTTGTGAGGAGAAAATTGTGAGTAGAATTCGGTTAAAATATGGACGCTGGACATACTGGGCGACTGCTTGTCTTTGTTTATTTCAGTAAGTATATTCACATCTTTACCGTAGAGTGGTCTAGTGTAGGCAATATTCTACAATAAGCTGCCATGGTTTGTATCTGACAACCAAACTGAACGGTTCTTGCACGAGACGTAAAACTAGGTGATGAAGGACTTTTGCTCGAGACGTCAAATCTTTGAGGTAGGTCAGATACAAACCACGACAAAGCGTCTTAACTTAGCGGCGAGCGCTTTCGCTGCAGGGAATTTAGAGAACGATGTTTCGCTAAAACCTTCCCAGGTCTGAGCAATGTCAGTCTGACATGATATAACGCTCTCTTATATCTATGATTTTACCATCTACACTTGTTTGTGCAAAGAACTGATAGAAGAGGACAATAATGACATAAAAAATGAAAACTCCTACGCATCTTATGAACAAGTAAACACTTATGCACTAAATTGTAGCCGAACAATATGAGATATACGTAAACACGCTTCTTTTAGTCAGCTTTACTTCAGTTGTTCAATGAATGTACTAGATTGGAAGTTCCTGAGCTTTTCCATGTATTAGAAAAAAGCTGATCAGATCTTATGATATTGCCCCTCGGAATTCCCTAGAAACCAACTCATTCATGCATCAGTAGGAACATAGATAGCTGAAGTACTTTATTTTTATCAAACTAATGGAAAATCTCGCCGTTCATAGAAAAAGGCAGATATAGCGAGATAAGAAAATGTTTCAATTCATGACCCAGAGTGATTCCCTCAATAGCCTCACAGCGTTAACACAGATTGCTAAATCAACGTTGAACATATTACTAAGCGTTCATATTGTCTTTGCTAATTTGTATGCAACAATTCAGCGTGGGCAGAAATGCGCACCTACATATATGGCCTCGCTTGAATTTTTCATAAAATACGTGTGGCAGTTTTGGCTCATAACTCCAGCCAATACACAGCGAATTTTTTTAGAATTAATTGCGTTTGTTAAAATTCTCAAAAAGTTTTCAACATATTTCGTTGATGAAATATTCACATTTAGCGGTTTGTAAATTAACAACCACCGAATTGGTCACGGCCCACCCAATACTAAAACAAACAAGCAAACTATAATCCACTGAACTCAAAATGACCTGGAACGCCACAATCGTTCAAGAACTCAATGTTTTTTGTTTTGTTTTCTAGATGCTATTGTTGTCTTTGGGCTCCATTTTTAGTGGATGACTTGAAAAACATTGTCCACGAATGTCCGAAATGCGAAAAAGAGCTGGCAGAATATAAACAATTTAGATTATTTCAGCGCAGGAGGCCGAAGCGATCAAGAAAACAATCACTGTTATTTTAGAGTATCTTATTTCAACGCTGGCTTTCAATAAACGTTACAGTACAGCAAACGATGCTCACCTTCGGAAATCATGTAGACTTGCATGTGGTATAATACACGAGTCCTGGTTTTGCAGCTTGTGTAGCAGCCAGTGGTAGCAGCCCATTTTTTTGGGGAGAAACCTTGCGGAAAATTAAGCCAGGTCTCCCCCCCCCCCCCACTTTTCTCGTCTTAATTTTCTACCCCGAAAACCCTCCCTCAAAAACCCGACGGTAGCCCATACGTCATAGACTCGAGCTCTCGAGTCTATTGCGTCGGCTATTGTTACCCAGGCTATTCCAAGGCCTCTCAAACGAATCATCACTCGATCTTTTTCAATAAGTTTTATAACGAAAGATAAATTACCTTGAACAGTATGACTGCACTTGCAAAGAGCCATCAAATTTTCAATTTTAAGATATTTTCTGCTTCATATATTCTTGCGCCTCAAAATATATGAAATATGTTTCGTTAAATATATTGTATAAAAGATCAAACGCTTCACTGAACGATTATTATTTCACACTTAATAATTTACAATATAAATTACACATCGTAAAAGCTATTGCTGACCCAAACTCAAATCATACCGTTATCAGTAGCGTAGCCAACCTGATGATTAGTCCCGCTATGCAAATATTTTCATGTTCATTGACTGTGAAAACAATCAATTTCTAAAGAAATGAATAATGATAATTTTGAATTTGCATAGCGGGACTGAAGTGTCGAGCTGGCTCCGCCAGTGACCGTTCTCGGTCCTGAAAATATCAATGGCCATTGGGTATATGGTCCTCTTAAAATTTGATACCATAAATTAACGGGCTACAGTAATTGATCGTTTGAAATCTGAATATATAAGAATGCGTAGGTGTACCATTTTTGGTTAAACTACAAAAATACCACTGAGATTGTACCTCAACAACCCTCAAATATCACTAAGATTGTACCTAAACAACCCTCAAGTTCTAACTTTGGCCAAGTCTCCAGACCATCTCTTCTTTGACTATGCTGAAATCGGAACTTATCGATAGACATCCATCCAGATCTAGGAATCTTGTACTAAGACCAGGTTATATAGGCACATCATAAGCAGATTGACTAGGATCGTTCCTCACCACAGACTGACGTAATATCATAACACTTCCAGACGAGATGATAGGAACTTTATTGTCGCGATGATAGCGAACTAGATGATCGACACTCTCAAATGAATGGTCTTTGGTTCTCACCTAAAAAACACGAGAATACTTACGAAACTGAACTAACTTTATTGTATTTCTGCTGGAGTACTTATTCACTTCTAAAATGTTCCCCAGACTCCAGGGTTCCCAATAGAAGCCGCCTATACAACGTAGATAATCGCCGGTTGTTTCTCGAAATTATTTCCTTCTTACCAAAGAAATGTCAAGGGAAACGTTTCAAGCTTTTAAAACATAAATTCTACACGATATTCTTCATTAAATGTTTTGGATAATAGAGTGTTTGCACTCATTCCCCAGGGAGGAACTCAACAAAAGCCATGGCGGCCATGTTGGTGTTCCAGACAAAAGAATCTGATTAAAATTCCTTTGAATAGGAACACCAACATGGCGGCTGTGACGTCATGTGCAAACGCTCTATATGCCGACATCTCCAAACCAGGGCGCTTATATATAAGCGCCCTTATATTTATTATATATATAAGCGCCCTGCTCCAAACCCTCTTGGTGAGGGACCTTGTGCACCATAGAGCCTCCTACACCAAATTCAATTGGGAACCCTGGTTGTCCCTAAGGATCCAGTAACACCAATACTTCATTGTTATCCAGAGAAAACCCTGCGGTGTTTAGTAGAGTCAAAGTGGATCCACACTTCTCACATGTGCCTGAGATGAAATCATATAATGAAAGAACTGTATATTGCGGGTATCAAACGCCGGTACAGGAACAAATGCACAAGTGGCGAAGCTGGCCATAGCAACAGGTCATGCTATGCAAATTCTTACTGTTGATGCAATGGAAGTGTTGATAAAATATTGCACCAATTCCTTTCCTCAGTTAATCAATTCATTTGGTAGAAAATTGATAAACTTCCTGTTACTTTTAGATGAGCCAATTAGATTTCGTTTCAGAACCGATTGACCAATAGGAAACGCACAGGAAGTAAAAAGAAATTTGAATTCCTATGAATTGATCAACTTGAGGAAATGAATTCATGCAATATTTTATCAACACTTCCATTGCATTGACAGTAAAGATCTGAATTATTCAAACTTTAGAAATGTATTATATCTAATCTATTTACTAGCATACCACAACCAGTTGACAGCTGCCATGCCTTGCCTCGCCATTGCTAAAGACTAATCTTGAGTTGAATACAATCTTAATCCTAATCCTGACCCTAATCCTAACACATCAATGCGATGTAATCTTTGGCTAGTCATTAGATGTTCTAATACCCAGGCCCAAGCTACTCACCACTCCCTCTGGATCAACCAACAAGAGATGTTTTGGATAACCATTCTGTGATCCTGTGAGGACATATTGTCCAGGATTGGTCGTGCTTTCACGCACTAAGAAATCTCCATCACGTACAAGCAGGCTTTCTGCATCATGCCTTGACATGGGCCCATGAAACCAGTCTTTACGAGATAAATCATCTTCTGAGGCTGCTGGTGGTCGGGGTGGTTCTACTGCAGGTTTACCTAGCAACAATTAACATCAAGTAACTAGAGTAGCAAGGGGAAGCATGTACAATAATGTATAGTAATTGGTATCAACTGTTGGTAATGTCACGCCTTATTTTTCTTATCTTTGTCTTTTCTATTTACGTAAATATTTACGTGCTATTTCAAACACGAGAAGTGTTTTATCATATTTAAAATGCGAGTGAGCAGCACGAGCATTTTAAATATGATAAAACACGACTACAAACACGATAGCTTCAAACACGACTATGGTTAAAACTCAAGACTCAAGGTGTACTTAGTCTTTAAAATGAAGTACACAAAGCACAGATTTCTGAAAGGTATTCATTCAGTACACTGAAAAGTTATAACAAGTACCACAATTGCATATACAAACACTACAATCGACTCTAACATTGCTTAGTCCAATCATGTTTCATGGCAAGACATATCAGACATGTAGCGACGGTTTTGAATAGTAAAAAAGTAAGCACGCGGATAGCAAGAGTTCCGCGTACCTACGTGATATGTGGCTTAAAACATAGATGTACCAGACAGTAATATTGGCGTACCTCCGGTACGTAAGTACGTGAAGCCGGTTACAGACGAGAAAGTTTTCTATGACAAGTTTTTATGTGACATGTTTTATTTGCCAAATGCACGTGTGTATATGCAACAAATTTTATATGACAAGTTTTCATATGACAAGTTTTATTTACTGGTGTGAACGTGTCAACAAGTTTACTTTGACAATTTATTAGTAGCCAGCTGGCCAATCACATCAAATGCTCAGATTACTTTGAAAAGTTTTCTTTGTTGACCCATACAGACGAACAAAATTTGTACTTTGACAATTTTTTCTATGACAAGTGCACTTGTTCAAAAGCTAGCATGCTAGGCTTGTCAAGTGTACTTGTCATAGAAAAACTTGTCAAAGTTGCGCGTACAGACGAGCAATTAAAATTTGTCACATAAAAATTTGTCATAGAAAACTTGCTCGTCTGTAACCGGCTTCAACTATCGCACCCTAATTAGTATTTTTTATGTAAAGAACACTAATGAGACGGCATCTATTGCCAGTCACGTACGACTACAAAATCTTGAATGATCGTACCCTGCTAATAACAATGAGTTTTATCACAGTGGTTTTATCAGGTATAAACCCTCTCCACGTGACATATTATCGTTGACATGATTTGCCAATAAGCTTATGAATTATTAATGAGTGTTTGAAATGCATATAAACAACGCTTGCAATTGTCGTCTCGTCATGTGCACGTACTAGATTAAGCAAATGTTAAGCTTCCTATTATCATGAACAGCTGAGGTAAATTTGGGTAATTAGACCACACCCCTGGCTTGCAGAAGGTAAGTAAAGTTAAAAACTACAATGATTGAAATATATGACTTACGAGCGTAAGGTTTGGGTAAAGGTGGAGGTGTTCGTCGTGCTGTTTGATCCTCTGGTTTTTTCTTGTAGGTTGGTAATGCATACCCTAGTGAGTTATGTTGGGGCGAGTCTGCCCTCTCAGGCAATGCAGGCTCAGGTGATGATTTCTTTGGCCCAAGAGCTGGAGCAGCAGTTGCTTGTGCTCTGTTACTTGATGTAATCTCTTCATCAAATGTCTCCCAGTTGACACGGAATGAACCTCCATTGGATTCTTGCCCAGTACCATTCACTAAACGAGTAAATTCAAGTCTAGAACTAAGTTGTCTAAAACATTTAATTACAGTCAAAAGATGACGATCAGCCAGTTGAATCATGATTCAGTCGTATTTAAATATTCTCATTACCTGTAGCTCCAGGGGTATCATACAAAGTTGGCAGATTGCCCACAGTGGGTACAGAAGCAAGAGGGTTATTATAAGATGGTGTATTAAGTGGAGGTCCAGTGACTGCACTTTCAAACTGGGTACCAACTGTAAACTCCAGAGAAGAGGCCATGTCCCGCCCTGAGTGGCTCTCTAATGTACTATGTGGTGTGTCATAGTTGGACATTTCACAGGCGGGAGATCTGGGTTTCTGGTAGTGCTCAGAGTCTTCATCCATAGGGGCGGGTTTAGGTTCTTCAGCGGGGGAGTCATAGGCATGTTCATCATCAAATTCATCAAAATAACCATCTGCAAATTCATCTTCTGGCTGAAAAAAGTTGACATTTCTTGACAACAATTGTTTTTTCAAAGATTTTACATCAGACCTGTTTTCACGTGCTACTCGACTGTCCTCTAAGCTGTTGAAAAAAAACAACAGTTGAAATACCTCAAATCTTGGCCGCTCATATGTTCGATCACGTGATTCCTCTGCTGCTGCCTGTTGTTGTTCTCCGCCAATTGATCCTTCAAATCTGGTAACATTAAATGAAATGTTAAACGACAAGCTGTGGCAAAAATTACCTCGAGTATAACATAGGAGTGGCAAACTAAAACCATCTCACCTTCTCGGAACTGGTAGTAATTGTGGAGGATCGTCCAAGAACATTTTATATCGCAGCTCAAATGCTTGACCTATAGTGTTGATGACATCATAGGAAAGACTTTGAGGGCAGTCCAGGACATGACATGCTAGAGAAAAGTTGAAGAATTTAGTGTAAACATTCACTGTCAAAACACAGCTGAATATTAACCAAATGTCAACAGATGATTATTTCACCTCTTCTATTTTTGGCGTCTTTTGCAACATAGCCAACTATATCTGGACAGTCCTAGAAATGAGAAAAATGAATGTGCATGAGACTGAATGATTGATCAACTAACTAACTGCCCAACCAACTAGTAATTGAATGACTCAGTACCATACTGTACCTACACTTCACTGATTGAGTCAGACAATTAAAATAATCAGTTATTTTAGGTTTTAGACTTTTTTTTTCTAATCTATCATACTAAATTCTTATTATTCTTGTTTCTTCAAATATGGACACAATGAAAAATAAAGGAATTTTAGTATTTTTACACAAGTGAATAAAATTATAAGAAATTAAATGGTTAAATTTGACGTGATATTCCCCTGTATTCACCCACAGGTGAATATAACAGTATTCACCCACAGGTGAATATAACAGTAAAAACTAGTTTATAAAATCCACCAACAGACTGGCAGGCCGTCTGTATAATTGACCTTCTAACTGAATCATTGGCGAACTGACTCTTCTCAATAGCCTGACTCTGTTGGTTAACTAACGGACACACCAACTAACCAAGTTACTGACTGACCAACTGCCCCTCTAACTGAATCACTAACAAACTAAGCAAAATAGTGACTAGCTGACTCTGTTGGTTAACAGCCTCGCCAATCAACTGATTCCCAAGACAAAATGTGAGTTACTTGCAGATACCTTTTCCCCACCACTGGCAAATGATATTCCCTGCATATCATGCTTGGAGATCATCTCACCACTTGACATTGCTGTGAGTACAATACCCGACACAGACACCGTCAGACTGATAAACGTACCACTGTGGACGGTACGCGGATGATCTATAAACACAATCAATTTAGTAATTACTCCAAGAATATTCAGGGATGGATCCAGCATGATCTGGTACGAGGGTGCTCTGCCAGCTCTGGTGCAGAGTTGTGTCAATCGGTCATGCCGCCCACCCATCAACTTGTTTCACTACTGCAAAGTCTTGCTTGTGACTACAGTATTTGAATTGTAATTGTTGTTCACAGTTCGCTTATCATCATGTTATTACTCAAATTACTGTATCTCATTTTGTCTCTAAATGAAAAATAGCACCCCTCTGGCCAGGGCTAGGGGGGTGCATACCCTCCCCCACAGTAAATCCATCTTTAAGAATATTACAAATACAACCAGAAAACTGCGGATTCAACTACACAAAAAATACAAGTAAAATTCAGACGTTTTGAATGAAGGCCTTTCGTTGGGAACCACTGACAGTACTGTACTGTACTGTAGAACAATAACCACAATTAACTTCCCAACAAAGAAGTCTTCGCTCAAAACATCAAGTTTATATTACAAAGACTATGCCTTACCAGCTAAGAGTTTTAGGATGCTACTTTTCGCTTTTTTCCTTTTACTGAATTTATATCCATTTGCCTCACAACATCGATACATTGCCTCTCTACATGATAAATTAGAAATATGAGATTGTCATTGAATAGGGCGGTTCTCTAATGCACATATTTTTGCCCACACACAATGAGTGACAGTCACATAAGTACTCTCTTGCAGATACGCCTAAAAAGTTGAATGTAGTTCAATTTCTCATGGGGTGCCTAAAAACACCAAAGTAACCCTAGAAACGTCTAAACATGTTCACTCATTTCATGTGGGAAAAGAATCACCCAAGATCACTGACGAAAAATGACAAAATATTATGTATATTACAAAATGAAAACAACAAAATGAAGGTTACTTCATCATCGTCATGGAAATGATGACTAAACAAAAACAAGTCAATCCAAACATCACATGAAATATTAGGTCAACTTTGAAAAAGAAATTACCAAACCATGGTATTAAATCTAATATACACTGTATACCATGGTATTAAATGACTATATAATATACTATTATACTATTATATACTATTATATATACCATGGTATTAAATCACTACCTTCAAAGCACATGTGTGGGCAAGTTGGTGAAAGTCATATTAAAACAATATATTTGAATTACTGCAGCCGAAAGTGATATTAAATTTGCCTTTTGTGGCAGATCAAACCTTAATTAAATGCCTCTTCACATTTCTTTGCAAGGCATCAAAGACCAAATTACTAAATTAGTGGAAAGTGTAGAAACGTTTCATACTTGGTGACTTGTTGTCGTACATCATACTGCAAGGTTCTCATAGATTTGAGCACTTCAATACAGCCCAAATACTACAAAAAGAACAGGCAAATTACAAATGGATTAGAATCATCAAACAATATTAAAACACAGCTATAGTGTAAACAATACGTGACTACAAATTACAAAATAAATAATCAAACGCCATAAACACATCAACAAGGTGGAGCATCATTAATATTATTAAATACTTAAAATAATTTGCAATTGCGACATCAAAAAGCGTTCTATCGAAATTCTAGCTTTTATTCTATAAATATGTATCAAATTAACCACAAGATTGTAATTCAATGCTCATATAAAACAATACTGACTGCTTCGATGCGAAAACTATATACATTTACATACGCATTTATTTAACCGATTTTAAACGAGTTAAACAATCAAATGTTGTCATACCATAAAACAAAATAATATAAAGGAATACGAAATAATAAAATTCTCAAATGCATTGAGTGGTTTCGTGGAATATTCGTCAAATAAAATGTTGCAAATTCTGGAATAAATTTCACAGTAGAAACATTTTGGATGTTTTTTAAACCCGATATTAACACACTATAAAACTTCGCTTAAAATTGCAAAATACAGTTGATTTAAGGTTTAAGTTACCTTTAAAGCATAACACACTCCTCCATCTTTAATAGCTTGAGCAGAATGGAGCCAGCCTTTATCTGGTTTTCTTACAAACGAACCAGCCTTCGACCATTCTTCGACCCCTTTCCCATTTCGCGAGCCTTTCATCATTTCGTTTTATCGCGTCTCCGTCATGTCGCTAGCTCTTTCAGGTCTTTACCGACAGAATGTAAACTACAGAGATATATTGGAATATTTGTGTTCGTAGTTTTGCCGAAATATCAATACCAAACTACGCAATTTCAGTATAAGCTGATAGCCTGACAACAAATGGACGTCGACTCTTTACTTCCGTCTTTCCTTTTATGGTAAACGATGTCTCGACAGGTGGCGGAAAAGAACAGCAGTCGTGGGCATAGCAGGCATAATCGTTTACAATTTTATACGGTTGCTCCCCCAATTCACAGCTTTTCATAACTCGCACATGACGAAGTACTTTTGTCCAAGTAAACGAAAGCATAGAACGAACGTAACTATGACGTAAACGGTTTTTTGCTGAAATCTTTTTTTACCATTTATATGTGCCATTTCTATCTTCACATCCTGTTTAATGTCCACAATTTTGGTCCTAAATCAATGTTTGTGACCTTTTTAACTTCTTGTTTTCAATCCACTTGATATGCAAGTGAGATGAAATCCACAAAACTCAATATCAAATAACGCATTTATTTTTTGAACTCCGTGAGTTCGTGCAATGTTTTGTTTTATAGCACAGTTTGAGTCCAATGTGATATTTTTGTCCAATGATTCAATCCTCTGTATATCGTCTTCACTTTGCGCGATTGAAGCGCGCATTTCTCTACTTCATCTGTACAAAGTTCCTCGTCTTGGGCACAAACAAAACGCAACTAATTCAATATGAAAATATTTACAAATTTCTTCCTCCAATTGCTAAAAATAGAAAGCATTCGGTTATTTGCAAGGTGCAAATTCATCTAGTTCAAATGATCAAAGTCTGTCAAGATATGATGGTCAGGAAGACTGGCAAACTTCAAAGCTACAAAATAGAAGAGCTTTGTTTCATGTTCAACTAAACCTCACCCTGCACAAACCCTTTGTCTCAACTTCATTCAATATTTTTCAACAAGGTCTCATGTTTCATCTCAGCTATCCCTATTGGACGATTACTTCATTATGCGAAGATACAATGAGCTCAATCTACATTTAGTTTCCAGACCATCCTATCTTGATAGACTATGAAATTATAAATACAGTTCCTACCTTTGACGTAGAGCACCTCTGTATCTGCTCCTAGTCGAACAAGGACATCCAACCAGACTTGCTGTTTAGTGGATAGTTTATCATTAGGACCCTTTACCTCAACAATCTGTAATAAAACAAAGCGTCGTGCTGCTTAAAATGCACTTTAGCAAACTCTGGATCAATAATAGATGATCAGTAATAGACAAAGAGTTCAGAACTGATAGAGTTATCCAGTTTAAACCAAGTTTAGTTTAGGTTCCCTCCTGTATTAACACTGGAGCAATAAAAGATGATCCTCACTGGACCTCTAGGGAGAATAGTTTAAGATCTGATAGAGCTATCCAGAATAAATAAAGTTAGTGTAGTTTAGGTTTCCTCCTGTAGTAACACTGGATCAATAAGAGATGATCCTTACTGGGTCTCTATAGGGAGAACAGTTTAGAACTGATAGAGCTATCCAGTATAAATAAAGTTAGTCTAGGTTTCCTCCTGTAGTAACACTGGATTAATAAGAGATGATGCTTACTGGACCTCTAGGAAGAATAGTTTGGAACTGATAGAGCTATTCATTATAGCTCGACTGTCTATTAAAGTTAGTTTAGTTTACCTTGTATTTCAAATCTGTGCAGTTCCAGACCACCAAATCGGGCAGACCAGAACGCGTGTGTCGATAATCTTTCGCGAATTTCTCGCAAATTCCAGCAATAACCTTACTCCCCAAACACCGAGCCAACCCCTACAAATATAAGACAATGGACTTCAGTAAGCACTGTTGATGGGGGGTCAACCTGCAGTTATCAGACTGAGAAATAATGTTCGGCATAAACATTCAACTTAGATGTTTATGTCGTTGAATATGTTCGGCATAAACATTCAACTTAGATGTTTATGACGTTGAATATGTTCAGCATAAACATTCAACTTAAATGATGGTGAACATTTGAATGGTAAACTGTAAGTATCATACTAACGGTGATTTGTCGGACGCCAGAAAACAATTCCCATTTGATGCCAACGCATGTTTTTCCTTCTTGCTCTTTCCACTTTGCTTCAATCCACTCTGTGAGTTTCTAGGAAAAATAAGAAATTAGTTATTTTGTCAGTTGGAAAAGTAAGTGAAATGAACACATCCAATTTGACCACAGGATTTTTCGAAGTACTTCTGTTTCCTCCTGTAGTAACAGCGAATGAAGCATGAAACATTCTGAACCTCTATGGAGAACAATTGAGAACCGATAGAGCTATTCAGTATTTAGTTTAGGTTTCCTCCTGTAGTAACACTGCATCAATAAGAGATGATCCTTACTGGACCTCAAGGAAGAACAGTTTAGAACTGATAGAGCTATCCAGTATAAATAAAGTTATTTTAGTTTAGGTTTCCTCCTGTAGTAACACTGGATCAATAAGAGATAATCCTTACTGGACCTCTAGGAAGAACAGTTTAGAACTGATAGAGCTATCCAGTATAAATAAAGTTAGTTTAGTTTAGGTTTCCTCCTGTATTAACACTGGATCAATAAGAGATGACCCTTTACTGGATTTCTTGTCTATAGGGAGAACAGTTCGGAACTGATAGAGCTATCCAGTAATAAACTAAGTTAAACAAAGTAAAATACCTCAACCGATGCATTTTCAATCTCATTAAGACGTTCATCAATTAATTTCTTCCGGTTGGCATAAAAATTCTCGCTGTAGATATCGAGTGGAGATGCCTAAAAATAACAAAATGAAGAAACGTTTCTCTCTAATAAAAGACATTGACTATAACTAACGTTGTAGTTAAGTTTAGGTCTTCTCCTGCAGTAACATATGTACATTAATCTTACTGGACCTCTACGGAAAACAGTTTAAATCTGACCAATGTACAAAGTTCCTACCTGAAATGGCGTTCTGAACACATCGGGGACACTGTCACAAAATATCACGTCCCACATGAGTAAAGTAAATAACATAGTAAATGTCAATCCCTCTCCATGAATTCCTTCATTATATCCTTGCTTTCTGTAATATCTTAAAGCCATTTCTTCCACACCGCAATAGTTGAGTACTTCGTTGTCGTTACTTCCGTCTGTGTTAACTTCTCTCAATACAAACACAGGCTGGAGTTCCAGACGTTTCGCAGATATTGTTTCCTGGATAGTGTAAAATAACAAAACGTTTAAGGTTAGTGATTAGTGGATGTGCTTCCCTGTGTGAGCTGATTTCAATTCTTGTAATATTTGCTTATTATTCCACCACAGTCGCATGAGAGAATAATGCTTCCAGTTTGACTCTACTAAACACTTCGGCTTTTCGAAAGCTACTTATAAGTTTTTTCCTGGAGTAACACTGGAAAATAAAGAGATTGCCTTTGCCAGTATAAATACAGTTACTCTAGTTTACGTTTCATTCTGTAGTATCTTTGTATCAATAAGGATAGCCTCACACACATCCATAGAATTTTGAAGCGACAGAATCGTATACAGCCATTTTACATAAAGTTAGTTTAGTATTTCGTCCGACTATTACTTACGACATTTGGTTCCCTCAATTCAGTACACTTGATCTCTGTCAGATATTTCTTCAAACTTGAATTTCGTTTTAATTGGCATATCTTTTTCGCTCGTTCTTCTAACGCCAGCCTGTGTCCTGTTTTGACTCTAACGTCGCCAAGAGCCTCGCGAATCGCATTCAAAGCCTTGATTAAAGTACAAAGATGTCAGGTAATAGAAATTTAATGTGAGAGAAGCAAGGTTGAGATGGTATGGACATGTAATAAGAAGAGATGAAGGAGAGTTGGTCAGAGACATTATGGAATGAAGAGATCAGAAGATGTGGTGTGGTAGACATTGCAGAGAAGGTGAGGGAAGCAAGGCTGAGATGGTATGGACACGTAATAAGAAGAGATGAAGGAGAGCTGGTCAGAGACATTATGGAATGAAGAGATCAGAAGATGTGGTGTGGTAGACATTGCAGAGAAGGTGAGGGAAGCAAGGCTGAGATGGTATGGACACGTAATAAGAAGAGATGAAGGAGAGCTGGTCAGAGACATTATGGAATGAAGAGATCAGAAGATGTGGTGTGGTAGACATTGCAGAGAAGGTGAGGGAAGCAAGGCTGAGATGGTATGGACACGTAATAAGAAGAGATGAAGGAGAGCTGGTCAGAGACATTATGGAATGAAGAGATCAGAAGATGTGGTGTGGTAGACATTGCAGAGAAGGTGAGGGAAGCAAGGCTGAGATGGTATGGACACGTAATAAGAAGAGATGAAGGAGAGCTGGTCAGAGACATTATGGAATGAAGAGATCAGAAGATGTGGTGTGGTAGACATTGCAGAGAAGGTGAGGGAAGCAAGGCTGAGATGGTATGGACACGTAATAAGAAGAGATGAAGGAGAGCTGGTCAGAGACATTATGGAATGAAGAGATCAGAAGATGTGGTGTGGTAGACATTGCAGAGAAGGTGAGGGAAGCAAGGCTGAGATGGTATGGACACGTAATAAGAAGAGATGAAGGAGAGCTGGTCAGAGACATTATGGAATGAAGAGATCAGAAGA